GCCTTATTGTAAACAGTTTTTATGACTTTTTGGAAAATATTAATTTAAGGACGGGAACACATGTAGACCTTCAAACAAGCTAGGCTTATTTTCTACGTTGTAAAATAAAGTATTACTAACACTTTTTTCAGCAATAACTTTACTTTTTTATCATTCAGAAACCAATGCCAATACCCTCATTTAATTAAAATTTGTTTGTATAATAATCATAGACAAACTAATAATGTAGATACATATAAAAAAATGTGTTTGAAGTGCCCCGCTCATTAATATTGAAATAAATATTATGCTACCATAATTACAGTTAAGGACAAGTTACCATTAGAAAAAAATTCATCGCATAAATTTGGTGGAAGCGGTGGGATTTAGGTCTAACAGAAAAATATTTAGTTTCTCCTAGAAAAAAGGGTGCCTTATTCTAAACAGTTTCTATGACTTTTTGGAAAATATTAATTTAAGGGCAGGAACACATGTAGACCTTCAAACAAACTAGGCTTATTTTCTACGCTGTAAAATGAACTGTTACACTGCGACTAATATTAACCAATTAGATCGAAGTAGTGAATTAGTCGAAAAAAGTGAATTTTGTTTGTGTAATAGACAAAGTAATAATGTAGATACATATAAAGGAATTGTAAACGTATCGTGTCTAAAATTGAAGTGAAAAATCGATGACGCATTTTATTTGACACTTGTCAAAAGTCTAAGTAGGTAAAAAAAAGAGTAGCCGTGACAACATTGCAACGTGCATTCGTAAAATTTTCTGATGTCATGCACTTTTATTGATTTTTGATTTGCTTTTATTTAAATGCTTAAATTATAACTCTTTTCAAGTTGCTATTCCGTTTATTATTTTAAAATTATATGAATAAGATCATTTTCTTTATGAAAAGGAAATATCGAAGCATAAACATATTTCTAGACCAATAATTTGTATTATAATCTGCAAATAAATCACAACAAATCGAGTCAGTACTCCAGGATAAGTCCGAACAGCATTATTTAATCGCCTGAAATAAAGAATACAAAAAAACGTTAAATAAGTAGAAATTTTCGCAGACTAAGAACAGCATAAAATAAGTCTTGGAGTTAATTAAGAGAGCACAGCCTGTTCCAGCACATTTCCACTTTGAGATTTAATGCTTTTATTACGTTGGTATTTTTGCACTTCATTACTTGATTTCTTTCCACTCAAAAAATAAGGTTAATTTACTTTTTTCAGAATGATTTTACCGGGTGTTTCTCAAAAGTGAGCCACTTTAACTAACTTTAACACTTATAACTTTTTTATTTTTTCAGATAAAAAAACGAAATTTGGTATGTTAGTATCTTTTTTAGGATGGATTGACGTATTCAATTGTTTTCGGTCACTTCCTGTTTCACCGGAAATGACTACAACTTTTGATTTTTAAATATCACCCTCGGTATTTTTTAATTTAGTCGGTAAAAAGTGACTCTCTGTTTACAATGACATATCACATGTCAGCTTTTGACATTTCTGTTTTGTTAAAAACACTAATTTGTAATCAAGACGCCTTGGAAGAATAAATTTGATGGTCTAATATTTTGTCATGTGTTTTCGTGTTTTGTCCTTGCCTGTTAAAAAATGTCAAAATCGTATTTTTGTATTTTTAAGCATATTTAATTTTTTTTCAAATTTAACGAGGGTGGCTCATTAGCATATTTGGAAAAAACATTTTTAGCGAATAATTTAGTACCACACACAGTCAAATTGTCGTTATGAAACGCATATTACAATTTGAAATAAACCATATATGCGAAAATGTCGAAAGTGATAAAATATATCATATATGATATGTTATATATGATATGTTATTCTATTCAAAGTTAATCTATCGAATAAAGTAAAAAAGTAATGAGAGTGTTATTTAAAAATCAAAAGTTGTAGTAATTTCCTGTTAAACAGGAAGTGACCGTTCGAACAATTATTGAATCGTCAATCAATCCCGATTTATATCAGATAGTAACATACCAAATAACCAAATATCGTTTTTTAATCTGAAGAAATAAAAAAGTTATAGAGATAGAATAAGAGTAACTTTTAAGAAACATCCAATATTTGTTTTATTGTAGAAGATTTCAGATAATCAATAAAAATTTGTAAAATTATTCGTAGTTTTATAGCTTTGGCACTACTTTCAAAAATCAACAGAAACATGAAATAAAAAATATCTCCGATAACCATTTTATGCTCTAGATTCAGAAAATGTCATTAGTTGAAAAATTAATGGAAATAGTATATCTTGTTTGATATTTTTTATCCATCCATTATCTAGACTTTCAGTCGTATCAATTAAGTGCTGAATTTTTTATTTTTTTCTAAATGAAATTCTCTAATTTATCAGTTACTTTCAAACTTGCTTCCAGACATTTTTTTTTCGGTCTAAGAAACTTGTAAAAGCTTTGGTATTTGTCACTTCCAATTCCGATTCCTTTAGTGTCAAACTTTTCTTTATATTCGACTAAATACATTTGACGCCCAGATTTTTTTTGTGACGTTAATTATTGTATTCTTGCTAAAATTATATAACTTCCCTTTAACTTAGTTAATTTAGGAAAGTGGAAAAGATACATAAGTATATTATGTTTTTTTTATTATATGAGGGACGTCGCCCTAATCTAGGCTAAGAGCCCTGAAAGTTTATTTTTTATAAAACATATGTCTACGCTTCTACGGGAATTTTGGTGAGTTTTAAATAAGAGCAAATGTTTTCAGTACTGGTAAATCCTGAAAAAAAGGAACATATTTTCTCTTTGCCGTTTTTCAAATAAGTCCAAAATAACCGAGTTATTTTATTTTTAAAATTAAAAAAAAATATTTTTTTGCTTAAATTTTGAGAATCAATGGTTCTTTCCTGGGGTTTCTTTCTTGTCAATTTAATCTACTACTTATGTTGCCGTATTATCAAGAAATTATGTTTTTTAACTTAAAATTTAAAAATTTTCTAATTTCTTTTAAAAAGTTACAAATTTAAAAAAAAATTGCGAAAAAAACCTTATTAACTTAACCGTGTTTCTGGGATCGAGATATACTACCCCTAAAAATATTTGCACTTATTTATTACTCACCCTGTATAATAAATAATAAAATTATAAAAGTTGGTTTAACATATTTTATCATGTAAAGAATCAGCATGTGTGTTTATATGTACATTATTTTTTTTTAGTAAGAGGTGGCAAAATTTAATGTGTAATTCAATGTTTAGTGACTTTAGTATACTTTAAGATATAATTGAGGAGTTTCTGGCAAAAACCCCATTAGTAAAAAAATAGGTAAAATGAGTTAATAGCGCTATCCGACAGTAATTTGTTAGTCACAACGTTCCTACCAAACGAATTCGGGAAAAGTGCTATAAGTCAGCCCGTGCATACGATCAAAAATATCGTAATTCTGCGAGAACCCTACAAGTCACAAGTCTTAACGGCAAAAACCCCACTAGTCCGCTACTTGTTGTGGTTTGGTTGTTTGTCGTTCGTAATCGTTCGAACAGTTGCTAAGAGGACTTGGTTGTTTCCACGTTTTTTTTTTGCCAAAATTCCAGCAAAAACCCCACAAGTCAAACAAATTCACGCCCTTCTTACCTTAAAAATAAGAAAAAAATAGAGAAAACTAGTTTTCTGTAATTTCAGATTATAACCAGAGCTCACACAAAAAAAACGACAATTTAAATTTAAATGGGAGTAGGATATACGTTTTTTTTTTTAGTTTTTCCAAATTTCGAAATATCTGACTAATGGGGGTTTTGCCAGAAACCCCTCAATTACATTTTTTATAAATGGTATTTATAATAATATACAGTATGTCTCCGGATTGTCTTTACAAGAGGAAAAACTTTTTTATTATAAACATTTTAAGAAAGATGCATTCTTCATAAAAATTTTTGCTTGTTCTAAAATGGCTAATCCCGTTTATACTTTTCCAAATTTCCTAGTCCTAAAAATGAAAACGCGTTGCTATGGTAATATCAATTCGGTTTCATTCTTTGATAGATGATTATTATTAATTTTTATTAACGTCATGTTTTTTGCTGTTGTTATTTAGTATCATATTTTCCGATACCTATCATCACACTTTGGGTAGCATTGAACTAACTAGATTTTCTGCTTCTTTAACATTTTAAAACAACAAAATATATTACGTTAATTAAAATTCTATGAATAACAATCTATCAAAGAATGAGGTTATATTACCATAGAAACGCGTTTTCATTTTTAGAACTTTTACTTTGACTGCGGAAAAGATTCAACCATATTTTCATGTTTTTCTTTTTTTTTCTTGAGTTTTCTCTAAAACGGTATGGAAATTTGGATAAGTATAAACGGGATTAACCATTTTAGAACAAGCAAAAATGTTTATGAAGAATGCATTTTTCTCAAAATGTCAATAATAAAAAAGTTTTTTCTTTTGTAAAGACAATTCAGGGACATACTGTATATAGTAATGTATTTATATAAATATATAAATTTATTAGTGTTAATGGTAAAAATTAATAAATTACTAAAGTAAAAATAAATAATTTAAATTAATAACATTAAAATTTGTCATCATATCATATATGAAACTACCGTATGGATATAATTTATTAAAAAAACAGTAGTAATGTATCTACACAGTTTTGCTATTATAAAAGGTAATTACGTAAAAGTAATTTTCGTACATCAAGAATGGCCCAATTTAAAATACTAAACTATTGTCCGAACAAATATATTTGATTTGCTAAATTTATTTCTATTTAAAGGACCACCCTGTATTTAGTTAACAACCAAACATAATTTTCTAACACTGCATTGACAATCAAAGTTTTATTGGGTGTTCATACGGTTATTTCATTTCTATTTTCATATAATACAGCATGTCTACTCAATGTACGTTTCCCGCTCTAACTAAACTTTTTCTTACTATGCATACCAGAACCAATATTTTCCGGAACTTATCTCAAATCCAGTTTAAGATTAAATAAAAATCCGAACTTTTCCAGTTTTATTCCTGATGAGTGGGGCCCCGTGCAGCGTGGAGCTGTGGCGAGGGTATCAGACGACGCGAAGTTTACTGCAAAATATTCCTGGAATTCTCCCAGAACTATAGCCAAACTTCCAGACAAACAATGCTCGGGCATCAAGCCCACCGAGGTGGAGAAATGCTACATGGAGCCGTGCACTTCGGAAAAGATCAGCATGGACATTAAGGACGATCCTTATAGAACGGATAATATCAAGGTAAGATACACTGCCCGTCAAAAATGAATAGAAACTAAACTTTTATTTAAAAATAGTGATGCATAGATTTATTATGTCCTGAGTAGACCAACTAAGAATGGACACGGTTATATCTGAGAAACTACTTATTGTATAACTTTAGAAAAATAATTGTAATGAGTAGATCGGACAAGCGAACTCGCTGGAAATATAAAGCACTTTCAAGTTCGAAAAAAATCCGCTAGGGAGCGAATATTATTTCAATTAGAAAACGGGATTATTATCAAAAATACGCACGTGAAGAGGTATTTTAAATATTGTGATTTTAATAGTTATAAAATACCGTATGATCGAAAAAAAAACGCCGTCCAGTTGGCTGGGAAATGAGGATCGATGACATTTCCCATATAAATTTACATATAGAATGACAGCGATCTTCATTTCATAGCCACCGTTGACGCCGTTTTTTCTCGATCATACGGTACTTATTTTTTGTATAACCTATTTTGCTCTATAAGGGTTGTTCACCACATACGACACGGAGTACTGTAGCTAAACGATTAGATTTTTACAAATTGTAAGTTATGGGTTCATTGAAGGCTTTGAATAAGAAGACTAAGGAAGGAGCATAATGCTATCCATGTATTCATGCATGGTGGGCGGAAAAGCCACCATAAAAGCTCTCTAGGGTGGGGATCCTTGACAGTTCTGTTTGACGATTTATTTGACACATTTGAATTTGATTTGAAATTTTGTGGATTTGTCAGTCTTTACGGAGCTTATTTTATGTTATTTATTATTTATTCTACTACTGATAGTTGTATAAAGGTAGTAAATCTAGATGGAAATTGTGGCAGAACTTAAATTAACAGTGACACTATCATTTATTTATCGAGACTCTAAAATAGTTGGTTGTGTAGCGTGTAGTATCTCAGGCAAAATTGAGTGAAATAATGGAACAACTTTTCGCTAGTAAGTGACTATATAATATACATACGTGTAGTAAACTGATCATTTATGAAATTCACTTAAATTAACTAAATAATATATTTTTCTTGCATTTTAGCTTTTATTTATTACTTGTCAAAGATTAGATGTCAAAGAATTTAGATACGTTAATTTGACTTATCTGCTTCAGTAGCGTATCGGATGTTTGTGTTAATAAATACTTATTATAACTTATCTATTTTTATTAGAATTATATATTTTTATAACAATTTTAATAACTACCAACATTTATTCACAATGTAAAATAAAACAACAAATTATTGAGTCTACCCCATGAGTCTACCCCACGTCTACCCTACATCATAGTTTTACATTTTTTAAATAAAATTAGAACGACACTGATAAACCGGAATTTAAGTCGGCCATATTTGAGGCCCATCGCGGTGTACCTAAGATTTTTGATATGCTCCTTCCTTAGTCTTCTTATTCAAAGATTGAAGGACTATTAGAGCTACAATTTAAAAATATTTTTAGAAGATACAGAGTGTCCTAAATAAATAAAAAATATCAAAGTTGTTTTTTTTAAGGGAATTACATTACCCTGTATATTATTACATTTTTAGTTTCTACGATTAAAATAAAGGTAAATTTGATTAAGGTGTATCACACCTTACCGTTTTTGAAATATTTACAATTTTGTGAAATTGCAGTAAAAATTTTAAAGCTTCATTTCTCCAGCTTCATTTCAACCAAGCCAAACCAAACCAAATTTACCTTTATTTTAATCGTAGAAACTAAAAATGCAATAATGTACAGCATGCTTTATTTAAAAAAATACAAGTTTTGCATTTTTTATTTATTTGGGACACATCTTGTAAAATATTTTTAAATTGTAGCTCTAATAGTCCTTCAACGAACCCTATACTTACAATTTGCAAAAATCTAATCGTTTAGCTACAATACTCCGTGTCGTATGTGGTGAACAACCCTGTATAACGTATATCTTATAAAGTAGTAGGGGAAGGTTAAACATACTTTTTTATATAAGGAAAAACTTGTTTGGGTTAATACTGACAAAGGGGTAGTAGGGCTCATTTAAAAGAGCACTTCCTTAATAATTTATTATTGCATATAAACTTTGTCTCCACCGTGGTAGCTAAAAGGCAGCGGCGTAGCGTCGGGTTAATGGGGATGTAATAAGTAGCTTCAATTGACATTTTACCAACACAATAAAGTTTTTTTTTCTTTTTTTATTAAGTCTTTAATTTTGAAGCTACAAAAATAAAGAAAAACCGCATAACCCACCGACTAAAACAGCGAACGGGAGATGTAATCGCGGCCGGAAAGTTCGCTGACACCGGCTCGCGTTCGGCGGCATTCAAGATGTATCGAGGACAGTCACATTATAGCGCTGTCGAGATATTTTAATTTTTAGCGTTTACCGTAGGTTTTAGCGTTATCTATAAAGCTCGACCAATACACACATTAAATAATTGAAATTGAATTTAATTATATGAATAAATTTACAGAGAATTTTAATTTAATATAAGAGATCTCAGTGACTTTTTAAACAAAAATGTACAATTTTTTGAAGGGATGCGACGCATCACCCGCATCAAAGCTTTGCCACTGCTAGGGCACTATTTCATACCATAACATATATTAAACAAAACGCAACTTTCTATTTTTCTCTAACAGGAAACATTAAGAGACCGAATCGTGTTAAGTTACACCCTATAAATATCGCCTAGAAATACACACAAAACAAAATACTTTTATCTGTATGTTGTTCTGTAATAACTATATGCCTAAATATAAATTTCGAGCTCTCTAAAATAAGCTTACATATTATGCAATGTTTCTATTAGGTTGGCTCTGGAAGTCCCTCTAAATCATACTCATGGAAAGAACAAGGATTTACTCACTGCAGTGCTTCATGTCTGGGAGGTGTTCAAGAACTCATTGTAAATTGTATACGCGACGATACTCAGAAAGTTACATCGCCTTACATGTGCACTTTTGAACAAAAACCAGAAGTAATTATTAGGTGAGACAAAAATGACAGTAAAATGATTTCGATAAACTTTTTCAAATCGTAATTTTTTATTGCGTACCAAAAAAAATTACTTATTAAGTAATTATGTATGTATTTTTAGGGCATGCAATGAGCATTCCTGTCCACCAAGATGGTCCTACACCGAGTTTTCTCCGTGTTCACAAAGTTGCGGGATCGGAATACAAACAAGAGATGTCAATTGTATCCATGAACTGACACAAGGCGGCAGTAACACAGTCGTGGTACCAAACAATAGATGTCCTCAACCTCCTCCACCCGATAGACAGTACTGTAATGTGCTGGATTGTCCAGTAAGGTCAGTATACTATATAATATATACTGTAGTAAAAGTAAAAGCTAAAACGTGATCTTCAAAAAAGTCCTATGGGTATTTCGCTACTTGCACTGTAAGAAAATCTACACTCTACAATGTAGAATGTTTATGAGGGAGGTTAATCATCGCGACCTTACAGATCTATTGTGCGTTCCCCTTTCTTGAGTCATATGAGTTTTAACTCATCATACAGTCTCAGGGCTTTGACAAAAGCCAGTATCTGAGACACCTCCACAAAGGCCAGCTCTCCATTTTCGACATTAGCCGTACCAAAGTTTATGAGACGAACGGTTGTCATCTCGCGCACTCAGTGATAAGGTGTTATGGTGTTTCCCTATTTTCCCCAGAGAATCTGCATTCGCCTTTGTTTCTCAGCTTTAATCTTCGAATTGATGGTTACTCAGTTGAACGCTTTTAGTGCAGCTTGACTATCGAATAAGATGGATATTTCTTAATTTCGATAGTTCCTATCTAAGATAAGTCGTACGCATCTTTCGATAGCACCGATTTTGGCCTGAAGGATGCCAATTGGTTCGGAATATTTAGTTTTCGGCCTAAATACTCATATCCCTGTCCCTGATTTGATTTTGGAAGCATCAGTATACCACGTTATTGTATGGTCTTTTACATGCTGAGCAAACGTTTCTCTTCTCCAATCCAATCCTTTTTATTGCTCAATGCTACAGTGAGGTTTTTCTCAAAGTTGTAAATTCTTGATATATCATCCACTGCACTGGGAGTTGAAGGTGGGTAATTTTCTTTTTGAGGATGTTCTAAACCCCTGGCCTATAAATTTTCCCAGTACTGTTACCGTCAATGACTAATCTAATTATTGTCGCATTGGCATAACTACCGACGACAATATGCTGTGGTGTTGGTGCTGCTGGTGTGTCCATTGCTGCTGCTGGGCATCTACACTCTAATAAAATAGTTATTTTTTATAAACACCGCTGCGTCTCCTCACCGGAGACCAACTTGTCAGCGGTAGTTAACTAATAAAACAAATTTGCCTAACGGACAAAAAAATGCTTAACGTTTCGGAAAGTATATCTCTTCCCGTCGTCGGAAGCAAAAAACACAACAAAGCAAAAACTATTTAAAATATCTAACTACAACTATTCAAGAACACTTTAGTTTTTTTCAACAGATACGTCTATGAAAACCGTTGACGTTCTGCTAAAATGATATTATAATAACATGATATATAAGGGGAGTTTTAAACCTGATTAAAATTGTGCTGTTCCATTTCAATAATTAACATTTCTTTTAATTAAAAAATATAATATTTAAATAATCTCCATCTTCAAAACGAGACGCTTAATTAGAGGAGAAATTTTCAGAATAGTAGGAAAAAAGAACGGAGAGATTAAAGCAATTTACAGTGTTTTCTTCCGGTTGCTTCTTGCTTCCGTTTTCGCTAATTTTAAGAGTCATTTAACTTATTCATGGTCGCTGGACGGCACCACTTTAAAAATCCTAAGATTTCCATTCGGTTCAGTCCTCTTATTAATTATTACGGATAGACGAATTTCAATCGAAAAATCGTTAAAATAAAATAAAAAGACGGAAAGATAAAGATATCGACTCAAAGATATTTAAAATCCTAACTTCAGATTTGGAATAAAATTTGGTCGGTTTCATAAAAGCTAATAATTTTTAGATAGAACATCTATCTACCGTGTGGTGCATCGAAACGCGGGACATAGAAAATCACATGTACAGGGTGTCCCATTTTGGTTGAAATCATACGGTTTCTCCGTTATTCGTGAAGATAGAAGAGTGCGGTTTGCACAAACCTGTGCCACTTCTTTGTCAAACTGAAGATGCCGTAAACAAAATTTTCATAGCCCTTTTCGTTTCTGAGCTACAGGGTCTTTTTGAAAATTTTGCAATTTGCGACACCCCCTGTATCTCTGTTATTGTTAAAGGTACTGAGACGGCAAAAACTGTTTATTGTAGAACTTTTTACGTAGAATACAGTGGCGTCGTCTGTTATTGTACGAAAAGAATATTTTTAAAGATATGAACTAAAGTTATGTTTTCTTAAATGGGACACCCTGTATATTTATAAATTATATGATCTGGCTTGCCATAAGCTTCTGAAAAATATATAACACTCAATATTTATTTTCACTATTTACTGCAATATTTAAAATATATCATTTTCTTATTAGTAGGCCGTGATAAATAACAAAATCAAAATGGAATTTACTAAAATAGACATACACATATTAAAACTTTATTTGGAATTTATATATTTTACTTTTGAACTGTTACCACTGAACCTCTGAATATATTTTCTCTTTTTTTATAACGGAATTTATTATAATGGGATGGGCTTGCAAATATCTAAAAGCTTGCATTATTAAAGCATTTTCTAGGTGTTCGACATCGTATTAGATGCCACAATATATTTCATATTTCAAAAATTCCCAAAATCAGAAATTGAGAACGGACAAATCCGGGAATCAAAGAAGCCATCATATGGGTACAATGGTTCCAATTCATTGATTTGAGAAATAATAATTTACCACAATTCTAATTTCTAATACTTTCGTAGTAAGTTAAGTTGCGAGGGGGAGCCCCGTCTTGCTGAAAGTATATTTCCCGTAAATTAACTAAAGGAATATTTAAAAGTTCCGATATAATAGCTTCCAAGATTTACAAATAGCGGTAGAGATTTAAGTTTCCCTAATATATAAAGAATTAATTAGTGGCTCTCAAAATAAAACAAGAGACAGATAGCAGTATACTTTTAATAATTCTTTAGTTACTTTTATTATCAATCATGGCCTTCTAATAAATATGATCTTTTAATATTTTTTTTTTAAATATTGCATTAAATAGTGAAAATGAATCTAGAGTGTTATATATTTTTGAGAAGCTTATGGCAAGCCAGATCATATAATTTATACAGGGTGTTCCATTTAAGAAAACATAACTTTAGTTCATATCTTTAAAAATATTCTTTTTGTAGAATAGCAGACTACGCCACTGTATTCTACGTAAAAAGTTCTACAATAAACAGTTTTTATCGTCTCAGTACCTTCAACAATAACAGAGATACAGGGGTCCTAAATTGCAAAATTTTCAAAAAGACCCTGTAACGTTTTTAGTTCGTTACATGTCTTTGTATATGATATATGATGTCTGGCGTATCATCACCGGATTCCCTATCATTCAGGCCGGATAATTTAATTGACGCACTTGGCGTAATTTTTACGTTCCCTAGTCGCCAACCCTGTTATCGTTTGACACAACCCTGTTATCGCTCTGAGGAGGCGCTGTCAACATCGCTTCTGTCAACTCTCTCCGTGCTTAACCTCACTTTGTTTTGCGGCTCTGTTGCATCCCGGCTTTTAGAAATGGTGATTATTTAAATCTTGCTGTATAATTTGAATCAGCTGCTATTTCAAAGCAACAGGTAAAGATGAAATATTATCCTTTTAGATTCGATATTATTACCGCATATTTTTAGGGTAGAGTTTTGGATGTCCCAACCTAACTTGTATTTGTATTTTGCTGGCACGTTGGCGTCCCTTTTCTTTTGTCCTTCAGAATGTCACATTGAAGAAAGGACATGTTCTTTATTATTTAGTGAGCCCTCGGAAGTAATTCGAGGTAGGTTCATTTTGTTTATTAGACCTTGTTTGATTTTAAACAAGAGTTTCGTATTTTTAGGGTCCAAGGTACGGACTATTTCCAAGGTACGGACTATTTATAAGGTACGGGCATTATCCAAGGTCCTAGTAGTATCCAAGGTACGGGTAGTGTTCCCCTGTACCGTTGTCTTATGGACGGACTGTGTCCAAGGTTATGGTCCAAGCTACGGACATTATCCAAGGTCCTAGTAGTGTTCCAAGGTACGGGTAGTGTCCCCATATTGCCACAGTATTGATACAGCGTAAGCCCCATGCTGCTTCGCTTTCGTTTCTAAGCCTGGATCGCCGACAGACAGTACAGAGATATGAGCCTACCTCACGCTGCTACTCTTCGAAACAGGATTGACTCAAGAACAGCTAAGTGTAGATTTAGGTCCAGATTTTCAGTCGATTTTCAGTCTTAACTTAATAACGTACATTTTAAATAATATCGTACAGACTATATTTAGTGGTTAGATTATTAAGAACATTTATGTCGATTTAGTAGTTACAATATGATTTAGATTTTAGGTTTCATTAGATTACGCCTTGTAATAGTATTTAACCACTATAATAATTATTAAAATTGTACAATGCTATTTACCATCACAGTCCATCTTGAATAAATATAGTCATTAGTTTTAAGTAATATGCAACTGTGTTTTCTTTCTCTGTACATGCCTGGCGCCCAATATCTATTTCTTTGTTTATTGTTATTACTTAATTTTCTTTCCAGTGAAATACCTTATCTGACTGCTCTCCGATGAAAAGCTGAAGTTCGCAGTGGTAGTTGTTTAAAAAACGCTACAACCCTGTAGCTCAGAAACGAAGAGGGCTATGAAAATTTTGTTTATGGCATCTTCCGTTTGACAAAAAAGTGGCACAGGGTTGTGCAAACCGCACTCTTCTCTCTTCACGAATAACGGAGATACCGTATGATTTCAACAAAAATGGAACACCCTATACATGGGATTTTCTATGTCCCGCGTTTCGATGCACCACACGGTAGATAGATGTTCTATCTAAAAATTATTAGCTTTTAAGAAACCAACCAAATTTTATTCCAAATCTGAAGTACACTTTGAAATGGTCAAATATTATCACCCCAGATGATTTTATGCAAAAATTGTATTAGACTTTTTTGAAGAGGCGTTAAAGTGGTACTGTCGTCTAGAGTCTCGTTTTATTTGGAATAGGCATCTAAAAGTTATTTACAAAAATCTACCTTCAAATTACTTAAAATGTATAAGACGGTCCATATAGACGGTATAAGACGGTCCAAAAGCTACAATTACAATACCAGCAAAAATATGATTTTGTCATTGTCAAATTCGATGCCACATTTTTTTGTTTACAAGAATTTCTGTGGTTTGGAAAAGATGGTTATTTTTCTCTGAATTGTAATGATCATCTACAAAAGAATTAGTTGAACCGAGAATATTATTCGCGGTGTATGACTTGTTTGCTGTTCATTACTCGATCACTCGCAGGCCTCGCTCATACCGCAAACATTCACAATAATTCAAGGGATAATCGAAATATTTGTATCACAAGGAACTTTATTAAACTGTACTAATTAATAAAATGTTTCCATAATTTCCGATTCACAGCCAAACAATACCCCAAATGATTATTAAATTCGCGCCTTACAATTCAAACCTGTTAAAGGGAGAATCTTTGGCATTCCATAAAATGGTTTTTGAGTGTGCTTCACAGGAAGAAGTCGTTCGGCGAAAGATCCTGTGGTCTTTTCCTACTGTATCCGCAATAAACGGAAGTCAATTTTTTTCTTTTCTTCATCATGAAGAATATTCAAGTCATTGTTATTTTCTTCCTGTTTTTTTAATTATAAAAATTAATAATTAAATTATTTTTGTCTTCACGCTTCCATATACTTAATACCTAATTGCCGTTAGTTTCAAACCTCCGGTTTATTCTTTAAACTGTTGCCTTATTCGGTATAGGCTTTCCGGAGACTGAGCTGCGAACATAACACAGCGGGAATACTATTTCCAGCAAAATGACGTTTAACCGTCGTAAGTTGTACTGTTCAAAAAAGTCTTTTATTTTGGAAATGACAGCTCTCAGCGAAAACTAGTTAGGCCGCAAATTTCTACGTAAAATACTCTATGGGATTCATTTTTCACCCTTTGGGTAAGTTAAAAGTTAACTTAGATATGAAAAGGGAGTAATAAAATGCAATTTTTTAAAATTCGCCCTGTATTTCCGGAACCAAGAGAGGTAGGACAGATTTGTGTCATCAGCTGTAAATAGACAAACGTTTATGTATCTGTCTAGATATTCTATATTTGAAAACTATAAATATTTTAAATGTTGGTTTTTAAATACTTAATTAGTACCTTTACACAAATATTTGCCTATTTTTCACAAATGCTAGATCAAATTGATCAATATACGAACTGCCTGATTTTTTATATGTCAACGTTTCACTTGAAGCCGCCCAGATGTTACGGCACTATATCACAACCATTAAATTTTGGTGCGATTCTAATCTCCTATGCCTCAACCTTTCAAAAACTGAAGTTTTGTCATATAAAAGTACTATACAACCTTTTGTACTTAATAACTCCACTATTGACGTCGTGGACTCTGTGAAATTCTTAGGACTTGCTATAGACAACTCGTTAAAATGGGACTTGCACATCGAAGCTTTATCAAAGAAACTAAGCGCTGCCTGTTTTGCGCTAAGGTCAGTTTCTAAAGAACTTAACTTATCAACCTCTAAAATAGTCTATTATGCCCTTTTTGAGTCGCATCTTCGTTATGCCCTTCCATTCTGGGGTACTTGCTGCGCGACAAAATTTGATCGTATTTTCAAACTTCAAAAGAGAGCAGTTCGATATTTATTGGGACTGAACAGTAGAACTCACTGCCAGAATTTCTTTAAAAATTTCAAAATACTGACTCTTCCATCCTTATTCATTTTTGAATCCGTTTGCTCCGCAAGCACATATCTGCTATTCCCGAAAGGCCATCTCACAACTATCCACTTGGGAATGCGGAGCACGATCTTTATCTGCCAACACCGAGCTCACAACTAGTTAAAGGCTCAATACTGTACAATGCCAAAAAAATATACGATCATCTGCCTTTGAATATCAAGTCACTTTCATTCTTTTCCGAATTTCGCAAAGCTCTGAAATCATACTTACTGGAGAGGGAGAGAGCCCTATATGCGGTAAAGGACTTTTTTGTTGATGTTTAATCATGAACAATTTTGAATTTTAAAATTTTGATCATCTCACACACTGCTTAAATGTCTAGTATTTAATATTTAATATTTTATAACTCTTACATGATTATATCCATTTACAATTTTTCTATTGTAAAATTTTATTGATATGCCTTTTTTGTAATTTTAATGACGTATTTTTTTTTTAATTGATTTGTATTGTATGATATTTTTTATTATTTGTATATTTATTGTGCTTTTGCTTGTTTTGTAAATGCTTTGTCGATGAAGCTATTTTGGCTTTTTGTACAATAAAGCGTTGTTTATTTATGTATTTATGTTAAAGATATATTATATTCCGTACTTTTTATAGATGGAAGGTATCCGAATGGTCGAAATGCTCCAAACCCTGCGGTGGCGGTGAGAAATCCCGAAAAGTCGACTGCAAGCAAGTCATGGCCCAAAACCACACAGTCGACCGACCAGCGTCCATGTGTCCTTCCCCGAAACCGTCTGAAAAAAAGCCCTGCAACGCCAAGAGCTGCATCGTGGAAAGCGACAAACCGCACATCAGCGTCACCAACAGCACATTCATCCAGCACGACGTCAGAAAAGACAAAGTCACTGTCAAAGTAGGCGGAGCGGCCACTCTTTTTACCGGTACCACCGTTAAGATCAAGTGTCCGGTTAAAAGGTTTGACAAGTCGAAGATCCAGTGGAAAAAGGACAATAACTTTCTTCCGCAAAGCAGGAAGTACAAGAGCTCCAAAAAGGGAGCTTTGAGGGTGCACAATTTGACACTGAGAGATAGTGGGACATATTCTTGTACAGCTGGTAAGTACCTACTAGTGTTTTATAGTTCATATCAAATAAACTTTTAGTGGTGTAATTAAGCTTGACCGGCACAGCGTTGCCCTCTTTTACATATTTTCTTTTAATCAAAATATTTTAGGAATGAAAAATAAATTAATTATAAATATATAAACCAGGGTTGGAAAAAATCACGATTTAAAAAAAAATAAAAAACAGATTTTTTTATTTAAATCACATTTTTTTTATTTAAATCATTTTTTTCTACAAAACATTATTTAAATCGGATTTACAAATAACTAGGACTTATTTCCAATTAAAGCCATATCCTCCAATAACATTAATATAACATTAATTATATTATTATTCCACCATCGCCGGTCACGAATATATTCCCCCAAAAAAGTCGCTCGTATCAGATCAAAAGGTTTTTTTCAAACGTCACAAAAGTATTATTTTTTGTCATTTTAACGCCTAGGCATAAAAGTACAGGACTTCTGCGCCGAAGCTCAAAAGTACAGAAATATATTATTAAACTGATATTAAGTGTCAAATTCAACATGAGTGTACAAATTGTTGCTTGATATATTTGCAACGTTTGAAATTGATTAAAAAATTATTTGAATGTTTTAAAAAAATATAGCATGTTCTATTCGGAGTAAAATATGTAAAGTCGGAATAGCTTTACACTGGTCCGTCAAATGCACAGCATCGTCAAAAAAAGCACAATTTTTACTCCTAATAAAACAATACGCTATTGTTCGGAAATAGTTTTAACTAGTGAATGAAATTAATATTAGCTAATATCAAAATGTAAACTACTTAATGCAGATCGAAATGTCGGTAGGAATTTGGAAAGAACTAGAAGATAAATTGGAGAAGGCAGAAGTTACCTTAATCAACATACAACTGTTCAAAAAAAATAAAACAACATATTTTCTGACGATTATAGAATCTCGGGAATGAAAATATAGTTTCTATATCAGAAGAACCTAGTTCTGGCACTAAATTTTACGAATTATATATAGTCAGTGGCGTTGACTTTAAAAAGCACCAAAATATTTCAGTGCTGGACACCAGCACCAAATTTGGCACACAGCTTCTACACATAATAGGGCTTCAAAAATTGCCGGGAGACAATCTCTGGCATGTCCGGATCATGACGTCATCAAAATGGCGGACAACATTTTTAGAATGAAATTGGATTATCACTTATAACTTTGTTAATATTTAACCGATTTTAAGTTTTAATAGCTCATTTTAAAGCTTGAATAATCTGCTAAAAAACTATATTCAGTTTTTTTGTAGGGGGGGTAGTTTTCACGCATCTCTTAAAATTGGAATAAATAAATGAAAAATGACGGTTTTATTCTAAACAAATTGAAACGTTAAAACAACAAAACAAAAAAATTGTTTATTACGTATTATACTACTCTTAATTTTAACTATTTTTTGCCCCCCTCCCACATCGACACATCCCCCCCCCTTGCTTTGTCTCTGAAATGTTACAAATTTGTTTTCATAAGCAAAATAATAAAACTTTTTTTTTGAAGAAACTAAATGTACTTAAAATAAATATTTTTTAAATATTTATTTTTGTTAACGAACGGATTGTGGTGAGAAAAATTTCAATACATGATGTTATTAAAAGAAATAACCTACCTTTACACAGTCAAAAAAAAACCAAATTAAGTCAAAAGATAAACAAAAAATCATCGATCTTCGAAAGGACAGTAATATTTTCAGTAGACTTTATATTGCTAGTCAAGTTAGACACTTGGACATTAATTAATTTTTTGCCAAGGAGAACAGTTCGTATCCACCATTTATATCGCAATTCGGAAAATTGCGAAAACGCTCACAGAAATCTGACATTGTTTCATGCATTATGCATTATTCAGACAACAAAAATTAAAATTACCGACCAATTTGTTGTGATACCTAAAGTATCTACACTAATTATTGATGGATCTACCCTTGTTCATATGTTGATACCTCAATAAAGCCGAACATTCCAGCAGTATAGCGAAAACATCGTTCAATCTTATATTCGGTCAAGACTTGCAACGATAGATAGGGTCGATAAGTCGATATTGTTTTTGATCAGTATATCCCGGAAAGCTTAAAAACAGGGACTTCTTCAAAGATTTGTGGTACTTATGTATCATTCAACTAGCACTGCGGAAACTGTAAATGAAGCAAGGCGAATCCTTTTTTGCCAACATAACCGTTTCATCGAACATATTCCGCCAACGTGTGAAGTTTTGCTAAATCATAATAAAAGAGCAATTCTGCAGTGTTTCGTGTGGAGAAATTGCCTTCAGCGAGATGCAGAGCAGCCAAATCCAGGCGAATAGGGGTGGAAGAAAGTTAGGGATCAATTTGAACCACTTTGGTGTACAAGTTCCGATATTTCAATGGAAAATTACAAGAGCTTATCGCCTGTAAATGTACTCAAAGATGTACTTCAAAATGTCGTTGTGTAAAAAGTACCTTAAGGTGCACAATGCTCTGCAGGTGCGAAGGTCAATGTATCCGCGAATAGTTTTCTTTGTTAGTTAATGTTAAGTTATTTTTAGTTTAAAAATGTATCCTCTCAAGTTATTTTTAGGAACATTTTTATTCATTTTTTAGGAGGATTTAGAGGAACTTTGAGGGCTGGACAATGCTCTGTAAATATCATGTACCCGCGAAGTTTTCTTTTGTTTGGAAATATTGTACATATAGTTACTATTTTTTAGTAATAAAATTAGTGTTAAGGTACTACTTTAATATTTATCTTAGATTTATTTTTATTGTTTAAGAAATATGTTTTCGCAAAAGTTATTTTTAGCTTGAGAAATGTATCTTCCGAAGAAATTTTTAGGAAAATACTTTAAATCGAGGGGTAAACCGCAGAGGGAAAAGTGTACACCGTAATTCCTTTTACTTAAATAATTCCTCAGAATTCCTCGTAATTCCTTCGGAATTCCTTGGAATTCCTGGTCTTCAAGGTCAAGGTTAATCATTCAAAGTCTTCCTTGGAATTCCTTGGTACGAACTCGGTAACTCTTTCAGTCTGAACCAGCGTTGCCACCTCGGTTTCGCAGTTCCGCTATGAATTTTCTGGTGATTTTTATAAATGTCTAATGTCTCTATAAGTACTAGATCTAACAATAAAAAAGTACCATTACGAGATTTACGTTTTTTAGTTAAATTTTAGGACTAATAGGGGGATCATGAGGTAAAAATACTGGAAATATGTCGGCACTTACTTATTAAAATTAATTTTTCTTGGGATTTTTTGAAAATGATAGGTACCTAGTTATACTCGTATCTATAGGAAAGGAAATCAATAAAACTTCAGTTGCACGTCATAATACGATCACCAGTAAATTCCATAAGATTACGCATGGTATCATTGATGAAGTGCACCTAAAGTTGTATTAATTTCCCTATAGTATATACTATATACCTAGGTATTATTCCGAGGAAATGAAAAAAATAACTTTACACTTTCTGAGTACTGAATAAAAAAATCTTATGAGGGTTTCTTTAAAATGGCGAAATCAGGGAACGTTATAAGGAGATTTCTCGGGGGTGGTTCGGCCGTACTATTGGAAAATATTTTAGATATATAATCGAGGGTACAATATTAAATTAAAAGAATATCTAACCTGTAGATATTTGATATTGGGAAATTTTGGAAGCGAAAACGAAAAACGGATAGTAAAAAATCGCCTGCAAAGTTAAGTTAATGTTAGTTATTTAAATAAAACAGAATCTCAAGCTATTTTTAGGAACATTTTTATTCACGTTTTTCTTTAAATTTAGTACTACCTATTATAGTATTCATGGTTAATGTTCGTTAATTTTTTATGAAGTTGCTTGTAATTCCTCTTAATTCCTGTGGAATTCTCTAAATTTCTAAGGAATTCTTACGGAAATAATTGGAATTCCTAGTAATTCCTATGGAATTCCTTGGAATTCCTCGTAATTCCTTGGAATTCCTGTAGAATTCCTTCATAGTGTACACCATAATTCCTCTGCGGTTTACCCCTCGCTTTAAATGGGTATACATTATACATTTTGATAAATTTTTAGGTGTATATAGGTTTGAGGGGTGGACAGGAACAAAAAAAGAAAAGACTTAAGTAAAGGGAGGGTAGAAAAAATAAATATTTAAAAAATATTTATTTTATGTACATTTTGTTTCTTCAAAAAGAAAGTTTTATTATTTTGCTTATGAAAACAAATTTGTAACATTTCAGAGATAAGGTAAGGGGGGAGGTATGTGTAGATGGGGAAAGGGGGGGCATAAAATAGTTAAAATTAAGGGTAGTATAGGTAATAAACAATTTTTTTGTTTTGTTGTTTTAACGTTTCAATTTGTTTAGAATAAAACCGTCATTTTTCATTTATTTATTCCAATTTTAAGGGATGCGTAAAAACTACCCCACCTACAAAAAAACTGAATATAGTTTTTTAGCAAATTGTTCAAGCTTTAAAATGAGCTATTAAAACTTAAAATCCGTGAAATATTAACAAAGTTACAAGTGATAATCCAATTTTATGCTAAAAATTTTGTCCGCCATTTTGATGACGTCACCAAAGGATGATCCGGAGATGCGAGAGATTGTCTCCCGGCAATTTTTGAAGCCTTATTACCTCTAGAAAGCGTGTGCCAAATTTGGTGTTGGTGTCCGGCATTGAAATATTTTTAGGCTAACGCCACTGACTATCAGGAAATCTATACTAATATATAAGTTAAATGACTGACATACTGATTAATCACGATCCTGCTCAAACCACTCAACGTAAGAAGCTCAATTTTGGCATACAGGTTGATTCTAGGGTGTAGAGGTTCGATAAGAAGGGATTTTTCGAAATTCCAGTTCCAAGAGGGTGAAACCACCCCTCAAATATTACAATATTTTTTATTTAAAAAACGGTCAAGTTTCCGAAAAAACGCTTAAACACGTATATTTTATTTTGTTTTTTTACATATTTTAAGATTTTTTAAAAATGTATACAGGGTGTTTCGAAAAATCTGGTCATTGATTAATCACGATTCTGCTTAAAGCGCTTGACATAAAAAGCTGATTTTTGGAAAACAGATTGACTTTAGAGTATAGAGGTTCGATAAGAAGGGATTTTTCGAAACTCAAATTCTAAGGGGGTGAAACTATCCCTCAAATATTAAAATATTTTTTTATTTAAAAACCGGCGAGTTTTTCGGAAAAACTTTTAAACACGTATATTTTATTTTGTTGTTTTACATATTTTAAGATTTTTTATAAATTTATACAGGTTGTTTCATAAAATATGACCATTGAATAATCACGATTTTGCTTAAACTGCTTGACGTTTAAAGCTGATTTTTGGCAAACGGATTGACTGTGGGGTGTAGAGGTTCGATAAGTAGGGGTTTCTCGAATCTCAAATTCCAAGAGGGTGAAAGCGCCCCTCAAACATAACAATATTACAATATTTAATACAGGGTGGCGCACCTCATTCGCCTCGGTTGATTATACGAAAACGGAAAGATGTAGATACAATTTTTTTATGGGTATATGTAGGGGAGCAATATGCATAATTTAAAATTATTTTCAAATGTACAGGGTGTGTCAGAACTAAGATCCATACCAAAGTTATGTTTTTTCTTATGGAACACCCTGTATATTATTTAATTTTTGGATTCTGGGGCATAAAATAAGGCATTTATTGTAAGGGTTTAATATGTTTAAATGCTTTGGTTTTTGAGATATTTAAAGATATTTAAATATGCATGCTATAATAAAAAAGTTTGTCAACACCCTGTACATTACTTTTCAGAGTTAATTCTTGTGCTGACTTTGAACTCTGAACTGAACTGAATAAACTTTACTAAAAAATGTTATTGCTTCCTTAAATATATACAGGGGTATCAAAAACTGCTGGGCTATTTTAAATATTTATTTTACATAAAAACTACGTTATTTCAAACACAACACTATGTATTTTTTTAAATAAGTCGAAGCAGATTTAGATGCTCTTTCAAACTATATTAGGGTTTCCTATACCTATCTGGCTCATATTTTGAATAAAAAGCGAAATTTCAATAAAATGGCAATCAAGATGGCTGGTGTCGCCATGGCAATTTGCTAGTAACAGTTAGTAGCTATTTTCAAAATCGACTTTACTTGATGGACTTTATTTAAATTTATAACAGTTTACTTTTATTTAATTTACCTGCAATAGTTTAATAAGTAAGTATTTATTATTTTATCAAGAAAAATAAAGAAGTAGTTCTTTGATTTATGTTACGATGACTTTTAGATATCTTGGATTTTCTATAAAAGTAGCAATTAATAAGGCAAATTCATTTTCTTCACTACCAACTACAGGTTTCTGCCTAATAGGTTTTTCACAGTTTCACATATCACACTAACAGCTCTGCGAAATAGGAAAAGTAGTATTTCAAAAAAACTCTTGTCAATAAAATTTGTATTTCGATATCTTTGAGCATAAACCCTTCAGGCCAACAAGCAATTGTCCTCACAAAATAAAATCACTAGTAACATATCCATTCCTTCCGCCAGCTGATACTGCTTCATTTTTCTTGATAAAATAATAAATATTTACTTATTAACCTTATTGTAGGTAAATTAAATAAAAATAAAGTGTTATAAATTTAAATAAAGTCCATAAAATATTCTTGTCTATTTTGAAAATAGCTACTAAGTGTCACTAGAAAATTGCCATGGCGACATCTTGATTACAATTTTATTGAAAAATCGCTTTTTATTCTAAATCTGAGCAAGATAGGTATAGAAAACACTAATATAGTTTGAAAGAGCATTTAAATCTGCTTCGACTTATTTAAAAAAATATATAGTGTTGCATTTGAAATAACGAAGTTTTTATGTAAAATAAATATTTAAAATAGACCAGCAATTTTTGATACCCCTGTATACATTTAAGGAAGCAATCAATTTTTTTAGTAAAGTTTATTTCTCTGGCTTGAAAGTCAGCACAAGAATTAATTCCGAAAAGTAATGCACAAGGTGTTGACAAACTATATTATTATAGCATGCATATTTACATATCTTTAAATATCTCAAAAACCAAAGCTTGTAAACATATTAAACATTTATAATAAATGCCTTATTTTATGTCCAAGAATCCAAAAATAAAATAAAATACCGGGTGTTCCATAAGAAAAAATATAACTTTGGTATATATCTTAGTTCTGACAGACCCTGTACATTTTAAAATTATTTTGAATTATGCACATTGCCTTCCCACATATACCCATAAAATATTTTGTTTCTACATCTTTTCGTTTTCGTATAATCCACCGAGGCGAATGAGGTGCGCCACCCTGTATATTTAATTTATAAACGGTTAGTCTTTCGAGAAAACGCTTGGACAAGCATAATTTATTTGTTTTTTTTACATATTTTGAAATTTTTTAAAAAATTAGACAGGGTGTTCCAAAAAGTTGGGTAATTGATTAACCACGATTCTGCTTAAATTACTTGACGTAAAAATCTTATTTTTGGCAAACGGATTTTTCGAAAGTCAAATTCCAACGAGATGAAACTACCCCTCAAATATTACCAAGTTATATAATAATATCGCCATATTGTTTTTTCTCATGCTGACATAAATGTGAGAAAATTTTATCCAGTTTGTATGTTAATGGAAATTCTTGCTTTGCTTTATCATCACCATTACAAATGATTAATTCGACGCGAACGAAATCGCTGGTAAATAAATAAATGTTGCAAATTGACTCAAGCACACCCAACAAGAACACTGTGATATTCCACACCTCGCAACAAGGATATTGTGATATTTCTAATAAAATCGTTTTTTTTAAGGTAAATCATCTGCTAACATATCTATAACAGTCCGTCCGAAGCCAGGGGAATTTCCTACATCTGAAGAAATTCAGAAGCAAGTCCAATTGGACGTCACTTCTGGAAGGAATAGTGGTAAAGCTAGAGGGAAAGCCATATACGCAGACGATCAGTCTCACGAACAACGCCCTGATGGCTCTAAAAAGAAGGAGGTGAAGTAAGTTTTTATTGATTGCAATGAATACAATGACAATTACAATCATATTATGGCTATATAAAGACTTATAACAATAACTACTATATAACCAGAAATAATTAGTAAATTATTGGTAATTTCTGATATATTCTTGATAACAATGAAGGGTAAATACCATGTAATTGTAGACTCAGTTTGATACATATTTTTTAGTTGAAAATAATTTAAGTTTAAAATTTCGATTAAAATTAAAGACTAAAATTTTGATAAAAAAATATCAATTTTTTTTTATATTTCTGTACATTATTTAGTATAATCCTTGTATAATATAACTATATATTTTACATTTCTTTAAGGACATTCACACCAGTTAGTACATCGCCCAGCCTAACCCTAGATGAATACCGCTTAGACAGCAAAACAACAGCTATCTCAAAAAACAAGGTAATTGGTTTTTAAAAATTTACTTATAAACTTTCATACATCAAACTATGCAAACTATCTTTTTCATATAATCTATAACGTAATAAGCCTTTTATTTTTGGTCACAAGGATTCATTTAACCTTCCCTTTAATAAAGTAATGGTCACTTAGTTAATAATATATTAATATAAATAAATATATTACTTTTAAATGGAGGCACACATTCGCTACAAGAAATAATAAATAGTCTTTATATAATGTGCAATTCTCAGTCATAAGAGGTTTACACTGTTTAGACTTTTCGCTGAGTATTCTCACTGAATGAATTATTGGATCGGGAACAATTCATTCATGAAAAGTTGATCGGAGGTCTAATTGTCTCATCCATATCATCTTTATCGTACAGGGTGCCATTTTCGTTTGTTTTGCAGGGTTTCTCGTTTATGAATAGAGCTACAAAGATGCGGTTTTCAGATCACTGTCCTACTTTGTTATGAAACTAAATATGCTACTCACAAAAGTGTCTAGCCCTCTTAGTTCCTGGAATACAGGACTTTCGCCCTTTGAAAATTTATTTTTCGATCCCTTTCGTATCTCGGTTATCTCATAACTTATAGAAAATGTGAAATCTGAGTTCCATATACAGGGTCCGGCATTAGTGCGTCGGACATCTCTAGCTCCTAGAATAAGATACTTGAAAATTTTATTTAAGTGCAAACCTGTATGTACCAGGATATATTTCAAGAAAATATTTTAACTTCTATAGGGTGGCTCAAAAAAGTGTGAGTGGATCTCGATGATTTTTTTAATGGAACACCCTGTATATTATTGCATTTTTGGCTTCCTTTCAGATCACTTTAGATAATCCTAAGATATGAGTATATATATTTGGATAGTTTCAGAGATATTAAAAAATAAATCAAAATTTCAGCCCTTCTCAAAAAAATTATTAAAAATACAAGAACTGTTCTGAAATCAAAAATAGTTTTGATATATACCTATTATAGAATAGGTATTTACTTTAGATGGTCTGTTCTTACTTTGCTATAAATATGGTAACCGTAAATCATACTGGATGTTCAATATTCTACGCCAAACTTTCTAAAATATAAAATATCTTTGTTTTTTTTAATGGAACACCTTGTATATTTTTTTATTAGATGGAGAGTTAAAAAATGAACATTTTTTGTATTTAAAGTATTTCTAAATTTTTAATAGTTTTGCAGATACACGCAGTATTATTGCATATGGCGCTTTCAATGATAAAATACGAGAGAAAAATCATTGATTGGCTTTGATAAAAATTTTCTGCGGAAAATGCCATATGAAATATAAAACTGGGAATATCTGCGAAACCGTTAAAATTTTTGAAATACTCTAAATACAAAAAAATGTTAATTTTTTAATTCTCCCTCTATTGAAAAATTAATATACAGGGTGTTCCATTAAAAAAAACAAAAAAAAATATTTTATATTTTAGAAAGTTTGGCGTAGAATATTGAACATCCTGTATGATTTACGATTACTATATTTATAGCAAAGTAAGAACAGCCCATCTAAAGTAAATACCTATTATAGTTTTGATTTCAGAACAGTATTTTTAATATTTTTTTTAAGAAGGGCTAAAAAATACATGGTGGCTCGTCGAAAACGTTCCGCAAGGCATAACGGGCAGGGTAATTTTTTTTTCAGAAAATTCAAAAAGACGTCAAGTTTGTTTGTGAGGGGGACAACTTTTGCCCCAAAAATGATTGCAAAATCTTCAACCCTCTAAGCGGGGGTGTTATCCCCCAACTTTTTTCAAATGGGAAGGGGGGTCAAGTGGTACCGCAATGAAAAGGGCTTTTTATTCTCTATACTTTCCCGCTTCGTTTTTGATAATCGGTCGAGTCATTGAGAAAATATCAAGGATTGAAATTTGAAAAGTTTATTTAAACATTTATCAGAGTAAATGATAAGGATAAATTCCTTCGACCAATTTGCTGTTTTTTCTTATTATTTCTAGATGTTTACGCATTTTTTTAGGTGCGGCAGTTGCTAGATAGCTGTTCTTTGACTTGTGCGTTGAAGTTCTTCTCAATATCGTTAAACTTTTTAACAATTATGGTGTACTCACTTGCAGAAAAAGTACAAATAATCGAGCTTTATTTTAAAAATAATGAATGTAGCAATCGGGTTCCGCAGATATTCAATGAATGCCATCCTGAAAAACACCTTTATGGCAAAATTGTTCGCGAGTTAGTAGCAAAATTTCGCGAAACTGGTTCCGTTATGAATAAAAAGAGGCAGAGGGAAAACCCTGTAGTAAATGAAGCTATGGAGGTATTCGTATTGGGCCAAGTTGCCATGGATAGTACGCTGAGTACAAGAAAATTAGCCAATGCAAAATTAGCCGGCGTGAATCGTACCAGTGTCCAAAGGATACTAAAAAAACACAAGTTCCACCCATACAAAATTCAGTTGGTAAAAGAACTCAACGAAGACGATTTTGATCGTCGCTTGCAATTTTGTGAAACTGTGAGTGAACGAGTGGCGAATGATAATAATTTCCTATTTAATGTGTGTTTTACGGATGAGTGTACTTTCTTTTTGAACGGTGTAGTTAATCGGCATAACTGTCGGTACTAGGCTGAGGGGGTTTTCACCAGGTGCACACACAAAACCCTCAAAAATTGAACGTATGGGCTGGTATTTTTGGAAATTCTATTTTGGGTCAGTTTAACGATATTGAGAATAACTTCAACGCACAAGTCACAGAACAGCTATCTAGCAACTGCCGCACCTGATCGTTCAACCTTGTGGCAAGTGAAAAGATGCGTAAGCATCTAGAAATAATAAGAAAAACAGCAAATTAGTCGAAGGAATTTATCCTTATCATTTACTCTGATAAATGTTTAAATAAACTTTTCAAATTTCAATCCTTCATATTTTCTCAATGACTCGACCGATTTTCAAAAACGAAGCGGGAAAGTATAGAGAATAAAAAGCCCTTTTCATTGTGGTACCACTTGACCCCCCTTCCCATTTAACAAAAAGTTGGGGGATGACACCCCCGCTTAGAGGGTTGAAGATTTTGCAATCATTTTTGGAGCAAAAGTTGTCCCCCTCACAAACAAAATTGACGTGTTTTTGGATTTTTTGAAAAAAAAAATATCCTGGCCGTTATGCCTTGCGGAACGTTTTCGATGGGCCACCCTGTATAGAGAACGTTCAATTTTGAAAAATACATATTTTTGATTTATTTTTTAATATCTCTGAAATTGCCGAAATATATTTACTCATGTCTTAGGATTATATAAAGTGATCTGAAAGGAAGCCAAAAATGCAATAATATACAGAGTGTTCCATTTAAAAAAAATCATCCCGATCTACTCACACTTCTTTGTGTTACCTACATGTGTATTTGTTATAAGAGTTAAAATATTTTTTCTGAAATATATCCTAGTACATACTTTAGGTTTGCACTTAAAAAAAATTCCCATTTTTTTATTCTAGGAGCTACAAATGCCCGACGCACTATTGCCAAACTAATGTTTTTTTTTTAAATGGGATCCTATAGATTATTTTATTTTATTGTAAAATATTACATATTGCCTCTAAAAAAATATAACATACTCTATACTTATTTTCATAAACAAGGTAAGAAAACATTATTTAACTTTTTACAATAGACGGCCGGTTCAAAATAGTTAATCAAAACAATCGATTAATTTATTCGATGTTCAATTTTGGTTAATGGCTATTCCACGGTAGTTTCTGTGTATACAGTATGTCCCCGGATTGTCTTCACAAGAGGAAAAACTTTTTTATTATTGACATTTTGAGAAAAATTCATTCTTCATAAAATTTTTTGTTTTTTCTAAAATGATTAATCCTATTGATACTGTTCCAAATTTTCATATCGTTTTCGAGAAAATTAAAAAAAAAACATGAAAATATGGTTGATTTTTTGAAGTCCTAAAAATCAAAAGGCGTTTCTATGGTAATATAATTATTTAGATTTCATTCTTTGATAGATGGTTTTATTATTAATGCAACAATTTCATAAAAATGCTACATTTTCAAATTTGCCCTGTATTGATGAAAGCAAGGAGTCTAGGACAAATCTGTGTGTAGCATCTTTAGTTTCATAAAAAAGGCAGACTTATGTGACGCCGCATATATGTATCTCTACTGATACACGAGATAACCCATAAAACATACAAAAATGGGACAACAGTTTAGAGACAATCTCCATTATTAGTTTGGATGATGATTGAATGATCATTAAATGTAGATATAAATGAGCATTTACAATCCATAAAAAAACGGCGTCAATGTGTGCTTTGGAAATAAATATCGAGTATATTTTAAATGCACAGGGTCATGCGTATTTATTACAAGGTTATTGTTATTAAATAATATACATTATGTGTTTAAAATTTTGATGTACTGTATGATAATATAAAGACAACGGCACTAGCCAGACAAAGAAAAAAAAATACATTTCGTTTGGAGCTATAATCCGTCCAACGAGAGAATCCATGACAGTAAGTGTTGTATCTGTCATTTTAAATCACAGGTAAATTTTATTTTCTGTAATTATTTGAATGTCGTCTGTCGAAATCTTCCCTGAACTAAATATATACGGTTACCATTATCATTATTTTCACTCGATCGCGATAGTTGTAAATGTTTGCCTTCCATACTACTATAAAATATTCCGACATAATCGATACATCGATGAACCGTCACCCCGAACGAACGAACCGTGTCTAAGACATCCCACTAACAAACCTTAACCAATTTACTAACAACTTCTCTCCCGTTCGATCCCTTCGGCTGCCACCCAGGACAAAATTTCCAACTTGCCCTCGAGCTCCTCCTCCGAGCCGCATAATACGGCGAATTATGGAAATTCCAGGAGCTCAGCCAGTCGGGTTATGCCCAACTTCTTGTCCTTAATCTCGAAGATACAGGTTAGAAAGTTTGCTAGCGGCGCAGTTTATATTATTCTAAGCAGTTGAGGACTTCTCCACCTCTCTTTAAATTCTATTGAAACGCGTGGTGCGAGTTGGTATTACTTCTTTTACTAACTTCAATCTTACTGCGCCATTAGCGTGTTGCATTCGAATATTTTTATTTTTTTTTATGATGAAATGTTTACGTGATAAGAGCTATAGAAATAGTCAACCATATAAACGAAACAACTGCGTAGAATTTATAACATACTGTGCGTTTTTAGAGTATATAATTATACAGGGAGTCTCTTAAATAGTGCAGGTATTTTAACTGATAATAATAATAATAATAAAAAAATCCTATATGGGTATTTCGCCACTGCAAGAAAATCTACAAAATAAAATAGTTATTTTTTGTAAACTCTGCTGCGTTAATCCAACGGAGACTAATTATCAACAGGTTTACTGATAAACTAATTTGCCTAACGAACAAAAAAATGTTTAACGGTTCGGAAAGTTTATCTCTTTCCGTCGTCGTCGCAAGCAAATAAATAAAAAGGATAAAGAAAAAAATATATTTAAAATATTTAAGCGCAACTATTGATATAGTAACATAGCACATACGTCTACAAAATACCATAACACATACGTCTACAAAAACGGTTGATGATCTTTGTGATGATTCAACAACACAGAAATATACAGATTGTTAATTGGACAGATACTTATAGGGGAACAGAGTGGCAACACTGCCTATTGAGAACGCATGCACTTATAGGGTTTTCTGCCGACTCGTCCTGTCGCGTCGTCTATCGACGAGCGGGCCGAGATTGCAACATTTCAGCCATAAAGCTCTTGCCGCGAGTAATAAACAAATTAACAATCTGTATACAGAAAGTAACGGTTTTTTGTAAATGGTATCTGTTTTTAAAAAAAAACTAAAGCGTTCTCGAATAGTTGCATTTAAATATTTTAAACAGTTTTTTTTTCTTTATTCCTTGTTTTTCTTCCGACGACTGAAAGAAATAAACTTTCCGAAACGTTAAGTATTTTTTGTTTGTTAGGCAAATTTGTTTATCCGTTGGTTTAACGCAGCAGTGTTTACAAAAAATAACTATTTTATTTTGTAGATTTTTATGCAGTGGCGAATATACTCATATAGAATTTTTTTTTTGGAGAGATGAATTCGCCATATGGGTATAGACATTTTTTAATAATAAAAAAGACTTTATTGCGAAGTTTATAAAAAAATCACAAATAGCAAAGTCGAAGCTTAGCTTCCTAACTTAACCCAAAACGTACTAATACAGGGCGGCGCCTCTCATACGAAGCGGAGGCTCCAAGGAGGACGACAGTTTGTATTGAAATGAAATTTTGTGAACATATGGTGTCCCCAAAAAAAGTTACACATCAAAGTTGTTGGAAAAAATGGAACACCCTATATATTAATTGATTTTCGGATTTTGGAAGAAAAATAAAAGTGAGTTTTATTAGTGAGGTATATGATTAAAATGTAAGGTTTTTGACATATTTAACATTTTCTAAAAATGAAGAAATTTTAATAAAATATACCTAAATTGGAATTTACCTATGGGAATTTACATATAGCCTAATATGTAGTTAAAAGTTCTTTATAATTTGACAAAATATAGGTGGTTGTGATATGACTGACGTTACTTCAACATAGCTGTCAAATTAGTTCATTTTTAACAACTAGTTATCATTTTGTGTCAAAAATCTTAGAAATTTGCCGAAAATCAAAGAAACTCAAAAATCAAAGAGAAATGATATGATTCTATTAGTTGATGACTGCCGATTAATAAAATACTTAAATTCTCCTGATTTATCTACTCCGGACTTTGTTTATGGGGATGCGTTAAAGACAGTGTGTTTACAAAACTCGACCAAGTATTGTTGACAACATGAAAGAAATTATTGTGGCTGGTTTTCGAAGTAGAATTTAACGTATTCCTATTAACATGAAAAGATCTTAACAACTTAGCTATTATTCAGAAATTTAAAATTTATTCTTCATTTTCACAAAATGTGAAATATGTCAAAATCCTTACATTTTAGGCTTCTTTAATGAAACTCACCTTTATTTTTTACCCAAAATCTGAAAATCAATTAATATATAGGGTTTTCCATTAAAAAAACACAACCTGATGTGTAACTTTTTTTGGGGACACTGTAGAATTCTCTATATTTTTAAATACTCTAAATTAACATACATATACTCACAAAATTTTATTTCAATACAAACTGTCATTCTTCTTGGAGCCTCCGCGAAATATATACCTGTATAGTTCGACCACAGAACCATGGCAATATTTTAGCCAAATTTTTTTGCAAATAAATGTGGAAATCTAACATTTTTGTTGATATTTTTGGAGAAACTTAAAAAATAGTACCGCACGTTTATTCCTGAAAATATTTAAGTAGTAGTCATGCATTTTCTTGGGGTATAGAAAATTATTGAAATATTTATATTTTTCCGTTACATTTTCCAGGAAATAAAAAGAAAACTTATCAGTGACGGAGATTCATTCTCCTGATCGAAAGTTAGTTTCTTCCTATTTGTGTATTATAAATTTACAGCAATTTTAATTTTCTACATAATAAATTATGATAATTAATTTTAATTATATCAGTTACATTACTAATAATTTAAGAAAAAGGCACTATACTTATTTTTTAACACGCACTAACAGATTTTTGCAGTTATTTTTAACTTAACAGACAGAATAAATCTTAAAAATTATTGCAGATTTTGATAAAAATGGCAAATAGAAAATATGATTCTTTCGTTCAGGTCTACCACCCATTAAAATAAATACAAATATTTAAAAGACACCCTGTATAGATATTTGTAGAGAACTTTTTAATGTTTTTTCCACTGTTTTTTTTCAAAACTATTTTTGATGGTAGATTTTTTTTTTGATAAAGTTTGATAACTAATCAACCTGTATTTTTTAAATATTTGCTATTTATTTAATTTATGTAATCCAAAAAAGCATACACTTTATATTTAAACTTTTGGATTTTTTTGTTGTCATAATTTTTAAATTTATGGTTTACATTTTCTTTTTTTGTCATAATTCTTAAGTTTATGATTTACGTTTTCTTTTTTTTTTATAAATCCACTATAAATACTCTGGCACAGTAACTCCAATATTAATAAGATGAGTAGGACTTCTGGCAATTCCAGATCCTCGGATACCAACCGCGAAATGTCAGAGGATACCAGATGGTTACATTTCCAGAAACCCAAGATCAAATCCCGGCCACCGACGGCTCTATACCACATACTATGTCTGATGATAACAGCGAATTTGTCTTAGGGAGAGGCAATAGAGAGAATGTCAAATTTGAATGGTTAGTCGGCAATTGGACTAAATGTTTGCCTAGATGCGATGAAAATGACTTTCAAACAAGAACTGTCAAGTAAAAAAATTATCTTAAATATTTAAACAAGTGGGTGTAGTATACTTTTTTCTTTATAGATGTGTAGTAAAATTCTACAACGTTACTCATGAGGTCGAAAATAATTTTTGTGAAGATGCGAACATTCCCTCTTCTAACACTAAAAGAAAATGCGAGGAATGTCCTCGATGGACATTTTCAAAATGGAGCTCGTGCGAAACATCAAAGTGCTTTGCGTTGCACAAAGGTAAATATCAGCATGCATTGTTTGTACTTTTAAAAATAAATAGTAGACATATAAATGATATTTGTCATTTCATTTTTCGATTTGAAAATTTTAATATTATCGAATCATCTTCTCGAAAAAAATTGAAAATTATTTGTATAAATATCTTCAATTAATTACCACATTTGTCAATCACCTTTTTATGCCAGGCCCAGACAACTCTTTACTTAGCAAATACATCAATATTTACGTATTTGGCTAGTATATATGTACCAACTTTGTAAATAGCCATGGCGAGCTTGGCGCTCACACGACCTGTTCATTTTAGCACGAACATTATTATATAATTCTTTACCAAGTAAACAGTTTAGTGGCAATAACAGTAAAATTATGTGTGTATTCGTTTGAGCGTCTCGACAAGTATAGACAAGTCTACACTTGGTTAGTAATAATAATATTAATATTGTATAATTGTACAACTTGTACATAATTTTGTTGAGTCAATTATGCAATAATAATAATTGACTCCTTTTGACTCGAACAATTTTTACCGACAAAGAATGGGAACACGACGATTGATAAATAATTGCACAAATAAACCACTCTCACAATATGGTAAGTATATGACAACAAATGTTTGCCAAAAACACGAGTCGGTTGAGCCTGGCTCATTGCTGTACCGATGAATAACGCTGTACGTGTTTCAAACATGTACTTTTTAGTAAAATGACAATCATTTATATGCAAGTTGTGAAACCTAAATGAGCCGTTGTTATTTCGGTAGTTATGGCAGGTTCATGCAACCAAATAAAATAAAATAGGAAAGATGTATGGGATACCTGTACACGCACTCATACAGCCAAATAATATAACAAATAAAATAAGAGTTGGTTATCTTTTATTTTATTTTATGTGAAAACGGCTCATGCTTAATTCTAACCTCCAAATATTTAGTTTAGATTTATTTTTTTGTAATCTTACATAAGTATAAATTTTAGTAAAAAATAGTAAAATTTCTATAATCAATCATTAAACCTAACTTTTTTATCCAGCTTTATAGTACTGCGCACGGGCAAATATACAAGGTGGTCCGAACTATATTCCGGAAACTTCGGCGACATGTTCTGCTCATAAAAATAAGTAAAAAAGTTCGTATAAACTTATGTCCTAAAATGCTTCGTTTTAGAGATACAGGGTGTAGAAATTTATTTTTTTTTTCGATTTTTCCCTAATAATTTCTGAACTAAATTCTGTATTTGGATTAAAATTAGTATCTTTAGTATTAGTTTAGTACTAATAATAACTTTTCTTCCGTACTCTTCAAAACAACTTTTTTACTTATTTGTATGTGCAGAATATGCTGCTGAAGTTTCAGGGATACAGTTCGGACAAACCTGTATTTCTTATTTTATTTTATTTGGCTGTATGAACATCGACAAATAAGAATTTCTTTCTACATGGACAAAAGGAATTTCTGATTTTTTTATTTTATTCTTATTTTATTTTATTTGACTGTATGAACGTATAGTAAACGCCACGAATGTTTGGGAGTGATTCATGTCGCTACCATGTGAACTAATCTGTTCAAGGTCACATAAAACTTAATTCCAGTGCCGTGGTCTTTCAAGTAATATAATAATCAATATATAATCTGTTGTAATTTGTTGTTTTAACTGTCAAAGTCTTGTCAAAACATATATTTGGTTATAAATATAAAATGGAATGTCCCATTGGTCGCACTGCAAGCACGCCAATGGACTGACGCACAAAAACAAATCAATCAAAGAAACGCGATATAGTATCGTCTTTGTCAATCACGCTAACATTTTAGAATAAGTAGGAGGAGCGCAGGCAGATGATTAGACCGGGCCTTTAAAAACCTACATCTGCGGTAAAAATTTACGTTTTTAATGTAAAAATGATAGCGCGCGTGTCGATTCTAACTTCATGAAGCGATGAATCACTCCCAAACATTCGTGGCGTTTACTCTATCACTATATGAAGTAATAATTATATATAGTAAACGCCACGAATGTTTGGGAGTGATTCATCGGTCGCTACCATGTGAACTAATCTGTTCAAGGTCACATAAAACTTAATTCCAGTGCCGTGGTGTTTCAAGTCATATAATAATCAATATGTAATCTGTTGTAATTTGTTGTTTTAACTCTCAAAGTCTTGTCAAAACATATATTTGGTTATAAATATAAAATGGAATGCCCCATTGGTCGCACTGCAAGCACACCAATAGACTGACGCATAAAAACGAATCAATCAAAGAAACGCGATATAGTATCGTCTTTGTCAATCGCGCTAATATTTGAGAATAAGTAGAAGGAGCGCAGGCAGATGATTAGACTGGGCTTTAAACACCTACGTCTGCGGTAAAAATTTACGTTTTTAATGTGAAAATGATAGCGCGCATGTCGATTCTAATTTCATCAAGCGATGAATCACTCCCAAACATTCGTGGCGTTTACTCTATCTTGATCTGATAGGTATCGAAAAGATTTTTTTTTTATTTACTGTGTGAATTGGGCTTTAAACTTGTGCGAAGCTGTATATAATAAGTAGACATATAAATGATATTTGTTGTCATTTTTCGATTTGAACTGAAAATTTTAATATTATCGACTTTTTCTCAAAATCTTTTCGCATTAAAAAATGGAAATTTCTTGTGTGAATATCTTTAAATAATTACCATACTTATCAATAACCTCCTTAGAAAGGTTTTCCTTTAGAAGGAACTTTATAATAAAGTGATAATCATACGTATACCAATTGTGAAATGTAAATAAAACCGTTGCTATTTCGATTGTGTTGTATCTATGAAATAATATTTTTATATTTTAATTTATTTTGTAAAATGAGGATTAAACATATGCGAAGCGATCTTTAACCAGCAGCTGTATTAGATTTCTAAAGGCATTGTAGATATAATTTAAATATTCTACGAAACCCGACTTTCTATTAACCAATTTTTTATTGCAAACGCATACTATTTTTCATTAAATATAGAAAATCCGTCTGTTTTTCTTTATCTTTTAGAACGAAATATTTGAAATTCCCTCATTGACTTTCCTTCTAAAATATATATGTTATTTTAGCGATGCAAAAGCGAGCGGTAACATGTCAGCTGAAGGGCAATATCACGGTTGATATGAATAGATGCGACCCGCATCAAAAACCCGGACAGCGCCAGGAGTGCTACAACGCAAAGTGCGTCGGAAAATGGAAAGTTGGCAGCTGGTCAGAGGTATAATCTTATTAATTCCGATATCAATACATTTGATTTTTTTCTTTTGTTTTATAGTTTGTTAGTTCGTTTACCACAATAAAAATATCTATTAAGAAACAAGAAACGCTATAAATCAGATGACAATCAGATATTTTTTGTTTTATAATTTTTTTTTTTAATTTGAACTGATTTTTATTGTTTTTCATGTTTTTGTGTTGAGCGTAGTATTAACCTTCTCCCTTAGTCTGGAGGCTATCGATTCTTTCATTATAATTTTTAATTCTTATTGTCTACTATGTCCTATATTTCATGAAAGTTGGCAAATTTTAGATTTGCGAAAATTTCCTTTTTTAAATAATCTGTTCTTCATCAAACGTCTAAATATTTCTCAAGACAGGGTGAGTCTTAAATAAGTGCAAATATTTTGAGGGGTAATATATTTCGGCCCTAGAAACATGTCTATGAGTTTTTTCGCGAACAAAACGAATTTTAGGAAATTTTTTTAGTTTTAAGTTAAAAAACATAAATGCTCGATAATAAGGCAAAATAGGTAATAGATTGAATTTACAAGAAAGAAAACTCAGAAAAGATCCAATTGTTCTCAAAATTTAAGCAAAAAAAAATGTTTTTTTCTAAATTTTGAAAGTAAAATTACTCGGTTATTTTGGACTATTTGAAAAACGGTAAAGAGAAAATATGTTTATTTTATCGAGAACTACCAGCACTGAAAATATGTGCACTTATTTAAGACTCACCCTGTATAAAACTATAAAACTATACTTTCTAGTACGAGAGCTAGCAACGTCGGGAAAACAAGTATTTTAAGACGTCTGGCTCTGATATATCTTTTATTATGCTCTCTGGAACAGCATGCGGCCCATCTGGCTGCCGATACCCGTTGCGTTTACTACTGCGCATCCAAAGAAGATCCTCTATTTTTTACTTAGCGCTTTAAATTCTAGTATTGAATAAAAATCGAGCAAGTCTCCTTTAGCTCGGCGCGTAGAGCTTTCGCCGAAGGTCAGTGGTTCGATACCGGCTGGGAGTGTAACTTTTTTATTTTTTTTTTCGTTTATATTCTGATAGTAAAGTATTAAATATTTGCTTTTTTATCACCAAAACGGATGGCCCTTATGGGTTTATGATCCGTAGTGGGTATAAGTAGAATTTGATACTTTCATTTGTTTTGAAGGATTATTGTGGTAATTAATTATTAGGCAGGTTTAGGATGGTCTGGCTGCCGCGCCGGTAGGTTGCGTTCATTACTGCACATCACATGTGTACAGAGTATCCCATTTTTGTGCGTTTTTTGGGATTTCTCGTTTATAATTTTATTTTAAAGATTTCAACATAATATATAAAAATTAACATTTTAATGCTTTATTAAGGTAATTTCTGCCTGTCTTTCTTCAAATTTTTTTTCAGCTGTTGTTTATTATTTTAATAATACTTTTTTTAACAGATTGTTATCTAAAAGCTACACAAGTTTATTTTCAGTTCAGTTTGTTAAGATAACGATGAAAAACAAAATTATCTGGTTGAATTAAATTAAATAAAATAATAATACTTTCTAAACAAGATTGATTAATGTTAATGTATAGAAAATGCACAAATCTAGGGGTAAAATATTTAGTTACATAAAAAACTAGCCAAGTAATGTGAAAAAAAAAACGCATCATTGTATCTCCACTCATAAACGAGAAATCCCAGATATCCCAAAACGCACGAAAATGAGACACCCTGTACCCATGTGATGCGCAGTAGTGAACGCCACCTACCGGCGCGGCAGCCAGACCATCCTAAACCTATCTAATAATTAATTACCACAATAATCCTTCAAAACAAATGAAAGTATCAAATTCTACTTATATACACTAGGGATCATAAACCCATAAACGCTGTCCGTTCTGGTGATAAAAAAAAAACAAATATTTAATACTTTACTATCAGAATATAAACGCAAAAAAAAAATAAAAAAAGTTGCAACCTCAGCCGGAATCGAACCTCTGACCTTCGCTTCATAGGTAAAAGCTCTACGCCCCGGGCTAATGGAGACATGCTCGGTTTTTATTCAATACTAGAATTTAAACCGCTAAGTAAAAAATAGAGGATCTTTTTTGGATGCGCAATAGTAAACGCAACGTGTATCGGCAGCCAGACGGCCTGCACGCTGTTCCAGAAAGCATAATAAAAGATATATCAAAGAGCCAGACGTCTTAAAATACTTTCTCGAAAACGTTGCTAGCTCTTAGACTATTCCTTAGGAACTCAAGCTTCATTCACAATTAGTGGAATAAATTAGTAGTTTCAATTTTTATACTTTATACTTACGATCATTCACAATGTCTAAAATACACAATTAAAATCATATACAAACTAAAATATATAGGAAACTGAAATGATACCGTCTGTTGGAGAATTCTGTGGCGCCATGCATCGGGTCGTTACACAACTTATGATACAATTTGATTTTATTTTACAGGAAACTTTACATTTTAACTACAGGTAACTATATTGTTGCGTCCACTCTAGCGCCATCTATTATCAATTCTTCGAACGTAATTTATTTTTTTTGTACAGAAAATAGATATTTTTTTTTTTCTATTTCCTATTTTTTTAATAAGAATAAGTTACTCTAAATACGACATCGCTCCATTATATCGTATTGTTCTCAAACAGGTGACGTTTCATTTAGAATTAACTTATCCTCATCAAAAAATATGAAATAGATAGAAAAAACAGCTATAGTTAATAAAATAAAAATAATTAACTGTGTGTGTGTGTGTGTGGATATGTTGAATAATTATTATTAGTAATAACTTTATTCAAAAAGTAAATAATACAAATTATACAATAAATAAAATTTTTTCTTCAGGCGAAGGCTCGCACGGCACTGCTATACTTAACTTGTTCATATAAATACAATAATAATTATAAATCAATACAATAATATTAAATAATATAAAATACAACTAACCAAGTTTTGTCGCGAACTTATTCGAAGCGCGGCGAAAAAATGTGAATTGGATCAATGGTATCTATGTATAAAAATGCAGACCCATGGATTAAAGCGAAGTAACGCGAAGAATCAAAATACATGCAATTAATCCAATGACATTTTGGCGCTTCGCAAAAGTTTAAAGCATGATGAGCACTTCAGCGAAGCCCGCCGAAGCCGAAGTCATGCGAAGCACTGTTTTTCGCACGCGATGGATAATTAAAGTTGTTTTAACCTGACCTTTTTAATTTTAGTATTATGCGTAGAGAAATATTATCTATGTGACGATTTGCTAAAAATATTGGATTCATAACGTTAATATAAAAATGCCTTTTATCTACATTTTTCCTCAATTTCCACCCAGGCGTTGTCTCGTCTCAATTCATTATGATAATTTGGATTCTCAACATAACTCTTTGTAGCTCTGTGTAATCATAATGAATGTTTCATCATCCTTGATCTCAGTAATTAAACTGAATTCACAGGTTGGACGATTCCTTTGCTATGCTTGAGATCTGAAACAAATAAATATGTATAATTATGTGACACATCAAAAAAACCTCGAGTATGGTTTATAGGAGGAAAAAATTAAAAGTTGATGCCGTTGAAGGGCTCTAAAATCTCAACAGAAATTGGCTATGAACTTTTTATCTTAGTCTTTAAGTTAACACAAGCATTATTTTTCATAAGAAATAATTATGGTGTTTATATGCCTTTTAAAAATAAGCAGGATTCAAAAACAATTGCTAATAAAGCAAATTTACATTTTTGAGTAGTATGCTCCACTTATTATATTTTTTAATTCTTACCTAACTTGGTTGTAAACAAGAGACAGATCTTATACCTCACTCACAAAAACTGCATCATCTGCACTCTGGAAGATTCCTGATTTGGATTATCTGATCCTTTCTCTAAAATGATAGATACAATTTAAAAAATCTAAAACGATAATTTTAATAAACCAAATTCAGTTTGGATTCGTAATACATATTAACATTTTTAATAAACTTTGGAATATCTAATAATTGAATCACTCTCTGCCAAATTAAAGTAGCCAGTGCTATATCTTGTTTATTTACAGCTCAATTAAAATATTTTTTGTTATAAAGTTGATATGATATTTTTTAAAAATAATGTTCATCTTCATTACTGAATATTTTGCGACATTAATTTGGCCTACGGTGTAGGTACCTACCCTTTTCAGTTACTGCTTTTATCTCAGGTAACAGTACATGGCTAATACCAACGAGAAAGTGGTCCACCAACAAGTTCTACAACAAATGTTTGTCTTTAAATACAGGGTTTGTACCTGGATCGACATCACCGGACACCAAATTACCAGTAGGTTGATCATCTAAAAGATTATTTTAATTTTATTAGATCAAAATATCTGAAAACGTTCTTTATTTATCTAAATGCATATACTTACCCATATGAACTGGTGTATATAAAAACTTTAGAATTAACTTCTAAACCTCTTTTTATTCCAGGTACGATCTTGATTACAAAAATGTAAATCACAAACTCTATAAATTTTTTAAATATCTTGCTGTGTTGTATTTTCCATTTTAAGATTTCGCACTTGATATCACTTTTGAAATAATGTAGGATCGTTCTTCTAGAATGTATGTCTTTTGGAAAACAAATCCGGCATCGGAACAACATACTTATGAAAGGGTTTACGGCCTGATTCCATCATTGTTTTTAATAAAAAGTTTAAATAATCACTAAAATTCCAGTAAAACTTTTATCGATTTTTGACGGTACATATTATTTGATTAGAACTGACTTGATTTGATTTGAACTGCCTAAATATTTTCGCCTTAAGCGCGACAAATCTGAAGTTGTCTCTGAAACTGAAATCTGTCAATTCTAAACTGTGAAGTTAGACAATAGTTAGACAAAAACAATGCTGTCCTTGTCTAGGCGGCCATACTTGTCGTGAGGAGAATGACAAGAATGACACTAATGACTGTTTCCAATTTTCCTATTTCACTGTCACCCCCCTGGTTGTATCCATAGAGAAAGCATAATATTTTTTTTTAATCAATAAACTTTTGATTTCTAACCAAAATTTTTTCTTGTACAGATGATAATCAAAGGTCAAAATGACATTCCTCGCAAATTTTGAAGTATAATTAGTGGAAAAGTCAAAAGTTTGTTAACTTTTTCGACTAATTGAAAATTACTACCACTAATTATGACGTTCTGAATGCTTACATTAAAAATAAGTGAACAAACTTCTACCCTAATTGAAACCACTAATTTATTCCACTAATTGCAAGGTTCTGAATGAAGCTTCAATCTTAATAATTCCAAAATTTTCAGTGTACAGCCACTTGCGATAGTACTGGTGAAAAGTTCCGTATCCTTCAGTGCGTATGGTTTGGTACTAAAAAACCGGCTGGCAATGCTTGCAAGAACATTCCAAGGCCACCTACGAAAAAAATGTGTAGAGGAACACCATGTAATGTCATCTCAGGTACATAGATTTTTATTGAATATACCTAAAGTATTTTAACAAATATAAAGTTAACTGTATACCGTATCAAAAAAGAATGTAAAAAAATCATATTTTTGTCGGTATTTTAATTGTAGCTTTCTCTGGACCATATTATAAATACTAATTTGAAGATCGGTTTTTACAAATAACATTTAAATACTGATTTCGAAACTGAACTTTAACGCCTCTTCAAAAAAGTCTTTATAACTTTTGCATAAAATTATCTGGGAAGATAATATTTAGCTTTTTCAAAATTTACATGGGACTTCCTATGTCCCATTTTCGATAAAAAAATACTTCATATTTTTGGAGGCAAAAATCTGCCTGTCAAAAAGATTTCTATATTCCAAACTAAAGTCAAATTTAGTGATTACCGTAGCCACTGTGACATAAAGGGAAGACATATGGCTATCTATTTCAAAAATTAAATTGTTCGAATGTCATGTACATGTAATTTATGACACACGTAGCTGTCATAAAATTGAGCAATTAAAAAATTATCACAAGTCATTTTCTTTCAAATGGAAACCCACCTTTTTTATTTCACTAGTGAAAAGTTAACTAGTAATTCGTTACTTTTTGATTATACATGTTGTGATACCTCTGATACCTAAAATAATTAATGTTTAAGTTATTTAAGATTTACTTGTAAAGTGTATATTTTTCTTGATTTTTTTCTAGCTTCCTTTGACATTTTTTAATAACCTAACCTAACAACCAGACAATTTATTTCCTTCTGTCAGAATTAATTCCTAATTATTCCAATTTCGTATATTATAAATATAGCCTGCTAAAAATTTTGCATTATAAAAATATATGTCGTATTTTCGCTCTTTATTGATATCTAATAGTGGACATTATTAATAATATACCGTGTGATCGAAAAAAAAGGCGCAAATTTGGCTCGAAAATTACGATCAATACTGATTTTTTTTTAAATTTTAACAATATGACATGCCAGATATATTGTTTCACATCGCTTGACTTTAAAGGCATAGGCTACTGGTTGAAATTAGAAATATATACGCTTTAAAACTAAATCTTAAATAACATAAAAACGATTTATTTTAGGTATAGGAATATGCTCGGGAATATGTATAATCAGAAAGTAACAAATTAAAAAACCTTTTCACTAGTGAAATAAAAAAGTTTGTATTCATTTAAAAAAACGATTTATGATAATTTTTTAATCGCTCAATTTCATGACAGCTACGGCCAATATTATATAACATTCAAAAAAAAATTTGAAATAGAAAACTACATGTCTTCTCTTTATGTTAAAGTGACTGTGGTAATCACTAAATTTGACGTTTTTGCTATAGAAATTTTTTTTGACAGACAGTATTTTTTTCTCAAAAACGGTTAATGTTATGTATAGAGGTTTGATATAAGAATTCATCAAATTTGACAAGGAATTTAAGTATGTAATAAAAAATGGGGATACCCATTTAAAATAAGAAAGTTGCTGTCAACTTCCGATATTTCCGGAAGTGCCGCCATATTGAAAATATTTTCAATCGATATATCTCGTTGTAAAACAATAATCTGCATTGTATTTTTTTAGAAACTTCTAATGCACGCTCAGCCTGGCTATCAAGCCTCTAAGATTTAATGCGCTAGTTGCACAATAAATAGAAAAAGTGTAATTTAAATGAAGGTTAGATTACATTTATGCATGTACAATAAGAAATATATTCTGCTTTTATTCGGCACTTTTCTTTTTAACTGTATTCTGGATATAAAGTTTATATTCCGTATTGGTTATTTCATCTTGCTATTTTAATATTTTCAGAAGAAGAATGCAAGGACCATTCGATGTTCTGTTCCAACGTCAAATCTCTGAACATGTGCGAAATTGTAAGATACAAACAACAATGTTGTCAGACGTGTCAAAGTAAATTAGAACAACAAAAAGTTTAAATTTGAACTGCATAAAATAGGCTAAAGTTAAAATTCTGTTTAAAGAATAACAAAAAACTATAAATATCAATCAGTGTGGATCGATCCTAAATGTTGATTTAGCAATAAGGAGTTATGAAGAATCGACAAGAAAAGAGTATATTTGACCATTTGTATTAATTGTTTACTAGATATACATATATAATAAAACGTTGCAAGTATTATTATTTATTACCTATTTGCGATTTTGTTTATCACTATGAAAACAAAATTGAAATAATTTAAGCAAAATAAATATGCTGAATAACTCCAAATATTTAAGACTGACATAATTTATTATTTCTATTACACTATATACAGAGGGTTTTTAAAGGTAACTTATAACTTTTCAGAATTTTGTCTAATTTGCTTTAATTTTTTTATATAAGGTTATTATTATAATTAAATTACATGTAATACACTATTATGTTACGTTATTACATGTAGTATTACATTATATTTTAAAGTTAATAGTATCATTTCATAAAACCATTAATTTTGTTCCCTTTTACTTCATAATACCACCGATTGAAGAAATGAGAAGATGCGAAACCTTATGGGCGATTTCGTGGCACAAAACCTCCAATCCGAGATGTAGCTGGCGCTAACCGTCAGCCCTTCGTCAGCCTGTCTGAGCATTCCGAGATTTAGTTTAGCTCTGCGCCGCTGCGCGCTGAGAGTTGTTTACAGCGCAACGGAAAAAGAATTCTGTACCGTAGTTCTGCTTTCAGTCGACAGAGTGATTGGTTGCCGGAGACAGTAATGCCAGAACTACTAAGTAAGCCGTAGATTTACGGATTTTTGGTACAGTGCGTTAATAATACCGATTTTCTATTTTTTAACAATTTAATATAATATTATATGATTAAATAAAGAACGGCGTCAGCGTTGGCTTGGAAATGAAGATTGCTGTTATTTCATATTACGTAAAATATTATGATATATGTCAATTAGTCGTCATTTCCAAGCCAACTAACGACTTTTTTCTATCATACGAAATATTCAGTACTTATAAAAAAAATATTTTTGTTGTTTATTCTATGTTTAACACGAATAAATTTTCAATATACAGGGTGGTCCGAACTGTATTCCGGAAACTTCGGCAGCATATTCTGCAGATAAAAATAAGTAAAAATGTTGGTATAAATATATATATTAAAATGCTTAGTTTCAGAGATACAGGGTGTAGAAGTTTCATTTTTATTTCAATTTTTTCCAAATAATTTCTGAAATAACGTTAATATTTGGATGAAAATTGGTGTTTAGGAGTTTTTTGATATGAGAAATTTGATTTTGATGTCAATATGACTCCTACTTGTAAAGGGCGCCACGTACATATTTTTCAACTGGTTTGAAGCGTAATAATTTTTCGTCCGTACCTGTATAAAACTACTGAGTAAAAAATATACATTTACAACGTTTTTTACGTAAAAAAGGTCTCTCAGTAAAAGTCAGTACGAGTAATGGTTCTTGAGATACTTGGAATCGAAATTATGAATACCTGTCATCATTGACATAAATTAAACATGTTGACTAAATAATTATTAGACTGAAATCATAAATTTGAAATGTTTTTGTGTCAAAAGTTCACCAGAAACTGTTTTATCATCATTTTTGCAGAAAAATTATTATTAATTTAAAAAGATAAAAATTTCCCAAATTTATTATTTCAGTCAAATAATTATCTACTAAACGTGTTTATTTTTTGTCAATAATGGCATATATTGACTCTTTACATTTTAAATATCTTGAGAACGGTTGCTCGTAGCGATTTTTACCAAGAGACATTTTTTACGTAGAAAGTCACGGAAATGTATATAAACGTATATTTTTTCACTTAGTAGTTTTATACAGGTACGGACGAAAAGTTATTACTTTTCAAAACAGTTAATATTCATGTAGTTGGTGTCCCCTACAAATAGGAGTCATATTGACATCAAAATCAAATTTTTCATGTTGAAAAACCCCCAGAAACTAATTTTCATCCAAATATTGAAGTTACTTCATAAATTATTTGGATAAAATCGAAATAAAAATGAAATTTCTACACCTTGTATCTCCGAAACTAAGCATTTTTGGGACATACATGTATACGAACTTTTTTACTTATTTTTATATGCAGAATATGCTGCCGAAGTTTCCGGAATATAGTTCGGACCACCCTGTATAAACGCGGATTTTTCATTCAAAGATATTTTCGTCAAATGAATTACAGATATTACAAGCTTTAATATGGCAACACTGTCGCTTTCAGTTCCACACCGTCTTCAATATGCCTTCGCTAGCCGAATTAGAGAAAATGAGTGTTTTATGCGTTGGCCGCAGAATGAGTACTCCAGGAGTGCTCCACCGTACAACACTTAAGGGGAAATAAGACGTACGGGGAAATCAAATGAGCTTTGTTACGAATTTGCCCATTAGGTTGCGTATCTTCCCAATTCTTTCAATCAACGATATACTCTTCATTTTAGTGTCTCTTTTTTATTTAATATACTCTACTAAAAATATTTTTTATACAAATTAATAAGTTACTTCATAAAATTCTTGTATATAAGCTTGCTGTTTGTTTGTGTTTATCATATTATTTGCTTGTATTTAGTTATAAGCCTCATAAAATAAAATTATAGGTAATAATATATTTATAGAGACCCCGAAAACATTGTTGAAATACGCTTGTTAAGTTTAGGTATGTTCCACATTCCATTTAAACTGATATTTAGAAAAAAGGTACTTTTTTATTTAAAATATTAAACCAACTTTTAGCAGATTATAAATAAATTGTTGCATAGTAGATTTGATTTTTGTAGATCATTTAATTATAAGTATAGTGACAAAATATGAATAAACGTTTATTGTAAATAAGTTCCAAGAAACAGGGCAGCTTGAATAAATTTAATATAATAGGAAATATGGTTTAGAAGTGGCTATTGAGCGGCTCAAGAAATAGAAAATATAAAAATTTAAAAAAATTGTTTCATAGATATTTGACAAATATTCTTTCTAAAGCACACTAAAAATATATATAAATACTACTTAACTTTTATCATATAAATCTCTATTTGTTTGGAGCAATCACATACGTAATAACTTTTTTCTTGGCCGACTCAATCAAATTTTATAAAATGTAGTTAATAAAAAGAGTTTTGTTAATAGTACAATTTTTTATATTGCTGTTTGGTTTTTTAATGATATATTATTCCGTATTCAACTAAATTAAAAAGTTTATAAACATATTCTATTTGACATATTCTATATAAACAACTGAATTTTTGATTATAAATAAATTGTACATTGAGTAAAACTTTTAAACCACTTACTAAAAAATGGTCTTCATTGAAAGTAATATAAAATGTTATGGACGCAGCTTTAATTACTGAAAAATCTCAAGAGCTTTACCTTATTAACTTAAAAAGTGTAAAAACTGGACATATTTAACATAGATTGTATATTGTAATATAACTTTAGAATATTCTATAGAAAAAAAAGATATTGTTAATGATTGCCTAAAGTTATGGTGGCTTAAAATCCCTTATATAAGAAATTATGGCAGATATTATAGAAAAATATGATAATATTTATTATACTGGGTGATCGCGTTAGTATTCCTAGCTAAAAATTTGGCACTAAATATGAGAGATATATATTTAAAACAGGTTTAATTATCGCCCTGTATAATAAAATATTTTTTAATTTTTCATAACTGGATGGATCACGATTCACCACCAGTATAAAAAGCAAATAACTATTGTAATTAATTTAATTATTAGATGTATTATGGAAATAAGGAAAAACGTTTAATTTTTACTTGCAAACTTAATAAACTACTTTGAAGATGAAATGGTTGTACGATATTATATGAAGTTACAGTATTATAGAAAATTTTAAAGATATTCTCTTTTGTATTTTTTATATTTTTTAATATCATTTTAAGAATAGGTAACAGACTATAACAAAAAAAGATATTCACACTGATATAAATTGTTATGTTTTTTTTTTAATTTCTGATGCTTAAATGCTAATTTCAACTGATTTATTAAATTAAATTTGTAAATGTTTTTAACTTATATATCTCTAATTCTAATTTAACATTAAAATACATATTCAAATGAAGACTTGAAGTAAATAATGTTCTAAGAGTCAAAATCCTTAAATTTCGTGATAAACATTTTTTGTTATATAACCAATGTATAAGAACTGTTGAGTTTTTTTCAATAATAGCCGTGGCACTTAGTGGCTTTATATACCGTATGATCCAAAAAAACGGCGTCAGCAATGGCTATGAAATGAAGATCGCTGTCATTTTATATGCAAATATACAGGGTGTCATTGAAATGGTGTAAAAAAAATTAAGTAAAGCAATAAGATGTTTTAAAAATCATGAAATTTTGATTTTTCAATTAATTATTTGATAACTACTTGGTTACTTTTAAACCGCCATAATTTTCATAAGTTTATGTTGATTAACCAGTTAGCAACCCATCAGAGCAAACTCTTTGCCTTCAATTTTTTTCGAAAACCAACCCGCTCTGGGCGATGTGCAACAAGAGTACCTTTGGGTCAAGTTTCGTTTAGCCGAAATCTGTTAAAAAAGAAAAAACAATTTTTTTGTCATTTAAGTACCTCAGGCAGTATATTACTGAAAAAATTTTGCCGCGGAAACGCGTCACCATTTTTTGAATGCGGTTTAAAAGTAACGAAATGACATACATGAAAAATTAATGTTATTTCATATTTTAGACGTCTTTGTAAATACTAATACGAAAATGAAATTCCGCGGAAATGCGCTGTTGCCATTTTTTTGAATATGGTTCACAAGTAACGAAATGAGATATATAAAAAACTAATATTATTTTATATTGTAGACTTATTTTTAAGCACCGATACAAAAATGAAAATCCGCGGAAATGCCTTGTTTCACCACTATGCAGTGATCTTCTTCCCGACCTTTGACACAGATCAATGAATATTATCTATTCTTATCAACTTAATATCGCTATGGTCAACAAATGCGAAAATTTAAAAACAATTGTCAATAAAGCATAAAAACGACAACTAAACCAAACCAACTAAAACCAAACCGAAAGTATGCAAAATAGTTGAGAATACTATGGAAAACTTAATATTGAAGATTTTCCATTACACCGCCCTTATGATAGATTTCCGCGGAAATAGTTATATAGAAAAGTTATAGCAAATTATTAATCAAACAAAAATATGTAGTTTTTATCTTCCTATCACATTTCGGCACTTCTAAACCCGGAAAAATCAATGAAAATTATTGTGATAAAAATATATTTTCGAATAAAAATTGATCACATCGTTATATTAAATGTTTTTACGTCATTCTATAATGAAAAAACTATTAAAAACACCGTAAAGTTTTAAATTTTAGTTAATAATAGAAAAATTAAAAATTCGAGTTTACTCAAAAACAAAGAATTTCCGCGGCAAAAATCAAATTATGTAGTGCTAGTTTTCTTGTATAGAATCATCCTATAAACCGATATTCTATATAACTGATTTCGGCTAAACGAAACTTGAGCCGTACCTTTTTTGTAGGAAAAAGTATGTAGTTTTCAAAAAATGAACCCACGTTGCAAAAAAAAATAACCTCAAAAATGTTATTCACGAAACAACCCCCTACCCTTTCCGCTTTTCCAAATAATTTTTCAGTATCACTATTTAATTTAGGGTCAAAATTTATGGCAGAGCATTTTTTTTCGAAATTTTATCTCGCTTTTTAAGCCTGCAATTTCAAAACAACCGTTTTTTAAATTCACCCTTTCAGTGCCCCTACCTCCCTTAATATGCATTTTCCGCCCTATGCTTATAGGAACTTTTTTTACTATTTTTAGGGGTACTATCACCCCCTGATTTTTTTACACCATTTCAATGACACCCTGTATATGGGAAATGTTATCGATTGTCATTTCCCAGCCTGTATATTGTTGGTTATGAAACGTGGGACATTTTGCAAATAAAACATGACACACCGATTTTCTGGTACTTAGAACATTATTTTCTTCAAGTCTTTAAATATTTTAACATTCAAATATGTTTGCTTATTATTATTGCATATGTTGGAGGCAGATGCCGAATTCGGCCTATATCCGAAATAATTAGACATATAGCGATTTGTCCATACTAAACTTGCTAGATGCGTGCAACTTCGTGGTTATAAATAGGCTTTATATAACTTCTTTGCGGAGGGGGTTAATCTTTTTTTGGTATAATATAACAACAAAAGATTAACACCCTCCGCATAGAAATTGAAACCAATGCAATCAATATACTACAATACTCTTCCGCGTAACTTTGTGGATATAGCTAGGTATATTTAATTATAATAGCCATATGTCTAATTATTTCGGACATAGGCCGAATTCGGCATCTGCCTCCAACACATATATTAATATATAATATGGGCTTAATTTTAATAAACTAGTATACTTTTTATATTGGACCTTTCTTAATTTATATACAGGTTGTTAACTGGACAGTTACTTATAGGGGAACAGAATGGCAACACTGCCTATTGAGAACGCATGCACTTGGGTTTTCTGCCGACACGTCCCGTCGCGTCGTCTATCGACGAGCGGGCCGAGGTTGCCATATTTCAACCAAAAAGTTCTTGCCGCGAGTAATAAACAAATTAATAACCTGTATATGTCCAAACTAGAAAAATTATTTAACAAAATTATAAACTCAACAACAAAAAATGTATGTAAAATAACCAGAACGCTCTGTTAACTTTTCCCTTGTGACTTAATTACTTTTAATGGCAGTCTGTTACTTAAAAAATAAATATAACTTAATTTAAATACATTCTACCTGTTTTGTATTATAATTTTTAATATTATTTTTAAGCTATACTTTGTATAAATTACATATTATAAATTTCCACAATTTTTATATGTTTGGTGTCAAATGTAATAAAAACTTTAAATTTACTGGTATATATTTTATTCGTATCCTTTAAAATAACGTATAAAAATATATTTGTTTTACTAGAAAAACATCTGGAAAAGCTTAAGTATTTATTTTAGATCCAATCCTTTACCCCATATACCTAAGAGTTTATCTTCTGGAATACTTGAGATTCTATCCAATAAGCTCCAACCTGTTTTTGAAGTTGTTAGAATATATTCATTGTTCGGGTCTTCTAGACTTGAGTATGCTCCATATAAAAGGGACTGGCAATACCTTGCCAATACACAAATCTATAACATTACATTTTTCAAATAATGTCTATACCTAATATCCCGGGTGCGTCTCAAAAGTGGAGCACCCCTATATTTTTTTTTATTTTTCCAGATAAAAAAACTAGATTTGGATGTTAGTATTGTAAAACTTGGAAAATAAGTTTGTTATAATAATGCTTTTATTTATTCATTATTCTAATAAAGAATATGCATGCCTTCGGAAACTCTATTTATTTATCTAGTAATGCTAAACCACTCTATTTGAAAGTCGATTAGAGAAAATAGTATGATTCATTGACAAGCGATGTAAATATTTGTGATCAGGTAAAATTGTGATGTAAGAGGAGGCTTAGCTTGCCGGCGGCAGGTCAGTAGTAGACGGGCCGGCCGACTGTTGTGTTGTGTTTTGTCATAGAGCTGATATTTGGGGGTTGCGAGTCTTTTGACTATAAACGTTGCATGTACTGTAAGGCAACGGGTCGTTTGACCATGAGAAGAAACCCTCTTGTGACGTCTTGCCTTCGAGGTTGGTCTTGAGAGTTTGAGGTCTCCCTTGTCTTCTCGATTGACACGATGCGGCGTTGGGGTAGTGAAGTACCACAATTAGCCTATTCGATTGGGATGCAAATCTGTTTAGCGGCAGATTTGCGTCCGGGGGAAGCCCCTATACTATTTTAGGTGACACTAGCTAGTTGTTGAAGAAATGTTGTTGAATTTTACAGTATATACATAAATTAGGAAAGACTGATTTTCATTTGCATTCAATTGTTTTTGGTTGTAAATGGCACCCCCTGTATATTTTGACTTTATTCGATAGAAAATGACACTCTGAATGGCATGATATATCATATATCAACTTTTGACATTTTTGCATATATGGTTTATTTGAAATTGTAACACATTGTTCATAACTACAATTTGACAAAATACCAAGTGAGTGGTACCAAATTATTCGTAAAAAACTGCTTTTACCAAATATGCTAATGAGCCACCCTTGTTTTATTTGAAAAACTTGTGATATGACTAAAAATACGATTGTGACACACATTTTAACCGGCCAGGACAAGACACGAAAAACACTAGACGATGAAATCTATTTTTCCAAGGCTCCTTGATTAAAAATTATTGTTTTTAACATAGCCATGGAACTCTAGACGGAAATTTAAAATACAATATTTTTAAAGCCAAATTGTCAAAAGTTGTAGCCATTTCCGGTGAAACAGGAAATGTCCAAAAACAATTGAATACGTCAGTCAATCCTAATTTATGTGATATACTAACATAACAAAATCTCGTTTTTATCTAAAAAAATAAAGAAGTTATAGAGGTGAGCCACTTTTGAGACGCACCCGGTATAGTCTATACCTAACTTAATGAATGTTAATAATAAAGTAAATAAAATTTCTTCTTGTAATACATAAATATTTTGAAATGCTATAAATACTTAAGGATATTCCAATAGATGTAAATCTATTGGAATAAACATATTTTTTCGTTTAATTTATCTTTGATTTGAGTTGGGTAGATAGTAGTAGGACAATGCTGTTATTAAAGAAAGAAGTAAATACCTTTAGTAACTTGAACTCTTTTAAAGAGATGGTCCTTGCTGAGCAATAACCTCTTACAACATGTGCACCATTGCTTATATCGTTGGATGTAAAAATCATATATGCTACAGCCAATGCTAACTCGTATATGTAGCAACCATAATGAGTATCTCCAAAATCTAGAACGGCCTTAATGTACCATCCATCTTTATTTTCCACCAGCAAGTTTTGTTCATTTATATCGCCATGTATAATACCTTAAAAATAATAAAAATATATCGTTAACATATCATAGGTAAACAACAATCAGAGAAAACATATCATAGATAAACAAATCAATTCAGGAAAGCGCATTTGAAAGTTTCCATCTGTCAATTATACGAAGGAACACAAAATAAAAGTTTGGAACACCCTGTGGAATATGCTAAAAAAGCAAGGAATTTGGAAATAATTTTATCATTTAGGTGCATTTTTTTCCATAGTTTATTTTATGCTTCATCTCAATAGCTCTATTTTTTGCGGATTTCGTTTTTGAAGAAGACACTAACATTTTTTTCGTAATTTTTACATTAAAACCATGCCTTTGCTTTTAGTCCCAGTTAACAGACCTATGAAATAGTGTTTATGATTTATGTAATTTTAGTGTTATTGAAAAATCATATTATTATTGTCTGTTGGCTGGTGGCCAGTTACTCTAGCAGAGATGGTTTTAAGTCCAGAAGTTATATCTGCTATAGTTGTGCTTTAAGTAAAGATGATAGAGATCAAAATTATGTCTCTAACAGATTTAGATTTTTTTCAAATAATTTCTGAAGTAACGTCAATAGACAGTTAAAGCACGGCCAAAGACGTAGACGTAAACGTATCTTTACGTGCCTTTACGTACGTACAAAACGCAAACGTATCGAACCGAAGGAGTTTCGATTTTCACCCGAATGATGCCGAACGTACAAATTCACAAACAATTCGTTTCCACAACTGTCTAGTATTATTTAATTAAATATGCTAGTTCTTAGCCAAAATCCATATGAGGATTCTAAAAGATGGAATCTAATAAATAATCATAAAACTCTGTCTGTTTTCCTATATTTTTTATTACTAAGAGCATTTTAAGTTGTAAGGACTACTTTCTGTAATAAAATAATTTCCATTTATAATTTTCTTCATTTTTCGATATTACTTTTATAAATTTAATGCGGATTCAATAGAATAATAGATATCCATTTTCAGTTTTAAAATTAAATAAACTGTTTCACAAAATAATTTAGAATTACAAATGTACCATTTGCGTTACGTACGTCAAATACTTGCTTTAACTCTTGTTTACAGGACAACGCAAGGGCAGACGTAACGTAGGTTTCTGCGTTACGTGTCGAGAGATACGTATACGTATTGTGCCTTGCTTTAACTGTCTAATATTTGGATGAAAATTGGTGTCTGGGAGTTTTTTAACATGAAAAATTTGATTTTGATGTCAATGTGACTCCTACTTGTAGATGGCGCCACCTACATATTTTTAACTGGTTTGTAGAGTAACAACCTTTTCATCGGTACCTGTATAAAACTAGTGAGTGAAAAAAGATACATTTACGTTTTTCACGTAAAAAAGGTCTCTTGGTAAAAATCGCTACGGGTAAGGGTTCTCGAGATATTTGGAATCGAAATTATCAATACAAGTCATCATTGACATAAATTAAACACGTTGACTAAATAGTTATTAGACTGAAAATCATAAATTTGAAATGTTTTTGTGTCAAAAGTTCAACAGAAACTATTTTATCATCATTTTTTTTTTGAAGAAAAATTTATAATTAATTTAAAAATAATATGTTACGTTTTTCGTCGGTTCCGTGTGGACAGAAAGTCACAATTTATTTAAAGACAATTTATTTAACACTAATCAAGAAAAACAATAACAATAAAAGCCTTAAAGAACTATTTACAAACGATTTATAATTATTTATCTAGAAAAAATTTATTTTGAATTTTAGCGCGTCAACTGTACTCGTCTATTTATTTCTGTCCTCCTCAGGCTCCAGCCGTCGGATTTTATACCCACAGCTAAAGAGTTTCTCGAATAATCCATAAATCATTAGGTGCATAGAGAAGGTTTCGAATGTTCTCGTATGTACTCCATTTCAGTGGAACTCGTTTTTTCTCGAACGTTCGAATGAATCATTACGGTGTCTATTCTTTAATGCGATGTTAAGGTCATCTGAGGCCGGGACATATAGTTAGGTTAGGTCGAGTCCACACGGGTCCGCAACAATAATAAAAAGTTCCCAAATTTATAATTTCACTCAAATAACTATCTACTCAACATGTTTATTTTTAGTCAATAATGACATGTATTGATTATTTTCATTCTAAATATCTTCGGAAATGTATATTTTTGCACTGAGTAGTTTTATACAGGTACGGACGAAAATTTATTACTCTTCAAAACAGTTAAAACACATATAGGTGGCGCCCTCTACAAACAGGAGTCATATTGACATCAAAATAAAATTTCTCATGTCAAAAAACTTCCAGACACCAATTTTCATCCAAATATTGACGTTACTCCAGAAATTATTTGGAAAAAATAGAAATAAAAATTAAACTTCTACACCCTGTATCTCGAAACTAAGCATTTTAGGACATACATTTTATACGAACTTTTTTACTTGTTTTTATCAGCAGAATATGCTGCCGAAGTTTCCGGAATACAGTTCGGACCACCCTGTATATGAAATATAATCGATCATTTCCAATCCAACTGGACACAGTTTTTTTTTTCAATCATGCGGTTTAATGTAGAGTTAATATGAATAAATCTAACCTTTTTCAAGTTCGTTTTCAATTGACAGAACTCTTGCAGAAAATTCGTTAATTATTTTCGATACAAGTTCTTTTTTATTCTCATCATTAATCGCATGTAGATATTGTAGAATGTCAGCGGCTGAACCTAGGCTCCATTGAATCCTCTCGCGATAAACAGGATGATCAAAATCCTTAAAAAAAATGTCATTGTTATTTTTTTTTATTAGTGATAAAAACATAACTTCATTTTACCTGTAAAGCATTGTCTATCTTAGCAGCAAGTTGTCCAACTTGATAAAATAGTTCTGGCATGTATTGGTCAATCTTATGTAAAATAGTTCCATCTATATATTCCAGTAATCGTATAATATGATTTGTTCCTGATATAATTACTTTTTCAAATATCTTTTTCTCTTTGGTCAGCACTGGTTTGGGACATCGTATATTGCATTTATCTAAAAGAAAATAATTAACAAAATAGTAACGTTTACAAAATTTAATACTATATGAATTAGAGTCCAACGAGACGATGATCAAGCAATGATCAAGCAATCTGGAAATTTCTTAGACAAAAAATACTATCATGAATGTACACTCAGATGCAAAAAAACGCAACGGACAAATTTTTCCTCAAATTTAAAATGTTATATTTTTGTTATTCTTAGCCCCTATTTTCATGATAAAAATTAACCAAAGCATGTATTGCCATGAAACAAAAAACAAAATGCTCAGGAGTCATGGGTTCTGGCCGTAAAATTATATTTCAGGAAAATTTACACACGAAATTATTGCACATGGTGTTTTAAAATTAAGGTAAAAAGACAATCTCCCGATTAACCCTGTATAATATGCCAAATACTGAAGTTTATAAAAAAACTTTTTAAAAGTTTACGAATTAAAGTTGATATAATAAAATACAGTTTGTTAAAAAAATCATGAAATTGGGCTAAAAATAACAAAAATATAACACTTTAAATTTGACCAAAATTTTCTCCGTTGCGTTTTTTTTGCTGTTTCTACTATCATCTCCTAGCTTCTAGCCACCCTATCTCGGTTAATTTTGATCTGAGCAAAAAAAGTATAGAGATCATTCCTTTGTAAAATTTGACGCTCCACAACTTTTATTTTAACTTTTTTTTCTTCTTACCATTTCTCCAAAATTTCGAAGAAATAATTGTACTCGTATTTACTTCACCCCTTCTCGGGGGTGAATATAAAAAAAATCTTTCACAATTAGTTTTCAGATCTTTCAAAGTAACTTCAAAGTATATCAAAAATTCAAGTTTTTACCAAAAGTTCGTATTTGAAGGCCTATATTTCAATTCTTCCTTCAATTCTAAGCAAAAATTGAGATCAACATAATGTACCGGGTGGCCAACTAAGAATGGATGCCGGCTGTATCTCAGAAACTACTTATCGTATAACTTTGGGAAAAAAATTTTAATAAGTAAATCGACCAAGAGAAATTGCTGGAAATTATTTTCAAGTTCGAAAAATGTCCGCTAGAGGTCGTTTCTCTGATAGCCAATCAGAAAACAGGATTTTTCTCAAAAATATGCAGGTGAACAGGTATTTTAAATATTACATATATGATGTGATATAGAGTATTTTGCTCTATCTTATAAAATAAAATGGTGGGAGAAGTTTAAATTTGCTTTTATTAAAATAAGGATAACTCTGGTTTGGGTTGCCCGATTTAAACAAACTAGGGCTCGTTAAAACGCGCTTTTCTTCCTTAATGATCTCCAGTATAAATTTTGTTTCCATAATTTTTTTCGTGGTAGCTAGAGGGCGTTGTTTGACATCATAACAGATATTGCTCATAAAAAAATTAAATATGAGGCTATATTCTCTTTGTACAGTTAAATAGAGCACACAATTTCCAAAATATCAGCGCAAACCACAACTTTCTATATTCTCTCTAACCGGAGATATTAAGAGAACAAATCATGTTAGGCTGCCGCCGAGGCTGCCGCTTAGGATTTTATAGTCTTAAAATTATAGTAGTAGGCTAGGAAACAAAAAGAGGTAAATTAGTTATGTCAAAATATCAATTTTTCACAAATTTCTCGATTATTACAATAGTAATATTTAAAATACCTGTTCACCTGCATATTTTTGAGAAAACCCTCGAGAAAACCCCTGTTTTCTGATTGGCTATCATAGAAACGCCCTCTAGCGGACATTTTGCGAACTTGAAAATAATTTCGAGCGATTTCTCTTGGTCGATTTGCTCATTAGAATTTTTTACCCAAAGTTGTATGATAAGTAGTTTCTGAGATACAGCCTGCGTCCATTCTTAGTTGGCCACAAGGTACATCAAACCAACCGTTTCCGAGTTATTGACTTTTGAAAATATCACTTAAACAATTTGGTTTAATTAATTTCGATATGTTCAGTTTCATTTAACGATGTCATTTTGCCGAAACTGTGATCCTTAATAAAATATTATTAAGGATCCTTAATAATATTAAGTGATCCTTAATAATATTAAGTGATCCTTAATAATATTTTATTAAGGATCACAGTTTCGGCAAAATGACATCGTTAAATGAAACTGAACATATCGAAATTAATTAAACCAAATTGTTTAAGTGATATTTTCAAAAGTCAATAACTCGGAAACCGTTGCTTTGAGGTACATTGTACCATTGTGTGTATTTCGATTTTTGCTTAGAATTGAAGGAAGAATTGAAATATGTAATAATATACAGGTTCTATTTAAAAAAATGAAACTTTGATGTGCCACGACTTTATGAACGACCCTGTATACTTAAATTTATTACTCGCTAATATATATTTAAAAATTCTATAACTTTTGTATTTAACTCTTTGTGGTACCTCCTATAGTTTACCTAAAACCGTTTCCATAAGCGACCCTGTATATTAGTGAGTGAAATTCATTAAAAACTATTTATGGACTATATGCAAAATAACAAAGATTTAAAAATTAAATTAACATACTGAGATGTATTAAAAGGCTAGTCTGGGCCTCGAACCTTCTCTCGTCTTCGGAATCCAAAGAATTTATGATTTTCAACACATACCCGCACTCAGACACTTTATCGATACACGTATTACTACTATCGATCGTACTATCGACCTTAACGTGAAAATTCTTATCGTCGTACCCGTTCAAGCAATAAATTCCGGCTACTCTCAGCCCATACACATCGCAAACGAATCGTTTGGCTTCGTCCACAGTAACCTGTGCCCGAATCATGATTTATGCGATATTTAACGAACCTCGCTCGAAGATTGATGAGCCTACTGTCCGAGTTAAGCAGAAAATTAACTAAATTAGCTAAATCGGCGCGCAGCGGATTTTTCTTAATTGATCGATAACATCACGAAGCGGCACGCTTCTGGCGCGGGTCATACAACCAAGAAAATCGATGAAATTATGGAATTACAGAGTGAAAACAGAGATGTTAAAAACGAATTTAGATAATAAAATAAAAGATAATAATGTTTTTGTTTATTTATTAGTGAAGATAAGATATAATTATTAATATGTATTTTGTAAATCTGTATATAACGAGCCTTAAATACAAAAAGTAATATTACTTCATTCTGCTAATATTACTTCAACTTCCTTTCTTACGTTATTCATTCTAATAAGTTATGCATATACAGGGTGCTACAAATTTGAGGTACGAGCATTGGTATCTCGGAAACCATAATAGATACGAAGATGGTTAAATTGGGGCAAAGTTGCCGCCTTGGGATATTCACCAAGATGCCATCAAAAAAGTTTTAAAAATTTCAAGGATTGCTGAGTTTTTTGGCAAAAACGGATTTTTTTTAAAATCAATTTTATTTTTTTCCTGCCGTTACTTTTTAGAAAATCAAAAAACCAATTGCACATTCTCATAGGCACTTTATTAGCGCTAGCTGACAGTATTTTTAGATTTTCAAATTAGCTGATAATTTGTGAGATACAGAGGCCGACTTAATTTTTTTAAATACGAACCTGCATTTTTTATTTCAGATTTTGAAAGAACTCGGTCTCCTGAGTACAATGATATGCGACACTTTATACTGTTTTTTTTTGTTTTGGGTACCTTAACAACAACAAAAAAACTATTTAATTATTATTTAAAATAATTTCAAGTCCTACTCTGGTTTTTTAAATTATTTAATCTGATTATATTCATCGCATCAATATTGATCAGCACTAATTAACATTGAATAATGAAAATCGAGCCAATTGAAAGATTCAAATAAATAATACCTTTATTTATTGTGAATTTGAAATCTCTGCGTACGACCTAATAATATGCATAATATTAATCGTAGTTACTGTAAATAAATCACCTTCTAGAAACTAGTTTCTAATGCTCTCCATGTTCGAAAGGGTTACCACCCTCCTTATAGCACAAATTTACCCCCCCCCCCCTCTCCACAAACCCCTTGGCGACAGGTCCAGGAACCTCGTTGGCCTAATGGTATAACTGCTCTACCATTTCCAATTCGTCTTCAGGGGAAATGATTTGATTGTTTATGTTATATTATATTTATATTATTTATTTTATATTATTTTTTATTTTTTTATTGCATTTGATTTTCCGTATTCAATGTTTTACCCCACGTCATTGTTAAGTTTGAAAACTTATCAATATTGTAACGATGAATAGATTAAATATTTAAAAAAAAACAGAGCCGGACTTGAAATTAATTTAAATAAATTGTGTTCAAATGTCCGAAACAAAGTAAAAGTATAAAGTGTGGTATATCAATGTACTCAGGAGACCGAGTTCTTTCAAAAACTGAAATAAATAATGCAGGTCCGTATTTAAAAAAATTAAGTCGGTCTCTGTATCTCACAAATTATCAGCCAATTTGAAAATCTAAAAATACCGTCAGCTAGCCCTAATAAAGTGTGTATGAGAATGTGCAATTATTTTTTTGATTTTCTTAAAACTAACGACAGGAAAAAATAAAATTGATTTTCAAAAAAATCCGTTTTTTCCAAAAAACTCAGCAATCTTTGAAATTTTTAAAACTTTTTTGATGGCATCTTGGTGAACATCCCAAGGCGCAACTTTGCCCCAATTTAATCATCTTGGTATTTATTACGGTTACCGATATACCAATGCTCGTACCTCGAATTTGTAGCACCCTGTATATACAGGATACAGGGTCATCTGTAGCTACTAGAATAAAAACACCTAAAGTATATACTAACAGCGCTATCAGATGGAGCGGAGCGTCCACGACGGACCGTCCGCGACTTCGAGGAAGTACCATGAGCTTATACATATAAACAATTTCACATGGGTCGCGTATGCTCCGTCCGGATAAGCTATATTGAAAAAACATCCGCGCGATCTGACCATCCGCTCCATCTGAAAGCGCTGTAAGATATATTTCAGGAAAATAGTTTAACTTCTAAATAGGGTGGCTCAAAAAAGTGTGGGTGGATCGGGATGATTTTTTAAATGGAACACCCTGTATATTATTGCTTTTTTGGCTTCCTTTTAGATCATATTACCTAATCTTTAAGATATGAGTAAATATATTTTAGTACGAATATACTGTAGCTACGAAACAAAGCAAAATCGGACCTATGTTGATATGAACAATAAATCTTATTTTCACGTGGGGAATCTCCCCACGAGAGATGGCACATGTTTTTTGAAACACCCTTTATACAGGGTGGTCCGAACTGTATTCCGGAAACTTCGGCAACATATTCGGCAGTTAAAAATAAGTAAAAAAGTTCGTATAAATGTATGTCCCAAAAAGCTTAGTTTCGGAGATACAGGGTGTAGAAGTTTCATTTTTATTTCGATTTTTTCCAAATAATTCCTGAAGTAAAGTCAATATTTGAATGAAAATTTGTGTCTGGGAGTTTATACGAACTTTTCTGACATGAGAAATTTGATTTTGATGTCAATATGGCTCCTAGTAGTAGAGGGCGCCACCTACATATTTTTTAACCGGTTTGAAGAGTAATAACTTTTTGTCCGTACCTGTATATAACTACTGAGGAAAAATTATACATTTACAACGTTTTTTACGTAAAAAAGGTCTCTTGATTACAATCGCAACGAGTAATGGTTTTCGAGATATTTGAATTGAAATTATCAATACCTGTCATCATTGACATTAATTATTAAACATATAACCAAAGCATATAACATATGTTGACTAAATAGTTATTAGACTGAAATCATAAATTTGAAATATTTTTGTGCCAAAAGTTCAACAGAAACTGTTTTATCATCATTTTTTGCAGAAAAATGTATAATAACTTTAGATTATTTTAACCCTTAAATGAAACAATCAACCAGATAAACCACTTTTATTATTACGTCAGTACAGCTTGTGCTATTTTAATATTGACTGGTACTCTGGTGCGCTCGTACTGTCGCAGAGCAGGCGCGTTCGCTCGGCCTTGCCCAGGCCTCTCCCGTCGGTGGTAAGCCAGAGCCATCTAGAGTGTCGTTGCGCATGCTGATCTCGCTCGGCCACCCTGGTGTCATGATGTCATTTTTATCATATGTTAACATGTATGATTAATTTAAAAAAAAATTCCCAAATTTATTATATCAGTGAAATAACTATCTACTCAACGTGTTTATTTTTCGTCAATATAATGACATGTAATGACTATTTCCATTCTAAATATCTTAAAAACGGTTGCTCATAGCGATTTTTACAAAGAGATATTTTTTACGTAAAAAGTCACAGAAATGTATATTTTTCGCTGGGTAGTTTTATACAGGTACGGACAAAAAGTTATTACGCTTCAAAACAGTTAAAACACATGTAGGTGGCGCCCTCTACTAGTAGGAGTTATATTGACATCAAAATGAAATTTCTCATGTCAAAAAACTCCCAGACACCAATTTTCATCCAAATATTGACGTTACTTCAGAAATTATTTAGAAAAAATTGAAATAAACATAAAACTTCTACACCCTGTATCTCTGAAATTAAGCATTTTAGGACCTACATTTATACGAACTTTTTTACTTATTTTTATCTGCAGAATATGCTGCCAAAGTTTCCGGAATACAATTCGGACCACCCTGTATAAAGGTTGGGTATTCAGGGTGAAATTTAATTATTGTTGAACTGAGCCACAAAAAAGGTTCTTGCAGTGGAGGGTCTCCGCATTACTTAGCAAAATGCAAGATCAGTATAATTTACATGTTTTTATTTGTACTGTAAGATTTTATTTTTGATCAATTTCAGTTCACGATGACATTATTACTCTGGACAATCTGATTCACGCACTTGGACTTCTTTGGCTTTATCGATAAGACACTGCCATGAGCCAATTCTTTGTTCCAACTCCTTCACTTGGTTATCAAATCTTTCAGTCTTCCTTTTCCATTTCAACAGCTCGATAGTCATAATATCCATCTGTTGCTTACAGACGTCCTTCAAATTGTTACATATCTCCCAGCGCTTGGGAAACACTTCTTCAGCGCTGAAGATTTGACTGTGGAGATAATGAATATCATCCCTGGAATCAGCAATTTCATTTTCTAAAGCAGTGAATAGGGTTTTCGTATTATTTAATTGTCTGTGTAATTTCCTGTCCGGTGGGTTTTCGTTTTTAATAGATACATTTTCGCCAACAACCATGCTACTATAATCATAATCACCTCTCTCTGCAAGCGTTGTTTTATGTAATTTCATCTTAGTCCGGCTTTTATCGAAATCATTTTCCTCCGGTGTCAACAAGTAGTTAGACATTATTTTATTAATGTATTGCATCAGAATTTATAAGAAATATTACTTCCAAATGAATCAAATTTAAAAACGGTACTGTCATTTCTTGACAAATAATTTAAAATAACAGTTCAGTATCGATTATTCGTATAAATATCGATATTAAGTACCTACATCCGCTCATCTCTAAATTTCTCTACCTAACCTAACTTTGTTTTGTTTTTGTTTAATGTTTTGATTTTGATCACATTTTGATATTTGTATTGATTGATATGTAAGTTTCCCAGTTACCAGCAGTTACCTTTAAACTTCTAAACAAACAAAAAATATATAAGTCAAATGCTTGTGAAACGACTGTTATGGATAAAATTGATACATCGAAAAACATTAAAAGCGAAATTACAAAGTATTATCTTAATTTGAAACAGTCCAACAGTGAAGGGTAAATAAAGCATTTTTCTATATTTTTAGTAATTGTATTCTTATAGTTTATTGTTGACTATACAAGACACAAGTGGAAGGAAAGGATTACGATTTGTTTACAGTGATATTCACGTTAATGGATGTGTACTTGCATTGGCAAATACAGAGTCTCAAATATATTTGATCGACTTTCGAACTAAAAGATATTGGTTATTAAAGAAACTTGACTCATGTACTTGTATTAAACTAGCAGATTGTAATGAGGGAGAGATATTTGTAGGGAAGAATAATGGCGTCTTAGAAATTCTAGATATTGATACTGGAAATGTTAAAGAAAAGTTACATGGTCATGAACATCCTGCAATATCTATATCATTTTCTCAAACAAATATTTGTTTATCAGCCTCTAAATATGAAGCTCTAATATGGGATTTAATTACATATAGTAAACTACAAGTTCTATCTCTTGAGGAAAATTGTATTTTAAAATTTGTAAGTAAACTCTTAATAGTTTGTATAATAATTATTAATACAAAAAAAAAATTTTAGGTACACTTTATACCTATTTCAAATAATATTTTAGTATGTTACCAAGATGATATTATTCAAATTTGGGACACAAATAATTTAAACAGTTTGAAACAGTTTTTACCATCAAATTGGAGAAATTACTGTGTGAAAGCTATTTCTTTTTCAAAGTAAATAATAAGTCAAATGGCAATGTTCAAACATTAAATATCTATACCTATTTTTAGAAATGGAAAGATTATGGTTGTCAGTGGTTACTTACCTATTTTAGCCATATTTCAGTTAGATATATGGAAATTATTAAAAATAGTTAATTTACCAAACTATATAAATACTGTTAAAAAAATTGGTTTTATTTCCCAAAATTTTGATGGTGGTAATAATAAATTGCTAGCTATCCTCTCAGGCAATGGCATTATATATTTTTACAATATAGAAGATAATATTTTAATATCAAAATTAGTGTCGAAATTTGAAATATATAATTATAACATTGCTTCATCAAATACTCAATATTTGTCTTGTTTATTGTGTACTGGCGATGTAGAAATATATGATATTAATACATTTATATTGAAGAATGAAAAAACTGTTGTAGAAAATGCAGAATTTTCTAGCAGGGTGTCAAGAAAAAAGTCATTAAGAATTTTGAATAAAAAAGTTGGTATTTTGGAGAAACAAAAGGTTTTCAAATATTTACAAACACCATTTAAAAAATATATAATTAAATATGTTTTTAGATTCATTCTATATTGGAAACAGAAAAACTTAAAGGAATTATAAAAGAATATGATGAATTTCCAGAGATTCATAGGTATACAATTTGGGAAAAGATTCTCAAATTACCAAACAATACAAAGCAGTATAACAATTTAGTAGATCACATTACCATTACATCTTTTGATGAGTTATATCAAAAGTTTTACTTGGAAGATAAAGTGACTATGCAGTGTTTAAAACATGTATTAAATAACATTGTTACATGGTGTCCATTTTTTGCTCAAGTTGATTATTTACCATTCTTCTTATTTCCTTTTATTAAGGTGTTCCATAAGAAGCCCATTGCATGTTTTGAGCTTTGTTGTACTTTAATAAGTAAGTTTTTTTGCCTCTTCTTCTTCATAGAACTAACAACTTTTTTTCTAGTTAACTGGTGTCAACATTGGTTTGAATATCATCCCCTACCACCTTTAAATATTCTAGCAGTAATAGATAATATTTTGATGGAACATGATGCATTACTATTACAACATTTTTCTTCTTATAAAATTAGCCCTAACATATACTCATGGATAATTTTGGAGTCTGCATTTTCGGAGGTCTTGACTGCACCTCAGTGGTTGAAATTTTGGGACCATGTGTTCATAAATGAGCCAGCTTTTCTTCTTTGTGCTGTAGCAGCATACAATATTCTGCAAAGGAAAAATTTAATTTTGATCCATCAAGAACAGTTATTTTATGACTTCTTTCATAGACAAACTCCAATTGATGTAAAAAAGCTTATTAGCAAAAGTTATAACATTTTAAATAATACAAGCAATACAAATCATCCCAGACAATATCTGAATATGTTCACTTGCTTGACTTGTGGAAAATACCCAATTTTTGATCAATATCCAAAAGAAGTAGTCGATTTTCAAAGTGAACATATCAGTTATTTACAAGGACAGTTGGAAGAAATAAAAAAATTGAAGGAGAATACATTAAAAGATAAAAATAGACAAGATAACATTTTAAAAGATACAATTAGAATTGAAGAAGAAAGGAGATGGATTGGTAAGTTAAAATAATACTTTAGACTACAGTAGAACATTTTTTACATCATTACTTTTTTAACCATGCAAGTATAAAAATACCAAAAATAATTCAGATTTTGTTGAAGTTAAAAATTTTTATTTTTCGTTAGATATGGAAAAAGCATGTATTCAAAAAATTAAAGATTACCAAGAAGCTCTAAAAATTCAGCAACAAGAATTGAAAGAAATGAGATCACAACTATACAACAAAGAAAAGGAAATTATTGATAATGCTCATAAAGACTTCAAACAACATACATCAGCCAAAAATGCTGGTACAATGGAAATATTATTAGATGGGTTAGATCTTAGTAAAAAGCTCAATGAGGTAATCTTAAACCTTGAATGATATATCTAATATATTATTTTGTATATCTACTTTTAGTCAGAAATAGAAAAAATACGAGATTTATACAATGAGAAATACATGAATTTATTGTGGAAAGAACAAAATCTAGAGAAATTTCTTCATTCAGAACAACCACATGCTGAATTTGGAAATGAGTTATATTCTGCTCACATAGATACTATGGCAGTTAAAGATAAAATACACAAAGTAAGCGAATTTCAATATGTGATACTTTCTACTCAGAATTTTAACTTATATTTTTTTAATATAATTGCAGACGAAATCTGAAGTTAAAATGCCAGGTAAAGCTGATTTATATCTTACTATTACAGCACTCAATAACTTAATAGGAAAAATAAAGCGGCAGTTAGAAAAAGAGTATCAGAATAGCAACTATGTTTCTGAAAATGAAAACACAATGGTATTTTGTACATTTTTTCATTATTAGTAAATTTACCAATTTTTTAAACAGGTTCAACAATTAGAACGCGAAACAAAATCTCTTGAAAAGGAAATATCGCAACTACTTTCATTATTGGGTCGAAAAAATAAAACAAACTATAAGTGTAAAGAGAATTGTAAATCTGTGAGGTTTACAAGTGATTGATTTTTTAGGATAATATTTATTTATACATAAGTTATTCTAATAAATTTATATCTTAATTTTAAATTCATAGTTTTATTTCGTCGGTTTTTGACTTAGATATTTTCGACATGCATTCTATAGTTTGTTCAACGAGAGGATACCTGACGGTGACAGTTGTGATCTGTCATTTTAGTTCACAAGTGTATTTTCTGTCATTATTTGGATATCTGTCGAAATCTTATACAAGGTCCGGCAATAGTGCGTCCAGAGAAGAACAAACGTAGAGAAGCGACAAAAACCGTCGGCACTATTGAAGTAGGGGGGGACCAAGTTTTGTGACCTTCAAATTGGCGTACATGACAGATAGCATGTTTATAGTAGTTTATGTTTATAGCTACACTGAGAGAAATTCAATGAAGGCAAAAGAAATAAGAAAAGTTGTACACTGAAAAAACATGTGTTCAGTAAAAAGTATATTAGAAATATTTAGGAATCATATTGAATAGTAACTATTTTTAAGATTTAACGGTTTTCCGCGATTTGTGGATTTACCGCGTTCTAACCATTTTCTAACATATTCCTTTTAAGCGGCCCTCACACGATCAATAATATTGTCAATATTTTATCAATATTTGAAAGTTGCCCTGACACGGTCAATACATATATCAATATTAAGTTTTGTGCAGATATTAAGTGTCAATGGCAATACCCTATGCCAAAAAATTAAAGATAAAAAAAGCGTGTCATTTTGGCAGTGAGTGTCAGTCAGTGAGAAAAAATAGAGGAAAAAATTTAAGAAAAAACGTTATATAAAAAATTGATATTCACAAAGAAAAAGGTTCGGCCAACTAAATCTTCTAAAGTACGTTAAGAAACGGGAGCCTGATGATTGCGATCTAAAACTGGTGAAAACAACGACGGTGATGTTCCGTCTTCCGCCATGGTTACGAATAAACTAGTCAAATTTTGTCAATCATGCGACCTAACGATCAATATATTGTCAATACGACTAGCTCCGCCTTTAATATTGTCGAGTATTTTCAGGATCTCGAAAATCCATCAATATATTGGAAGTACATCAATAATATAACGCTCAAACGCTCAAGAATATTGTCAATAATCCAAAATATTGACAATATTATTGATCGTGTGAGGGCCGCTTTAGAGAGACATTTTCAAATCGTATCTGATAATATTGTTCGTTTCGAAATTAATATTATTTGAAAGTGTGTTTTTAAGTAAAACAATTTTAAGAAAAATTCGAATATTTATCAGCTGTTATCACAAGCGTTAAACCAAACTAAAATAAAAGAAATAAAATAAATAAAAAAAGTAAATAACATGATTACAGTTGAGGGTAGGAACTGGGGTATTAAAACAGCAAAATAAAACACTAATTCACCACAATACACTAAAACACTTTACATCAGTGCATCAGCAGATGATTAAAAAACATAATATGTTTATAATATGAGAACAGAGGTGGTAGATTAAATTTACAAGAAAGAAAACTCAGAAAAGATTCAGCGGTTCTAAAAATGTAACCAAAATTGTTTTTTTTTTAATTTTCAAAGTATCTCGGTTATTCTGGACTTGTTTGAAAAACGGTAAAGAGAAAATATGCTTAATTTATCGAGGTCTACCAGCCCTGAAAATATTTGCACTTATTTAAGACTCACTCTATATATTAAAAAATCATATTTTACATAAAAAACCATATTACATTTAAAGATAACACAACTCAAATTAGCGCCGCTATTAAATTATATATGCGATAAAATATTTCATTTTCTAATAGTTTTCTTATCTTTTTGTTTTATTTTGAGGTCCCTATTCGTATATTTTATAGTATAGAATATTTTCAGCCTGATAAAGAGTTTTAGAGCATAGTCTTTCGGAAATTGAGGACATGGGTGTTCCAAATGTTCTTTGTTTATTAGACTACAGTTTTTGTGAAATTGATGGCCCAGTACTAATATTCTCAAAATTAGAATTAAGTAAATATTTTTTCTAATTCATTTATTCATTTATATAACAAGGCTTTTAATTTAAACCCCCTTTTCACAAGGGGGCAATTTATTAATTTTCAAAAGGCAGTTTTTAATAACTAAACGCTAAAAACCTGCATCTATTTTAAGTTTTAATAATATTTAGTCCTTAAAGTTAGTTTCTTTCTTTAAGTACTATTATAAGGTAAGGATAAAATATAGATTAATTAATTCAAAAAAAGATTATTTACCTACACAAATAAAAAAATAGTAAGATTTCAGGACTTATCATTAACAATGGCAACGCTGGCCGTATTCTGAAAACACGTTGAGATCACAGTTAGCATGTTTACCTCTTGTTTACCTTCCACCACCCACTCAGTTTTGTCACTTCTCTACGATTGTTCTTCTCTGGTGCGTCGGGCATCTGTAGCTCCTAGAATAAACAAATTGAGAATTTTGTTTAAGTGCAAACCTACAGTATGTACCAGGATGTATTTTCCAAAAATATTTTAACTCCTATAGGGTGGCTCAAAAAAGCGTGAGTGGATTTGGATGACTTTTTTTAAATAGAACACCCTGTATATTATTGCATTTTTTGCTTCCTTTCAGATCACTTTACATAATAATCCTAAGACATGAGTAAATCTATTTCGATAGTTTCAGAGATATTAAAAAATAAATCAAAAATATATATTTTTCAACCCTTCTTAAAAAAAATATAAAATATACTAGAACTGTTCTGAAATTAAAACTATATTAGATATTTACTTTAGATGGTCTGTTCTAACTTTCTGCTATAAATATGGTAATAATAAATCATACAGGATGTTCAATATTTTACGCCAAACTTTCAAAAATATAAAATAATTTTTCTTTGTTTTTTTAAATGGAACACCCTGTATATTATTTTTTTATTAGATGGAGAATTAAAAAATGAACATTTTTTGTATTTAAAGTATTTCAAAATTTTTAATAGTTTTCCGGATACACGTAGTATTATTTCATATATGGCGCTTCCAATGGTAAAATACGAGCGAAAAATCATTAGGTGGCTCTGATGAAAATTTACTGTGGAAAATGCCATATGAAATACAAAATCGGGAATATCTGTGAAACCGTTCAAAATTTTGAAATACTCTAAATACAAAAAATGTTCATTTTTTAATTCTCCATCTATTGAAAAAATAATATACAGGGTGTTCCATTTAAAAAACGAAGAAAAATTATTTTAAATTTTAGAAAGTTTGGCGTAGAATTTTGAACATCCTGTATGATTTACGATTTCCATATTTATAGCAAAGTAAGAACAGACCATCTAAAGTAAATATCTAATATAGTTTTGATTTCAAAACAGTTCTTGTATTATTAATATTGTTTTTAAGAAAGGCTGAAAAATATATAATTTTTATTCATGTCTTAGGATTATGTAAACTGATCTGAAAGGAAGCCAAAAATCCAATAATATACAAGGTGTTCCGTTTAAAAAAAATCATCCCGATCCACTCACACTTTTGAGCCTCCCAATAGAAGTTAAAATATTTTCCTGAAATACATCCTAGTACATAATTTAGGTTTGTACTTAAACAACTTTTCAAGTTTTTTATTCTAGGAGCTACAGATGCCCGACGCACTATTACCGGACCCTGTAGATAGACTATAACCAACAGTTGGGAAATATCGGTTAGCTGACTGTATTGATACTTTTACCGCTTTTAGTAGTTTGTTAGTAGTACCCTTGTATATGAAAGGGTAGTACCAAAGGAAGGGTAGTACATTGTTTTCTATGTATGCAACCAAGGATATACGTTTATTATGATCTATTTCTCTATGCTTTTTATATGCAACACCCTACACATGAATGATGTTAACCTCACTTTAATTCTCCATTTCCGTTATTATTTCATATCTGGAATCTGGAACCACTTATTGAGCCCTTAAAATGAATAAAAGGACACCAAAAAGGGAAAAAACTGTAAATAGTACCTTATCCCCGATCACTCGTATTTAAAGACATCTTAAAATCGGTGTTTTTCATTATCAGTGACTGTTTTAGTGACAGAAAGTCCGGGATCTGGATCACCCCAAAAGAACTTGACTGGGCCAGCCAGGATAATAAAGGATATTATAGCAGATTTATATAATAATATTCAACGTTGGAATTCACATCATATTAATGGATGTTCAATTGTGAAACAAATTGCGTCAATAAAGTCTGATACCCCGAAAATCAGTTCTATTCAGCTTGAAGAAAGTGTCAATGAACTGTATAGTGTTGTTCAGCAACTAGAAATCAATAGGAATGTTTTCATCACTTTAATAAATCAATGTGAAGCATTTCCTAAATTGCCTAATGTTGAGAATCCTGTATTCTTTTCATTAGAAGCTTCAAACATAGCACACTATGTAAATTCTATTTCTTTAGCATATATCAATGAATTTAAGGTATGAGAAAAAATACATTTTACATATTAGCATTACCCGTGATATTAGCTAGATATTTTAATTTATTAATTTGTAGACAAAGAAACTTATTTTGGAAAACATTGCATTTTCAAAAGACACAAATGATGTTATGTTTCTTGCTACATACTGGACACATCAGTTAAACATTACAGGCTTAAGTAATTTTTATTTAGAATGTTTACTTGTTGAAACAGGTCATCGAGTAATAAAATAGGGTTTTAAAACATTATTTATTTATAAATAGGTATATAAATGTGTAAAAATATTTTATATATAAGTATAATTAACATAATATAGGTATATGATAATATTCGATATAACAATGAATAAATGTTTTAGACTTATTTGCTATAACATCCTCTCATGATATGTAGCTTTTCAATAACTACAGTATACAAAACTCATCCTATACTAGGATAAAGGCACAATCTTTTTTGTAATATGTTTGGGGCACTTCAGATAATATTTATTATTTCTACTTTTTTCTTGTTTATTCAACAGGAACCTAAAATATAATTAAAAATTTCATATTTATTTTTGTTAAACAAGAAAATATACCAACCTCTAATTCTATATATGGCCAATTAGCAGAATTATTATATATAAATTCTAATTGTGGAAATAGCAACCAAAATGAGGTACTTTTGAATCTTTGCTGCCAACAAAGTTCTTCCCATAATCTGTTGATGATACAAACCCAACGAGTCTCGCAGTAAGCGGCTATAATAAATTATTAAGAAAATATATATTTATTTGTACATAAAATATCGAAAATATATCTACCTGTTTTTCCTAATTTATGACCAATAGATTCCCAGGCCTTTGACCTTAGAAGTTTATTATTAAACAATTCGTGATTTACATTAAATAAATATTCATACTGTTTAACACCTCTTGTTAATTCACTATCGAATTTTAACTGGGAATCGACAAATTTCTGAAGCTCTCGACCCATTATTTTTAATGTGCAATGAACTATATATCACAAGAAAATAAGCTTTTCTAAAATTACAAGTTCAAACAGGTTTTTGGGTACCAACTCGTGTAAAATACCTGCAACGTGCTAATAATAATCAGGTAATAAGTTGTAAAGAAAGCACCGAAGAACTTTAACAAAATATACACATGAAGTACAATTAAATAAACAAATTTCAGAGCACAATAGTTTAGGAATGATTCACTCGCGGTCGCGTTGTCAAAAATACCTATCCATTTTCGCGCTTTTAACTTTTAAATACGGAACCCGCCACGTTGCCACATATACCTTTATATACCATTTTTTGGGTAAACTATTTGGTAGTTATTTCTTTATAGAGACAGAGATAGAGCTTTAAAAATATGATTTATGGGAGAAAAAATACAAAATAGGCTTATATTAGATACTAGTTTTATTAATATATCTATATTGATAGTTTGAACTAGAATTTGAAGTTGTTAGGTAGGTTCAGATAAAAGGTAGGTACATTTTTTTTCGACACCTACCTATTTTAGTAAAATTTATAATAGCAAAAAATCAGAAATTAGAAATAAAATAAATGTACCAAATAAATTTAAAACAATTAATTTTGGTGCAATTTTATACTTACTATATTATTATCTTTATTTATTTTAAAAGTGAACAAATATAAAGAAATGAGGCAGGTAGTTATTGAACCAACGCATTTTCCGCATCCGTCCAAGGACACAAATGTCAAACATACTGCAGTTTTTGTATTTTTGCTTTTGCTATGCCTTTGCAGCAGGTGTGATAAAATGGTGATAAATACAGAGGGTAAAAATATCATGTAAATATCTTAAGTCTTAAGTTCCAGTTCCACTGTTGCTTGCATATTTACAGTGATAAAAGTTTCTAATTTTAAAGCATATTTTAATGTATAAGTAAAATGGCATCTGAATCTACTAACGGCAGAATTATACAAGAAAATTGTAATAATACAAAGAAACCAATCATTAATTTATTTCCCAAACAAGGAGATTGTTCATATGTTTCTTGTTATTGGTAAGTTTTTATCATTATAATTATTTTATTTTTTATATCCATAGTATATCTATATATCGAGATATAACTAATGTATATATTATATATATATTGTTATATAAAACTTAATATAATATGTAAGCTTCTTATTTAATTTTTAGTGAAGAAAATGTGTATAAACTCGTAGAAGAAGTAACCAAAGTACATCCGAATGAACTCAACAAATGTTTTGTTGTTTTTATATCGAATCAGAGCAGAACTGTCCCACTTTGGAGACAAAGAGCTGGAAAGAATGAAGATCATTTAGTTATTTGGGTTAGTTTAAAGGTTTAATATATTTTTGCTCTTCATTTCCAATACTTTGGGTTTTAGGATTATCATGTTTTATTTCTCTATCATCCCGAGCCAGATAAATGTTTAGTTTATGATTTAGACTCAGAATTACCATTTCCTACGTATGTTCATAAATATGTGACTGAAACTTTTAGAACTGATCATATTTTGAAGCCAGATTATTTTAGGTAGGTTCTAGAATTGTCAAAATTATAAAACCTTTAACTATAATTTACCTTATGTGTCACTCAATTTAATGAACTTTATTTTAGATATTTTAGGGTTATAGACGGGTCAGAATTTATAAAACACTTTGCCTCTGATAGACGTCATATGAAGAGACCAAACGGGACGTGGATCAAACCGCCTCCAAACTATCCAGCCATATGTACACCAGGTAAGCAAATATCTAATGCTTGAAAAAAGCATATCTAATATAACAATGAAAAACTTGATATTTGTTATGTTATCCTGTAGGGTCCATCCATAACCTTGAAGATTATATCCAAATGGATGGTGCCAAAGGACCAGGAGTAGTCTTAAATCTCACTCAGTTTGTCCAGAGGTTTTATAAACCAGCAACATAGATAAATTACTGGTAAATGTTGGAATTTGTCAATTTATTGTCCTGCATCAGTTGTAGGCTAGAGAAATTTTTCAGTTGAGATTGATTAATCTTCTGATTGCTTCAGTATTCAGTGATGGAAACACTTCTGCACTTTTACTATCTTTCCGAGCATTTTATCAGTGTTACATGTAATAATTGTGGAATAGTATTAAGGATAATATTCAATGTTAAGTGTAAAGTCTGCATCAAAGGGATTACTTTTATTTTAATTTGATTTTAATGCATTTTTCTTTAAAAATGATATGAAATAAAATCTTCCTTTAAAAAATAATCCACGGGTAACATTACTTATTTCAATTAATTTTAATCTATATTTAGTGTTATCTTTATCAGATATTTAATCAAATTTTTTCATCTATATATCACTAAAAGTAAGGAAATTTTGAAAAATATTTACAAGTATAATATATAAGATCTAATATGTACCGTTTGATCGAAAAAAAAAACGGCGTCCAATTGGCTGGAATATCGATGACATTCCCCATATAATTTTATATATAAAATGACAACGATCTTCATTTCATAGCCATCGCTGACGTCTTTTTTTTTATCATATTGTAGTATGTATCACCAAAGGTATTACATACAATTAATGGCCTATATACTTTTACAAAATAGCTTTATCGGTGAGCAAGAAACATATAAATATAAATATGCACAAATTTAAGCCAAAGTATAATCAAATCTTTATACAGGGTGGTCCGAACCGTATTCCGGAAACTTCGCCAGCATATTCTGCACATAAAAATAAGTAAAAAAGTTTGTATAAATTTTGCTTGGTTTTGGAGATACAGGGTGTAGCAGTTTCATTTTTATTTCGATTTTTTCCAAATAATTTCTGAACTAAATTCGGTATGTGGATGAAAATTAGTATCTAGGGGTTTTTTAACATGAGAAATTTGATTTCGACAATGACTAAAGAATATAAGGACATGTAACGCCCCTATACGGGCTGCAGCAGAATTTGTCACTTTTTTTTTGTTTTCGTGGCAAACAATGAGTCATCATGTGGTCACCAGCGACAATTTTAGCGATTTTTAATAGTTTGTATGTAGTAAACTTTGTATAAACTTTATTACAATGGTGATTAGTTGTTCAGCTTTCAAGTGTAAAAGCAGCAGCGATAAGAAAGAGCCAGGAGTTACGTTTCATAGGGAAATAAACAGTCCACTCCAACTTTTTACCGTTTTGTTATTGAATTCGATAATTATTCTTCAATTTCAATTAACATCTATATGTACTTGATATGTGCTATACGTCGGTACTAGTTTTGTACCTTTTGTTAACATTTTAATATGTTTTTTTCGTAATTAATTAGGATGATACCATAGACATAGTCAAAACAATTATCAAAAAATATAAATATTGCTTCAAACAGCTAGGTTAAGAAAAATATGTGCTACGGCACTGTTTGGTGTCATCTTCACAATTTGCTCTCAAGTGTTATTTGTCCTTGGATTCTTTGGTCATTGGATTTCGATGTCAATATGGCTCCTACTTGTAGGAGGCGCCACCTACATATTTTTTAACAGTTTTTTGAAGAGTGAGAACTTTTAGTCCGCCCCTGTATTATACTACTGTGTGAAAAAATATATATTTGCGCCTTTTTCAACGTAAAAATTGTCTCTTGGTGAAAATTGCTGCGAGCAACCGTTCTCGAGATATTTGGATTCTTAATAATCAATACATGTCATTTTTGACAATAAACATATTATAATAAACATACATATATAGGATATTTGACTGAAATGATAAAAATTTGGGATTTTTTATTTTTTTAAATTAATCATAAATTTTTCTTCGAAAAAATGATGATAAAACAGTTTCTGTTTGGTACTTTGGTACAAAAACATTTCAAATTTATGATTTCAGTCTAATAACTATTTAGTCAACATGTTTTATTTATTCCGAGAACTAATTTTTAACTCTATGTCGAGAATCGTTACTCGTAGCGCTTTTTTTCGAAAAAATATCGTAAATGTATATTTTTTTACTCAGTAGTTTTGTACAGGTACAGACGAAAAAGTATAACTCTTCAAACCAGTTAAAAAATATGTAGGTGGCGTCCTCTACAAGTATGAGTCGTAATGATATCATATCAAAAAACTTCCAGACGCCAATTTTCATCCAAATATTGACGTACCTAACTTCAGAAATTATTTGGAAAAAATCGAATTAAAAATGCAACTACTACACCCTGTATCTCCGAAACTAAGTATTTTAGAACATATATTTATAAGAACGTTTTTACTTATTTTCAGTTGCAGATGCTGTCGAAGTTTCCGGAATACAGTTCGGACCACCCTGTATATCTTTATCTTCACTAAAGTTATTTTTACTGCTTTAACTGTTTTATTTAAAGCAAACAGTATTTAAACGTAACAAAAGGATCAACTTAGTATGATTCCTGATGTGATAATAGATACATTTTATAATTAGTCTTTTATTTCTATATTTTTATGTCTGTTACTACTTTATTAAATTACACTTATATGGGGTGCTTCATTGTAGGTTAACCTAATTTAATGCACAAATATGAATATGAACAGAAAACTTTACTAAATAACATATATTTTGTCACTAACAATTTCAGATAAACGACTTCAAGGACGTTTATGTTCTCTGGAATCTGAATTTTCGTATTATTTTACACATAATTTGCTTTCAAAGTTTTATCACTATTCTGTGTGTATCTGGACACCCTGTATATGTATAAAAAACTTGATTCCTTGCTAATTTTTCATCTGCATATGATTAAATCAGCACTTTATTTGGAACTTCCTCTTCTAAGACTGCACTTGCCTTCCATTTTTATAAACTTTATTATATCAAAAATCTAGTGTATCATGTTTATTTCCTGATATACATATAATCTTAAATTTATAACATTAATAATTCTGTCTATGAAGTTGCATATTACCAAGTTTCATAAGTGAGCTTGTGACAATGAAAAACGGTTTATATGGAGACTTAAAACTGTTTGTCCTTGGAAACATAGGTAACAGAAAATCACATTCAAATTAAAGGTCTGTGTATGCTGAATACGCATGCCAAATTTGAACAATTTTGGACAAGCCGATTTTAAGCAGGCAATTTAAGAAAAATTGCATTATTTTTAAATTAAAACTGAACGGATAACAATGCAAAACCAGGCAAATGCCAACGTACCTTAAGTTGTTATCCTATAATTTTGTCAATGTCAAATTGTATTTTCTAAATGGAACCTCATTGGAACCAGTTTTAAATTACAAAAATACATTTCGGTGACACTAAGTGTAGGTACTGCATGATCGCAAAAAAAAAGCGTCCAGTTGACTTGGAAATGAACATTGATGACATTCCCCATATAATTTTCATATAAAAAATGACAGCGATCTTCATTTCATAGCCAACGCTGACGCCGTTTTTTTTTCGATCATACGGTATAGCATGGTATAACGCAGTAGTGTAAAAAATGTCTATACCTATGTGGCGGATTCATCTCTCCAAAAAATCCTATATGGGTATTTCGCCACTGCAAGAAAATCTACAAAATAAAATAGTTATTTTTTGTAAACACTTCTGCGTTAATCCCAAACGGAAACTACTTAGCAGTAGTATAGGCAGCACAACAATTTATATTTGACAATAATAAAATCATAGGTTGATAGCTCAAGATATTTTCACATTTGAATGGTTTTCCATTGTCTGGTTAATTTAAAAATAGATACAGTTTTTCCATTACTTAAAATCAGCTTGTCCAAAATTGATGAAATTTGGTATGTGTATTCAGCATAATCAGACCTTTAAAAAAACTATTTACGACTTAGCTGTAAAATTAATAGGGGAACCAATATTCGGACAGTTCAAAATTTGCATGGGATTTTCTGTTTCCAAGGACGATGCACCACTTGGTAGATGTTTTTAGTAATGGGTACCTACAGATGTTTATTTAATAATTTTAAAATATAGTTATGAAGTTAATTCAAAATATAAAGACAAATATAAATATCACGCAAATTATAATAAAGATTCTCAAATAACTGTTCTAAAGTAAAAATAAGGATTTTTTTTGACTAAGTTAGTAATCAACATATATAGGATGTATCTTTCTAACATATTAAAAAATATCCTGTCTTAACATACAATATGATAATAGGTAATATTCTTGATTTTATTTTAAACTTTGAGGCCTAATTATAATATGATAGAATTTGTATGTTGTGTAATTATATGAAATAAAATAAAGCACGTTTAATAATGTTAAATGCCATTTTTATTATTTTTTTTTAAAATACAGAAAAGGATACTTTTGTTGGGGGTTTCATTATACTTTTTACAAGTTCTGCATAATGAACACTGTTCTCTTTTGAAAGACATATTCTTGTATTCACCCTATGAAATAAACTGTCACCAAATGACGGGGTATAATAAGATTGTCCACCTTTAATACGAGTTGTAAAGTCGTTTGTAATTATTATCTAAAATGAACTTAGTATTTAAAAATAATAGTCATGTACCATACTACCTACAGCAAAATTAAACAAATTAGATAAAGACTGCAGGTCTGACAACAATGATTGTAATGAATTTGTCCTATCTTCTTGATTTAACTCTCTTAAAGGTGTAGCTATACTGTCTATCACTATCAGTTTTACCTATAATATATAACAAACTAGTAGTTAAGTAACAAAAATAATTATAATTACAACCTTTTTATCTAACAAAAAATTGGCAAAATATTTTATGCAAGCCTTTAATTCTGTAAAATTGTTACAGAAAATAACATAAATATGTTTCAAAATATAGTCAGCTGATAATTTTAAGCCTGGCACAACATCTTTAACTTGTTTAATAAACTTTTCACTCATTTCTTCAATACGATGTGGTGCCATATTATTATTTGTACTTATGTATATTGCCTCTCCTTCCAAACCACCTAAAGCTTTAGGTAACTGTACTGTTATGCATAACTGAAATCTTAAATGCATGTTCTCAAAAGAATTAAGGATATTATCACATTTATGTGATATGTGTTATCTGTGATAATTATGTATCCTCCATAAATTCTTTTGTAACTTACGATATTTGTGTTTTTCCAGATCCAGGTACACCGGCTAATTCTACTATTTTTCTGGGCATTATTTCGTCTTTTAATATCTGATCTAAATCTGTATTAAAAGTTAAAATGCATCCGTTTAAAATTTCTTCCTCCAATAATTCTAATGATGTTTTTGTTACAGGAGGCTTCTTCAATTCTATTTCTAACGAATTTAATAAAGTAGAATTCAATTCGTTGACATTAGTATATCCCATGTTGCGTAGTTTTAACATTTTTGATTTGGGTAAATCTAAACTTGGAATACTTTGTTTCATTTTTTATTTTTAACAGAGTTTTTAATAAGTTTGTTATAGTTTGTTCATTTATAATTTTTAAAAAAATTTAGGTTATGTTTCTAGTTCAAGCACAGCTTCAAGCAGTGCCTTCTATTAAAAGATCAGCCTCCGGGCGAGATTTATGACGTCACGCTAGTTAGATATAACGGATTAATAAATGTGTTGCAGAATACATGGAAAACATAATTATTCTTCAGATTTTTGGTTTGTATTTTAAAAATGATATAGTTTACATGAAATATACATAAAATACAGTTAATAACTACAACATATATACCTATTTATAGTAATAAATACTTTGGCAAATAAACTATGAACCATACAAATGCAGCAAATGTTTTACAATGTACAAATAATGTATAGGTACATAAGATAATGGGTAAAATGTAAATATATAGGTTTGAAAATCGATCTAATTTAACAAAAAACATTCAATATCGACTAATAGTGATGTATTATTATTTGCATTCACAAAATTTATATGTATATTTTGCAAGTATCAATGTTCGAAAAATTATATTTACAAATAATACAATATTATCTAAAAAAGGCGTCAGCGATGGCTATGAAATGAAAATCGCTGGCATTTTATAAGTAAAATTATTCTAAAATTTTTGATTTTCTTCGGATTTTTAGGTTCGGGAAAAACACTGATTTAAGTTTTCATTTGGGTTTTCATTATTTTTATTTGGTTTAAAAAAACGTTTCGGCTAACTATAGCCTTCATCAGTGTTGTGTCATATGAGAAAAATAGTGTCGAATATAATCCAAAAAATTACATATACAATATAATTCACACCTCATAATGTTTACTGCAATTAATAAACTAATATAAACTTATCAAAAGATGACCACATGTTTTTTAAAATTATTATTCTTAACACTAAAATTATCTATATTGACTATGGAGTACGCAGTAAACATTATGTGCGTGGTGTGAATATTTTATATGTAATTTTTTGGATTATATTCGACACTATTTTTTTCATATGACACAATACTGATGAAGGCTATAATGTTAGCCGAAACGTTTTTTTAAACCAAATAAAAATAATGAAAAACCAAATGAAAACTTAATCAGCGTTTTTCCCGAACCTAAATCCCAAGAAAATCAAAAAATTTAGAATATTTAGAAACAAGGTTCAAGAATATCAAATTTTCCAAGATTGTAAAATTCTAGTTAATTATTTTATGTGTACAGTTATTTAGGGAATGTCATCGATGTTCATTTCCAAGCCAACTAGAAGCCGATTTTTTTCGATGATACGGTATAATTCTTACGTAAAATGTAAATAACATTAGATCAATTAAAACAAAGAAATATGAATTTCTTAGTATTTTCAGTAACACCTTTATTCTTAAAACTTAATTTTGTATGATGCAAATATACCAATTTTATTGTTATTTTATTCATATTGTATTCAGCCATCACTTAAATATTTGATATTAATTTGGTATTATAAATATTCAACACTATTCAATAAAAATTACTGAACAAATATATGTTATGCTTGACATACATTATATATTATCAAACAAAAACACATTCTTCTTTTAAACTGTATCAGTCTTGTCTTTACAAAAATCTTTTTTAAAATTTGAACTAAAAATAATAATCTTTTTCATGATCTTTAATACACATATTCTTTATTTTTCCCTAGATCATAATACCTACTTACGTGTTTGAATCTATCGAAGCTGAACCAACAACACTTGGAGTGGAGATTCCACCAATATGAATAAAATAAACATAATTGTCCAGTTTTCATTAATACCATCATGGGAGAATATTACTTTTAAATTTATTAAAGATATTTTCAATAGAATTCTCTTGATTTATAACTCGTACCCACTTTTCTTGCTCTTCCGGACACTTTAGGCTGCCTAGTATAACTATCCTTTCCACCAGGAACACAACAAAGATGAGGCATAGCACCAAAAACACACTCCGCTTAAGCTTTATTGATGAATTGTTAGAGTCTTAAAAAACACACACAAAAATCACGATAAGTAAAAAATGTATGGGCACTTTTAGGTTAAATCGCTTACACAACGTGTAATCTTTCAATTTTTCTATTTTTTATGCGAAACCGAGAGTGACCATATATCTGGTAGTAGTTTATGTCACTTAAACACTAAAATAATTAGTTTTTTGCACTATAATAATATATAATACCAAAAATCAAAGAGTTAAAACCAAAAATCAACCGACAAAATATGAAACGGAATCTAACCCAATATCTAAGTATGTACAGCTGATGAAGTAAACAAAAGTCCTCCCCTAGGCTGATCTTTTAATAGAAGGCACTGCTTCAAGTTTTAAAACAATTTCTCAGGCAACCAGATATACCAATAAAATTGACAAAAATTTTATTAAATTACCAAAAAGGTACTATATTTTATACTTATTTTTATCCCGATAATTACAAAGATTAGGAAATACATTTTAATATTAAAGGTATATTATCTAATTTATAGATTATTATAATCTTTAATTGTGTTTTTATATTTCCTGCACACTGAAAAGTTCAAATAGGTATATGAAATGGGAATGGACTTTCCCCGTAATAAAATTAAAAATCTAATATTGCTCATTGTAATATGTATATTTATAAAAATAAGGCAAAAGATGTAAATTTATTATCAAGTAATAAATACAGTTTTACAATGTAACTAAAATTTTTACCTATATTACAATATATTACTTAAATATATTATTTAGGTATTCATAAATGCAGCACAAACCAAATTTAACTAAAAACAACTAAATAAAATAGTACTGTATAAAAACTTCAAACTATACAAACAAAATATAAATTTGCCTAAACTAAAGTCCGTTACATTAAAAGTGAGGTAATTTTTTCTTTTTATACAAACGATCAAAAATATATATCTTTAATAATCTTGTAATATCACAGAATGTATTAAAAAATAATCTCGATTTAGTTAACAGATAATCCAAGATGTTAAATTCAATCAAATTTCAACTGTGTTTACTATGATAATTTCCTACAAATGTCTTTTATATTATTAATTACAAATTCAATGAAGTGTGTACAAATAAAAATTATATTTTTACCTATTCAACTCGGTATTATTTAAAAAGCGTCAAAAGCCTTTTTCTCCAAATATATAAATTATATTTCAATACCTTTGGTCCTATTCATTTTTTATACCTGAAAGCATCTGACTTGCCAATCCAGATCAGAGATGTGTCTAAAATTAAATAAAAGTAATAAGAAACAAATAAATAAGTGCCTGCTTTTTGTGTAATATACAGAGCCTTAAGATATGGATAGGATGAATTGAAAAACTAACGAATAATTTTTTCAGGTTTATATTTTCAAAGCTAATCAAGCTGAACAATATTGATTTTTAAAAATTTCCTAGTTATATTTTTCTTTGTAAATATATACATAACAATCGGCTTATAAAAAAAATATTTTAGCTAACAATCATTTAAGCATTTCTTAATTTGCTTTATACAGTCGCACATTCTTAGTACAACAATGGAGCTCAAGTTGCTAGAAATATAAAATTATTACTTTGTCGGAAAATGATATTTTAGAATTCAGATTGCTTATTCTAAAAATTCTCTTACATTTCATGCACAGAATATTCAGGTATATTTCGGCAAATAGCTATTTCTGTAAATATGTATTGCTTTTAGAAAAAAGTTTAAATTATAAAAGTTCCCAGTTTTAACTGAGTGGTCATATTGTTATTTGCCTTTGCCTTTGAATATCAAGTCACTTTCATTCTTTTCCGCGTTTCGCAAAGCTCTAAAATCATACTTACTGGAGAGAGCCCTATTATGCGGTAAACGACTTTTTTGTTGATGTTTAGTCATGAACAATTTTGAATTTTAAAATTTTGATCATCTCACACACTGGTTAAAGGTCTATTTAATATTTAATATTTTATAACTCTTGATTTTATGATATATAACATGATTTTATCCATTTACAATTTTCCTTTTGTAAAATTTTCTTGATACGCCTGTGTTCTACAATGTCGATGTATGTTTTATTTGTAATTTTAATGACGTAAATTTTTTTGAATTGGTTTGTATTGTATGACATTTTTTTTATTATTTGTATATTTGTTTTTGTGCTTTTTTGTTTTGTAAATGCTTTGTCGATGAAGCTATTTTGGCTTTTTGTACAATAAAGCGTTGTTTATTATTATTTATTTATTAATTTTCTAAACGACAAAAAAAAGACCAGAACTGGGAAATTTTGACATAATTTGTATTTTATATCTGGTGCTTCACCTGAATAGAGTTTTGTTTTTTGGTTTAAGAAATTTGTCTAAATGATGTTAAATTCTATGATATATGCCTAGTAAAAATATAGAATACAGGGAAAGAATTCATCATATATTACCATAACCATTACGTAATAGTTATTTACAGTACAAGTGTGTTTATGAATATGATTACAACAACGAGTGTGAACGACTAGAACGACGAGGTCGTAGACCGAGTCTCTAATCACACGAGTGTTGTAATCATGTTTAAACGCACGTGTCATGTACAACGTTTTATCTACAACCGAAAAATAAGAAAATGCTGTTTTAATTTTCGTTTATTAGTCGCCCACCTTTAACTATGACATTTGTCACATTTTTTGGTAATTGTTGCATATACGGTTTTCGGCTATATTTGGATTATATAAGAAAATTTTTAGATATTCACATTCTATTGTCCTTATAAAGATTGCAAATATGCTGGGGGAGAAAAGAAATTGTGTTTCTTTAAGTATTTTTTCAACCAAACAAACTTACGGGACCGGGCAGCGAATAGGGGTGCTGGGCGGGGTAAAAACAATATTCTGATTAAAAATACTCATAACACAACCATTTTACAATCCTTTAATTAAGCTTTTAATGTAAAATTTCTTCAAAAAATCTATGAAGAACTGTTTTATTCAGAAATCATTGGCAGGTTACATTGAAGGATATGCTGACAGTAGTAAAGGCTTTGGTAAAGGTTGAATTTTGACAAAGATTGTGAATTGATGCATAGTTGCCAAATCAGCTAGTAAATCCGGAATTTCATGCATCCTTTTTTTCAAAGGGAAAAATGACGTCATAGGTTTTAAAATGTTTTTATTTATATTTTTACTTACTTTAGTTTAACATATTGGCTAAATCGCCACCAGCGGTATAGAGAATTTCTTAGTTATAGCTCTAGCAATGAAAACACACTGAGCGTTTTGGTTGGTTTGGTTTTGGTTAGTATTGTTTTGGTTGGGTTGGTTTAGATTGGGTTGGTCTTGTTTGGTTTGATTCTTTGTTTCTTTTTTTTGTATGTTAGAAAATGTTTTCTCTTATTTTACCAAAATTGCATTTTTCCTCAACTCAAGCTCTTTATGTTTGCCTTAACAGCATTAGAATAGACAGTTCATTTCATAGAATATTATTATTATTATATTTTTCAATGTTTGTTTTATTTAATTTAGTTTGATTTTTGCTACAGATATAAAAATTTTAAAGAAAATTCATTGGAACTGGCAACATTGCTTTCCCTTCTGTCGGTGTCATGTCAAATCAAGTGTTAAAATTCTCATAACGTCAAATATGTGTCAAATATTAAATTAAAATATTTTGAAATTCCGTGCATAATCTATATTTTCTCAATTTTTTTAAATGGAAAATTCGATTTTTCTATATTTGTATGTCATGTTTTACCAGTTTGTACGCTTTTACCCCGCCCAGCACCCCTATTCGCTCCCCGGTCCCGTAAGTTTGTTTGGTTGAAAAAATACTTAAAGAAACACAATTTTTCTTCTCCCCCAGCATATTTACAATCTCTAAGGTTAATAGAATATGAGTATATAATTTTTTTCCATATAATACAAAAATAGCCGAAAACCGTATAACTGTTACCCATTTTTTAATTATAATTGTGGGGAATTGTTACCTGCTTCAGACTATAACAAATGTTGTTTATCAAGTAGAGTTTTTTTCTGAAAAGTCAGTTTGCCCTGTCAAGTAATCGCGAGCACTTTTTGCCCAGAAATTGTCCAGAAATCATTTTAAAAATTACGACGAGCGATTCCGAAAGTCTCCCTTCAGATGTAGAAGTTGCCGCAGTACGTACCACGGAATCATTATTGCCGGGAAAGTTAATATATTTAGATGTTCGTAGTTGTTTTTCATTATTATAAAAACTAGTTGTGTTATAAATTCATAACACCACTAGTTGTGTTATGAATCTCATAACGTAATTGAAATACTAAAAAAATAGTGATGTAAAAACGTTATAACCAAACGGTTGTAGATAAAATTAGGAAAATGGCGTTTATCATGTTTTTTCCCTGGACCCTTCAATTGGTTAACAATTTTTTTAATCATTGATTTATGACCTCTAATCAATACAAGTTCTGGCACCAATGCATTATGTGACAATGGCTGGAAAGTACACGTATTTGAGGCGAGAAACTTTGTTCAAGCCATGAAATTTCGAGATTTTTTGAGATTCTTGTAATTCAAAACATTTTCAACCCTTAATGTAAAATAAGTATTCTTTTAAAATCAAACACCTAAATAAAGAGATAAAATTATCCTGTTTCAAAATTGCTATATCCCTTACGCTTCGTCCTAGGTGGGCGACAAAAGCGGGCAATGCGAGCGACACGATGTTATCAAAAAACGTTTTCTTACGAACAATGAATAATTTCTTATGAAATAGCGCTGTTATCTATGCTTATGAAAGTGTCCTGCATTACCGACGCAGGACGATTTCATAAGAAAACGTTGTTGGAAAAAACACGTGTCGTCGGTTGAATCGCCCGAATCGCGCGCTTTTGTCGCCCACGTAGGACGAAGCGTAAAACCACCAATGAAATTACCACCAATTATATAATATGCCTTATATTTAAAATCGAAAAAGAATCTTAAATATCTTAAATCAGAAAAAATATATATATTCAACAGAAGTATCACATATATGTGATTCTATTTCAAAAATGCAACTTATGTTAAAATTTGACAGTTCTAAAGTTTTTTTCGTTATTTGGAAAATTAAAATGTAGTAATTTAGATAAATATATAAAACTCACATAATTGCAATTTCTAAAAGCAATATTTATGGAGATCGAAACCTTATTGCAATTTTTAATGTTAATAATTTTATATTTATAAATTCTTGAGCGAAACTATTTGTGTAACATAACACACAGATTAAAGTGCTTCGTTTCAGTTTTTCCTATTTGTAATGTGAATGTGCAAATCTAAAAAATAATTAGGATATTACATGTCTAACCATTTCCGATATTTAAACTCCATTGATCACTACATTTAGTAATATTACAGTAATATCAATATAATATGTATACCTGAGCCTTAGTTCTATGTTAGGTAAAATTGTTATAAAATTATATGAACAAAATATAAATATGAAAAATATAAAATTCAGGATATTATTATGCAATGGGGTTTCACAATGGTATTATTATTTATTTTAATATATACTATCACCTATAAAAATGTTCAATATATTAAGCAGTCCATAAAATCGCATTTTCCTTCATATTTTGACCGACCAAAGCTATATAACAAAACATAAAGTAAGTTTAACTAGCTACAACTTAGTTCAGAATTTCATAGAGGTTTGCCAAGCAAAATAATACAAATGCGATCTCATGGTTTACCTAATTAAATTTAATTATGATTATACAGTATACATATGATAATTAATTATTGTAAATATAATATGTAAAACATCCATATATGTATCTTATCACCATTTTTAGCATTCTAATAGGTTTAGTATAATATAACACGCATAAAAATCATAAATTAAATCATATAATCATTGGTGTTTAGTGTAATGTAACATTAGTAAGTACACTGTATACAGGATTAATTATTGTAGATTAAAATATTCCTTTGGGTATAATTATATAAAATATATTTCTTGTGCGTGGCCTTGAAACTTATTTCATATTAAAAATACATTAAAACGTCCCAAATATTGTTATATTAATATTATCAATATAACTTTTAAGTTATAGCTTACTATTTGTTCTTCTTAATACATTTATATTGTAGTCTTTGTTTTTAAAACTAACAAGATTCAGAAAACTAAAAATACGAAAACACTACGTTTTATTGGAGTATTATTGCCACATTTCAAACTAATATTTACAGTAAATCACAATGTTAGAACAGGACATATTAGCTATTCTAATAAACAACATAATATATTGATTTATACACAGTTTTATACAATTTCAGTAATAAAATTGTAGGGACTGAAAATGTGGAATGTACAATCAATGAAACTACAAATGAAAATATAATTTATTCTTTATACATTAAAAATAAAATCCTTCACGCATTATTTACTTCAAAAGCTCAATAAGTTTACAAACTAAGTTCATACTCATGACTTTTGAGTAATCTTAATCGTAACACACAATGTTCACGTATATTTTAGCCAATCAATTTATTTTAGAAGCAGTCTAAATTACGAGTTTTATTCGAATCGTCCCATAATATAATTTTCGAAATAACAAATAGACCATCTGAACTGTAAAACATATACAGACAGGGTTGCTGATATGTATGGGAACGGTCGATTATTAGGTAAAATATACGAGGTACCGCAAAAAGTTAAATATAAAGTTATAGTGTTTTTAAATGTCTATTAGCGAGTAATAAATTTAAGTATACAGGGTCGGGCATAAAAGTCGTGGCACATCAAAGTTTATTTTTTTTTTAAATAGAGCCCCCTCTATATTATTGCATATTTCAATTCTACGCAAAAATCGAGATACACACAATGTACATCAAACCAACCGTTTCCGAGTTATTGACTTTTGAATATATCACATAAACAAAAAATTAATTAATTTCGATGTGTTCGGTTTCATTTAACGATGCCATTATGCGGAAACTGTGATACTTAATAATATTTGACATTAGTTTTCAAGTTAGCATTTATAGATGTATAAAATGAGATTATATGAAGTCTGGAAATTACGAAATTTTCGTTTAACATTTCATAATCAAAACTTCATTATTCGGAAATCGTTGAATTTAGGTACATTATGGGATTACGATTATTGCTTAAAATTGAAGGAAGAATTGAAATATGCAATAATATACAGGGGATTGCATTTTAAAAAAATTGATGTGCCACAACTTTATGGCCGACCCTGTATACTTAAATTTACTACTAGCTGCTAGACATTTAAGAACCCTATAACTTTTGTATTTAACTTTTTGCGGTACCTTGTATGTTTTACCTAATAATCGACCGTCCCCATACTTATTAGCGACCCTGTATAATAAGTTATAGTTTTAAACTGTACGCTTTATGTCTGATGCTTAAGTTAAATAAACAATTATTTTCTTGGATTTTTTTGCAGTTTTAGAGATATAAACAAAAAACAAAAACACCTTTTGGAACAATTCTATGGTGGCCATAGATGCAATTAACAGATAAAATGGGCCATAGGCGATAAAATTTGTCCTGGCAAAGGTTAGGCCATCAAATTCACAATATTTTAATAATTCGAAACAATTTTAATTACCTACATAAGTAAATACACATGTAAAAATATTGTGTTTCAAAATAGTTATATTTGATAAAACGATTATTTAAAAAAATAAATCTTGACCAAAAATTTGACAGTTCTGATAGTTTCTTCCTATTTCGAAAATTAGAATGCAGCGATTCAGAAAAAATAACTAAATTTAAAGAGCCTTTTTCTAAAACCAATATTTACGGAATAGCTATTGACTAAATATATATGAACAACCTGTACTTTCCTTATGGCACAAGACAAAGCTGCTTTCCATTTTGCATGCATTTATCATTATTTTAGTTATTTTTAACATAAATATTATTATATATTTATCAGAACAATTTTACTCTGAGTGGTAAATCATATTTGTAGTTATTGTTAACTTGCGATCGATGATTATGCGATCTCAAAAAATTAAATAGATATAAATATAAAAATTGACATAACTAAAATATTAGTTGGAGAACATATTATTCATTCTTATTGATCATCTAGATGTCTAAAAGGATAGCAGCTTACTGTAATATTACAGAATTACGGTTCGTAACTTTCATTGATAAAAATACTGTTTTCAGCAAATCAAAAAAGATAAGTTTTTTTCTGGAACAAAATGGAAGAAGTTTTAAAAATATGAAACAGTAAGATCTTTTTTGATTGCTTTTTATTATCACCTTGTTCCACAATAACTATATAAAACTGAAACTTCAAATGGAACAATTTATGATATACTGAAATATTAAAAGTTAAAAATCAAGTCATTGTGAAATTTATCATATTATTTTGGTTAATTTCAATAGGTACTAAATTTATATCGTTTAACAAAATTGATTTAACAATTTTTTGCTATTCTTGAACACCACAGATTATTTGGCAACATGAGTTAACCACGCTTACATTAACTCTATATCCGTGTTTAGTAAATGAAATGGTGAACAAAAATGGATCATGATATTCAATCAGTGTGCTATTACACCCTTTAGTCAGTCAGTTAATCACTGTTTCTCTGCCACCGTCAATCATAATCTTTCTCCACTCGATTCTTCAACTGTTCCTGATCAATTAGAATGTAAAACTTCAGTAAAAACTATCACATGACATGTGTCAAATGACGGTTGTCAGTGTACACAGGAAAAAAATGAAAAAAAATCTACCTACCATCAAATATCTACAGTTATTTATTCATGACTAGAATGACTAGAGGAGCTACATATTCATAAATGCAAACGGTTTAAGCCTGCTATATAAAACGTATAACAAACAAACAGTAAATGGAAGATTCTCGTCAATGTCGCAAAAATGGTTATTGAAACAATATCACAGAAGGAAGATTTGTTAATGTTTAAGCCTTTAAAAATGATAGTTAGAGCAAGAAACACGACACAAAATAATTGTTTATCACATAAAATTACCTTTCGATAACTCTAAAGGTTTATATGAAACACTTGGAAAAACCTTTTTATAAAATAGCTCCTTATAGTCGTATCGCAACTTGTCACAGTCTAATAAAAAAAGAAAACGTAAACGAAATATAAAAAAGAAAATATTTACTAAAATAAATAAAAAAGCATTGCATGAGTTAACTACCTAGAGAAAAAAACACAAAGATGAAAAAGAAATAAAGGAAGTTTAAAAATTTTATATAAAATCTGGTGAGGTATAAACATACGTTTCAAATATTTTATCAAAATTTTGAAACCGCATGTGCAATTTTTTGTATAAAAAAATGTTTTTGACAAAGCTATTGTTTGGCAGAAAAATTCACCTTATCATTAGACTAAACATTAAATATTAAGAATCTTCCTGATTATCTACACATCTTTATGTGTCATTACTCTGAGTCAATTGGTTAATTAAAACATGTCATATAATACATGTAATGTATAAATTCATGCAAAGATAATTATTAATCACAATATATCTAAACCACAGAATACCTTAGCTATACAAGCGACAGTAAGCATCAGTTCTTATGAAAAGTGTATCCCAAATATTTCACCTTGAACTTACATATTTTGATATTTAAACTAACTTGTATCCTAAAAAATATCTATAATTTCACTGAAGGAACTTTTTAATTAAAATGAGAATATTTATTTTTTTGCTAGATAAAGAAATTGATGCTATGATGCTAAATAAAGAAACTGAATTATTTTTTATGAAATTTAGTGAAATAAATTCAAATATATGAATTTAAAATAAAATTATGTTAAAAAGGGAAGAAATACCATTTATTTTCTCAACCTTTCAATTATTTTGGAATAAATTTTAATTTCTATATAAAATAAAGAAAATATAAATAAAAAGACCAAATAAAAGGAAACAAATGAATTTTAGCCATTAGAAAAAATAGCGTTTTAAGAGACCTTTACTTATTCAAAAACTGCTTTTTTGCTCGTCATAAATTGAGGTTTACAAGTAAAAACTAGTTTCTTACATAAAGGCGTTTTACACTTTATCCCTGACATTAACCAATAACTAATAAAATTTGGCAACCGGCGCGCGGCGTCATAAAAATCATAACCTCCAAAATATAACAAATAAACTCAAGGATACTATAGAGATAACGATTATTATGACGAACACAGCGTGGAATTAATTTCTATATTAGCAGTTCAAGGCAAGAAACTCTTATATAATTTTATTAGATAACGATTGTTCGATACCTATACCGTGGCTAACGTCATATTCAAGGCCTGACTGTTTTGACAGTTCCACCGAAGTGGTCGAGAATTAGTAGTCGTAAACAAACCTATTGTTTTCATTAGTTTCGCAACAAATCTGTGTTTTTTTCGCGTTTCTGTGCTAATAAAATTATACTAAATAATTTTGAGTGTACTATGAGTGAATAGTGAACTATCTAGATCCGATTCATAACATCGTACCCGCGAAAAAAACCATACTTTCGGTAAAAATTATAGTAACACCGGCGATGCCGGCTGTGTGTCCGGGCTACGAAAGAGTTGGGGAATTTATATAGAAACATAATTAATAGCGCTAGTGTTAATGTATAGTGTTAAACCAACGTCAGTGACGTGTATTTTTATGTAAAACAGTTTTCGTTTCTTTATTTTTACTTTGTGAAATAAAAAATTCCGCGACATTGTTCTGTGCCTGTGCCTTGTAGCAGCAATTTTAATAAGTCCTCAGGATCTGTCTACATTCTCTTTCCCAACAATATTAACTGTAACTAGGTCACGTCCAAAACCTACAGAACATGCTGTGCCTACAATTTTTCCAAATCAACCCTCTTATATGACTGCATGTTCCCATAAAGAAAAAACATCCCGATGAAAGAAAACAAGATTTGGAAATTCAGGATGAAATAAATTGAAAAGTATTATTATTATTATGAAATATATATTATTATTATGAAATGGCAATATATTTTAAAGAAATTAAATGAATTTGTATTTTATTTAGTATTTTATATAAAAAAAATGATATCTTTATCTTTTTATTTACGATTTATGGAGATGGTTACTTGATGAACATCGAACTACAAATTACTTAATGTTAATAGTTAATTCTACCTGATATCCACATTTTTTAAATATGTTAGGCAAATTTTTACAATTATTTTTAATTAAACTTTAAAATGTATTCTGCCCTTATCATATACAATACATTTTCTTAACTTGTCGATAAAGTATAGTTTTCAAATTTTTTAATATTTGGAAACTTTTTATCACAAGGTATATTATTACTAGTTGCTAAATACTCGCTAACGCAATTTTAGGATATGCTTTTTATTATCTGGATTTTATTCTGTTCATCTTATGCTGTAGTTTATTTCACATTAATATTCGTGTTTTAGATCTAAATTTTAATGCTATTCAATTACTTTAACGCGACAAAAAGTTAATGTTATTCTTTCATACCTTTGTGTATAATATTTTTCATATTTATATCTGGCAAAACTATCAATAAATACTATTATTTATGCAAAAACTATATGCAGTACTATATGGCACAATTCAAAAGCCCGACTATAGCGGTGACGTCACAAATCGATGTCTCTGGCCTGTATCTCATGTTGGTTATGCCTATACTTCCTCTACTGTCAGTTTTTCTACATCATCTAGGGGCCTAGTTGCATTTCGCGCTAAAAAAATTAGACAATGACAGTTATTTATTTAACGAGTCTTGCGTTCTAACGTTTTATTATTATTCAAAACTATTATTTTGTTATTTTTATGTGTTAATTTAGGGTAAATCTGATTGACTTGTAAAAGTAAGTTTTTAATTGATTATGTTTAATTACATTAAATACATATACCGTATGATCGAGAAAAAACGGCGTCCAGTTGGCTGGGAAATGAAGATTGCTGTCATTTTATATGTAAATTTATATGGGAAATGTCATCGATCGTCATTTCCCAGCCAACTGGACGCCGTTTTTTTTCGATCATACGGTATTTTTCTTTTCTATTATTCATAAAAATAGAATGCCAGGTCACCGCTGTGCCGATGTGGTATATTTGGGTGTAATAATAGCCGCGTTGTTACTAGAAAATCTAATTTAATTTCCAAAAGGAAAGGACTATGGGATTATACAGGGTGAGTCTTAAATAAGTGCAAATATTTTCAGGGGTGGTATATTTCGACCCCAGGAATACGTCTATGAGGTTTTTTTCGCAAAAAAGAGACGTTGAAAATGGTGCATTTTCTTTTAAATTTCCCTGTATATTTTTTGAAAACTTTTTAGAACTGCCTGTTCACCGCAAATTTTCCTACGGTATAATTTCTTAATCTCTGATATTACCATAGTTACGGCTTTACTCCATGGTTACGGCACTAAAAGGGATGCAAATACAGAAAAAATCCGGTGGCTCTCAAAACTTTTTCAAAAATTTTTCTTTTAAATTTCCAAACTTAAATAACTCGGTTATTTTGGACTAAATATTTTGGGAAAATATCTAAAGAAAAAAAATCTACCAGCCCTGAAAATATTTTACTTATTTAAGACTCACCCTGTACAATATAAAGCTTAAATAGGGCATTCCTATTGTATCTCTATTGCTTACCGCCATGGCGGTCATGGGTGTATCAATTATTGTTTGGAAATGTTATTAAACCGTCACCAATATTTCAACCCAGCAGGGTATATAGTATATAGTCTTTGAAATAAACTTGCTTATAATTTGGTTCGCTAAAAACTCGCCTGTGTCGCTTCTGTATGGTTAATTTATTCTGCGATATGACTAAAGCTCTAGAATCGATTACTATTTTAATCAATTTTACAAAATAATTGTCAATCGAAATTACAAACTTTAATACAATTTTAGTTTTTTTCTTGGTATATACTTTATCGATAATTATTTTGTAACAGGTAAGCAGGTACAAAAGTATAAAAATAAAGCTATACTTTAACTAAATAAATATAATAAAAACCTAAGGCTCTGTTAAAAAGACACAAAAATGCGGTTATGTCAAAAAGCATGCACATAGAAGTAGTAAGGGCGACAGTACAACTGTGTACACGGACTCAACATATCTGTGTAATGTCAAAAATGCTTAACTACACGCAAGAACGAAAATAAATAAAACATTTAGCAATAAAAAATGTGAATCGATAACGTTCTGCTGCTAAGATTTTGTTGAGACCATCCCTCTGTGTAATAACAACTGATTTAACAAAACCAATCGGTGAACAATGTGCCAATGAAAACTTTTGTTATTACACCGTTAATTAAACCATATTAAACTAGCAACTATTATATTTATAAAATGATACTAAATGGTTGTAATGTTTGCTCTACTACGACGATTATGGTTTAAGTAACAGCTAAAATGTTTACAATCTGTTTTTTTAGCGTTTTGGACTTACCATTTCTGACGTCAGACAATTGATAGCATGTTCGACGGTTTTCTTGTGTTGTTTACTTGTTGAAGTGGCAGAACTCTGCTTCAAAGGTGTCGTTGGACAACCTAAAATACATGGGGGATAAAATATTGTCATTTCCAGCAAAAAATTATTTGTCTAACGTAATAATAAAATTACAACATATGTCAAAGAGACAACTACGTTATTTAGTATTAATATATCTCTTAAAAGGCTACAGCACTTAGAAAAGTGTTTATACCCTGTCCAGCAAAAGAATATACGATAGTTATCTATCATTTTAATTCATTCAGAAATATATAGGTTAAAATTGTGCAATCAAACAGAGTCAAGTTGGAATTGTGCATTATAGTGCAGTTCGTATATACAGGGTGGCGCACCTCATTCGCCTCGGTTGATTATACGAAAACGGAAAGATGTAGAAACAAAATATTTTATGGATACATGTGGGAAGGCAATGTGCATAATTTAAAATTATTTTGAAATGTACAGGGTGTGTCAGAACTAAGATACATACCAAAGTTATGTTTTTTCTTATGGAACACCCGGTATTTTATTTCATTTTTGGTTTCTTGGACATAAAATAAGGCATTTATTATAAGGGTTTAATATGTTTAAAATCTTTGCTTTTTGAGATATTTAAAAATATTTAAATATGCATACTATAATAAAAAAGTTTGTCAACACTTCGTAGATTACTTTTCAGAATTCATTCTTGTGCTGACTTTCAAGCCAGAGAAATAAACTTTACTAAAAAACTTGATTGCTTCATTAAATGTATACAGGGGTATCAAAAAAATTCTGGTCTATTTTAAATATTAATTTTACATAAAAACTTCGTTATTTCAAATACAACACCCTGTATTTTTCTAAATAAGTCAGAGCAGATTTAAATGCTCTTTCAAACTATATTAGGGTTTCCTATACCTATTTGGCTCAGATTTTGAATAAAAAGCGATTTTTCAATAAAATTGTAATCAAGATGGCTGGTGTTGCCATGGCAATTTTCTAGTGACAGTAGCTATTTTCAAAATCGACATTAGTTTATGGACTTTATTTAAATTTATAACAGGTTATTTTTATTTAATTTATCTACAATAAGGTTAATAAGTAAGTATTTATTATTTTATCAAGAAAAATGAAGCAGTATCTGCGGGCCGAAGGAATGGATAGGTTACTAGTGATTTTATTTTGTAAGGACAATTGCTTGTTAGCCTGAAGGGTTTATGCTCAAAGACATCCAAATAGGAACTTTCTTGACAAGCGTTCCTTTGAAAAACAACTTTTCTTATTTCGCAGAGCTGATAATGTGGTATATAAAAAACCTATCAGGCAGAAACTTGTCGTTGGAAGTGAAGAAAATGAATTTGCCTTAATTGGTTCTTTTATAGAAAATCCAATATTTCTACAAGTCATTGTAATATAAATCAAAAAGAACTACTTCTTTATTTTTCTTCATAAAATAATAAATACTTACTTATTAAACTATTGTAGGTAAAGTAAATAAAAGTAAACTGTTAATATAAATTTAAATAAAGTCCATAAACTAATGTCGATTTTGAAAATAGCTACTAACTGTCACTAGCAAATTGCCATGGCGACAGCAGCCATCTTGATTGCCATTTTATTGAAAAATTGCTTTTTATTCAAAATCTGAGCTAGATAGTATAGGAAACCCTAATACAGTTTGAGAGAGCATTTAAATCTGCTTCGATTTATTTAAAAAAATACAGTATGTTGTATTTGAAATTACGAAGTTTTTATGTAAAATAAATATTTAAAATAGAGCAGTAATTTTTGATACCCCTGTATACATTTAACGAAGCAATATTTTTTTTAGTAAAGTTTATTTCCCTGGTTTCAAAGTCAGCACTAGAATTATCTCTGAAAAGTAATGTACAGGGTGTTGACAAACTTTTTTTTATAGCATGCATATTTAAATCTCTTTAAATATCTCAAAAACTAAAGCATTTAAACATATTAAATCCTTATAATAAATGCCTTATTATATGCCGAAGAATCCAAAAATACAATAAAATACCGGGTGTTCCATAAGAAAAAATATAACTTTGGTATGGATCTTAGTTCTGACACACCCTGTACATTTGAAAATAATTTTAAATTATGCACATTGCCTGAAAGGTGTAGAAACATAATTTTTTGTGGGTATATGTAGAGATATACCCACAAAAAATTATGTTCCTACATCTTTCCGTTTTCGTATAATCAACCGAGGCGAATGAGGTGCCCCACCCTGTATATAAAAAGTGCCAGCAAAGACAACAATTAAGAATTATAAGAGCAGGAAAGAATGAAAAAGATATATTACTATGCTATTTCTGAAGGCACGTGTTGCCACTCTGTCTCAACTAACTTCACGTTATTTGTAACTAGCTATATTAGCACTACCTTGGCCATTTATTGAACCATTATTGTGCGCATTTAGGTGGCTACTTTTGCAAACAAAGTCCCATATGAGATGTTTCCCCTTACTTCTACACTCTATATGCTGGACTTAGAAAACTTGGTAATATATTACCTTCCACAGACAACTTCCACAAAATCTACATATTATATAAAATGCTAATGTTTATCTGTGTCGTCTCTACTGAAGTAACGACTTGGTCTAGAAAATTGATTTTTTTACTAAAAGATAGCTAATTGGCTCTTCTAAAAACTGTCGTCGCCGAATTTTTTGCTTTTCATTTAATTAAAAAAATAAAAATAAAAAGTATTTTTTTCCTGATGTCGTGGCGGATGCGCCAGGCTTCAACTAGTTACAAAATAAATAGCTTACTGTTAGATTAAAATAACAGACGATAATTGACAGTGTCATATATTGTTTTATTGGACAGACTATAAAAACCTGAGTATTGAGAGTGAATTCTAATTTAATAATTGTAATAATTGAACCAAAATAAGGCTTTGTAGGAACCGTGCTGGGGGTTCATTCCACACTTTTTATTACTATTTAAGAGAAATGTATTAATGAACATATTTTAATTAAACGTATAAGGGTCTTCCATTAAGCCTACCACTAGCAGTTATAATAATATACAAAGTTAACTCTAAACCTATATGTATATGGTAAAAAGCAGCAAAAGCACCATTCATACAAAAAAAATCACATTTGTAAATTGTTACTAAAATATATTTTGATAGGTTAAAAACATACCTGTTGATAATTAACTTCATTGATTTCTTGGGAATATTTTGCATAAAATTAGTAAAAGCTTTATAATATGTATTAATACTGTGTGATTAAAAATAATCAGGACCAAGCTGGCTTCTGATATTGATAGTTTTCAAATATATAATTTCCAACAAGAATTATTTATCTGGCATTTTCTAAACTCTAGTTTACTATAACACTTTTTAATGATACTGCATATTTTCAATTAGCAACCGGAACATAGATCTAACATAGCTTAGACCAAGGTCAGACAAAGCTACTTTTAAATAATATCTATAACTTTGTGGTGTGTTCATTTCTTGAAAAGACTTCTGTTTTTAGAAAAAAAATCTACAATATAAAAGTTATTTTTGGTGAACACTACTGCGTTGATCCAACGGAGGCCAATTTGTCAGTGATATTTTACTAATAAAACAAATTTGGCCTAATCAAAAAAACAATTTAAAAATTAAATTTTAATTTAGTGTTTTTACTTGTATACTCAGTATCTACTAAAAAAACTGTTCTCGAATTGTATTTAGATACTTTATATAGATTTTTTCTTTGTTTTTCTTTGCTTCTGACAACGGGAGGAGATATACATCCTGAATTTTTATCGGTTAGGCAAATTCGTTTTATTAATGAAATACCACTGCCAAAAAATACAAAATCGATGGATCAAGGCAGTGGTGTTTACATTTTTTTTTTATTTTGTAGATTTCCCTCTAGTGGCAAAAACCTAGAAGCATTTTCAAGAAGGTTAATTTTACTGCGCTGTACTCCGCTGTAGTATGAAAAATTACACAACTTTAGTGAATCCTCATCTGAACACGTCTGCACCCTCAAAAGTAGCAGGCATAGGCATAGGTGTATAGTGAAGTATTTACTGCAACCAAAACCAAAGTGCGAATATAATTTTTCGAAGTTGCGGACGCTATAAAAAGTATTAGTTTTGGTTGAAACTAGCAACAGCGGCGTTGCATTTATCAAAAGGTAAATAAAAAACATATTACAATTATTGCTGAGGTATGTGATAACTACTTATTACTTCCTGTAAAACAATTCATCACCTTAAGAGACCCCTTAAGAAACAGAAAATGTTTAAAATAAATAGCACGCAGTTTATTTCCTATTGCATGATGCAAAACCGAGAATCGCGTATGAACTCAAAATCAATCTTTTTAAAAAAGTTGAAGTATTAACAGGTAGCTGCAGTAGGGAAAACAGTTGGCAGCTTGCTACTTTTAACCTGCGTAAGCATTACACGAAACTTTAGAAACCACATTACAAAAACTGCGCAGTAAAAGTAGCAATGTCTGACCTTACCTTTAAATTACATTATTGATACTGGAAAACTCTGCAAAAATAAACTTAAAAAAAATATATATTTTTTCATGCTCATACCGGGGGAGTAAAAACTTGAACATGAGTATGACATGTAATTTAAATGTTAATCAGGAAAGAAATGTCACTAAATACAATTTTTTTTAAATCCGTTTTATGAAATTGGTTTTAAAGGAACAGATACAACTGGAAGATCTACTAAAGAGAGTTCAGCCATCGTTCACCGTTACGTCATCATTATTTGTCAAATATGAGTGTTAGGGTGTCTGAGATCAGTTCATATTGTTTAGAAAATGTTAAGTCCGGTCCTATATTATTGATAGAGCGAGTTCAATCCCTTAAATTCCAATCCTAATTGAAATTCCTAATTTTAAAACATCAGCAACTCGCTATATTATTTAAAAACGCTATCAATTTGTATTTTACATAGAAATATTACACATTTGCATTGTACTTACTTCATATACGGCGTCCACGGGCAAGAGTGTTCTACCAGCCTACCTACCTCTCGAGGATAATAATTTATATGCTTAGCAATGAGCTTTTGTTCAATTTGGTTAAATTTTTGAGGCATTTTTGCAATAAAAAAATTGAATTTGAATTTTGTTTTACAGCAACAATCAAATTTTAATTTTGACATTGATTAATTCCCATCAATAAAATTATAACCTCAAATCAAATGACAATGGCAATTACTAAAATGAAATTTTGACATTGATTGGTGTTCTTCAATAAAATTATAACCCTAAATCAATTAACAATGACAATTGTTAATTGTTGGCAAGTGATTGAGAGAGTTCGACAATATATGACGTGACGTTGAACGATGGCTGAATATTCTATACCTATTTTACTATAGTACATTCTATACACACAGGTTAAAAACCTCCAATCGCCATGCAAGCCTGTCAACCACCGAAGCTACCGGCAGCACTCACCCATATCCCCGCTACTTGACGATTCGGTAAATGAAGGTGTACCTTCGGTCCAGGTGGGCGTCGATCCCTCGACGGAGGCGGGCGGCGTCCAGGCCAGGCCGCCCCTGGACGAGTGACCGCCGCCCGAGGCGGAAGAATGACCACCGGCCGTCGAACTGCCCCCTGACGATTCCACACTCAACGAGGACTTGGTTTCCGCTCGAGATTCCAGCTTAATATCGGTTATGCTGAAATAAAACGATTGTTTAACAAAATAGTAATAGAGGCCTCAGACAAAATGTCACAAAAGTAACAATTCTGCAATTTTTTTGCCGTTACAATCTTCGATCAAATACCGGATGTTTTTCAGAAGTTGCTCACCCCTATAACTTTTTTATTTTTTCAGATAAAAAAACGAAATTTAGTATGTTGGTATATGACACAAATCGGAATTGACTGACGTTGACGAAAAATATGGAACATATACTTCAGAGGTTTTCACATTTTTAGTGTTGTGGAGTTCTTTAAGGATAATATTTTTCCTATTGCGGACAGTTTCACATATCATATAACACTTTTATTAGTCATAATGTCTATTTGTCCATTAATTTATCCACTAACTTTATCACACTACAAAAACAAACTTTCCAAAAAAATAATTGGAAAACCAAATGAACTCTTTATTAACGGGTCAAACAGTATACAAAAAGCACAAAAAGTGACATTAATTAATCTTTTTTATTAAAATATGTTTTGACTTTTCAGTGTCAAAACATATGTGTTGCCTATTCATCATAGCTATTTTTCAAAGCAGTATTTTAAAAAAAGGATTTATCGTTATATGATTTAATTTTTGTTTAAAATTTATATAAAAAGTATATTGAAATAACATGACAAATATTTTTAAAATAATAAATACACATCAGATATATCTCGATTAAAAAAATTTTATGGTCTATATTTTTAGCAATTGATGTCAACGCAGCGAAAACACGCTCCAAGTTAGCATTCACGTCTAATATCGTTCTGCGCATGCTCAGTAGCGTATTCAGAGAGAAGGATAGGCTTATACGATAATCTTGTTCTGGAAAGAAATAAATAGAAAAATGGGATGTGAAAGTCCCGTAAACAAAGTCGTGTGTAAACATATGGCATAGCTTTATCCACGTAGTTTATAAAAAGTAAAGATTTGAAGTTAAGGTCTCCTTTTTGCTGCCAGGGCTAATCTGGACGGGCGAAGTTTATAAGATCTAATTTTATATGATAGAAAATGAGACTTGGAATGAAATGGCATATCATATGCCAACTTTTCATTTTCAATTAAAAAAAACAGCATTTTAAACTTCAATCTAGAGCGCCATAGGTGTGTTAAAACCATTAGTTGTTACTCATGGAGCTTCGGAAAAATAGATTTGGTCGTCTAATGTTTTTCGTGTCTTCTGGTCGGTTAAAAGATGATCACTCGAGCGAAATATCGCTCGTATTTAAAAATACAGTTTTTCGACCGTCGCTTGTTGTAAGTACTCGTAAACGCCAAGCGCCAAGTAGTAAGTTGCATGCGCAGAGCACATACTCTTTCGGTGATGGATGGCAAGTAACAAGCGATTCGCTTGATCGCTTGATTTAGTTTATTTCAAAGCATTGTCGATGTAGGTCGTAAAATTTTGTCCCTCAGATACGCAACGGATAACGTCGTATAAATTTGCGACCTGCAATGTATGTAGAAAATTCGCTCGGCTTTTTATCGAGTATGTCACATTAAAATCGGATTTCAATATATTTCATTCTAGGATCGCATGCAACTCGTCACTTGCATCGCTCGTTCATAATCGAGCGATGTCGGTTATTTCAATAGTCGAGTACTCGAGCGAATTTTCGCTTGAGTTATCCCATCACTAGTCATGGCACTCTAGATGGAAATTTAGTGCTCTTTTATATATTAAAAAGGTCAAAAGACATATCATATGTCATTCTATTCAGGATTTGACATTTTTACCAAATAAAGTAAAAATACCTAGAATACTATTTGAAAATAAAAAAATTGTAGTCGTTTCCGGTAAAACAGGAAGCTAGCAAAACTAATTGAATATATATATATATATATATATATATATATATATATATATATATATATATATATATATATATATATATATATATATATATATATATATATATATATCAATCAATCCTCATTTCTGTCATAATATACTAACATACCAAATCTCATTTATTTATCTGAAAAAATAAAAAAGTTATAGGGTTGAGCCAGTTTTGAAAAATACACGGTATAGAAAAGAATGTTACAACATAGAAGACATATTCCTTACCTAATAGAGTCATCTTTATAATTCTTAATCATCATATGATGGTGGGTCTGGTAATGATGATGAGGTCTACTCCCTCTAGCGGAAGAGGCGTGACCCGATACCGAGCCAATGGTAGAACCCGCCTCACTTCGGTCCATGCCTTCGGAGTATGTAGGAGGAGGTGTGCTGCAACAGCTTGGTGCTACACCTGCAGATAGAAGCTTTGCGCTACATTCTAGCCACTAAGTGCAATGTTAAATATGAAAATGTACTAGATTAAATACGAGAAAGATATATAACATAATCCTTATTAGAGATATTTTTATAAACATAAAATATGCCTTATTTCACTGACAAATAATAAAATAATCTAATTAGTAATAATAAAATATTCTAAAAATGACTGAAAATACTATTTAACTGTGAATATCAGTAAACAGATAACTGTCACTGTCAAAAATATGCTCACGTTGGACAGGTTTTAATATAAATCTTTCTGTAGTTAACCTAAAACATATATTTTATAAGTTAGAGCATTGCTTTGATGCCAATCAGCATTATGAATTTAAAAAATAAAATATTTAAACTTTAAAAACATGTATATATTTTTACAATAAAGTCATATAGGAGGAGTTAAATACAAATAATTTTGCTATTCTTATATTGTGACTTTATATGGAATCTTTAAACTGTGTTAACACATATATGTACTTCATATTTAAATATTAATGACTCCACATCTCAATATTATATCGTTTTAGTTCGTTTACACATAGATTAAAAAAATCTACGACATATAACACAATACAAAAACTCTAAGCTATGATGCAAGCAGTAGAGCGCAATCTTCTTTCGTCATCAGTTCTATTTGGATAATATGTCCAACTACTGCCTAACAAAAAAAAAGAAATAGTACTAGCTAAGACACAACAAACTGTAAACCCTCACTACAATCATGCTATTCTTTGAATTTCATTATTTTCTTTAGTCCAAATATGTATCGTTAGATTACGTAGTTACTTAAATAAATCATATACATAATAGATACTCTATTTATATAGAGTCTATTTACATGAAATATAAATGTTTTTCTTTTTTTTTATTCTTGATTAATAACGTGCTAGAGCGTTGTAACTAAACCCTAAAAGCCATAATCAAATAAAGAAATAGTCTAATGTAAATTTAAATAATTTTAATTCAATAATAAAAAATGAAATAAAATGTTACATTTCAATATTTAATTATTCTAAAAAAATAATTTATATGGCTGTCAATTTTCTAAATCCCTAACAACTATAACACATTAAAATTAATGTATTAGAAGGTGTATTTGATTTATAAAAAATAACATAGACATTACGTAAAATTAGTTGATTAAATTTACCGATCTACTATATTACACTTAAACATAATATGCACAAAAAGCCTATTCGTTAAGTCCAAAAGGTCTAGACGAAAATATCGTTATCGCAATGGACTCTCTCAAATTCCATTATATCTGTGTACGTTAAAAATCTGCAAGAATTGCGACGATTAAGGTCAACAGACGCCTCGCTAAATGCATGCGCTGCGCAAAGCTCACAACAACAACCAATTCCATACACGCGCGCACCTTTGCCGTCTTTCTTGGTTTTGGGCGTGCCTCGGGGCGGCACCGGGGGCGGGACCTTCTGTTTCGAACCAACCAGGACGGCGGGATATGACGCAGGCGGCGACGTCACCGACGTGGTGGTCGAATAGGGAGGCGTGAGGGGAGTGGTCGACGAGGGGGCGGTCGTTACGGAAGGCTGATGGGTGAAGGGAGCTGTTTTGGTTATGGGAACGTGATCCGTCGGGCTGACTGGGAAGGGGGAATAAAAGGAATCCAAATGAGCAGCATTAAGAGAGAATATGTTGTTTAAAAAAATACCTATATGTTATTTGAATAAAATAACTCTAAATAGTTCTAAAAGGGATTAATAGAAGGCATGCTTATGTCAAAGGTGGTACCGGAAAACCGATAAATTATATCAGTTCTGAGATGGTTCAAAAGTAAATTAGTCACAACAATATGCAACTTTGAAACAACAGGAAGGTTTAAGTTAAAGAAATATATTTGTTTTCTAATTAGACTAACTAAAAGTCCATTACTTGAAAATATTATCCGATACAACCTCTTTCTAAATACTAGAAGATCACTTTTGTAAAGAACTCACCAGCTTTAGCACCGTTCTGCTGGTTAGATAAAGTCTGCGCAGGTATACTGGCTACATAGTTCAGAAATATTTTAGTTATAAAATAAAAATGTTACATAAAGAAAACAAGTGGCAGGTAAAACTACATATGTGGTGTGAAAAGTTTCCGACCTAACAAAAATACAAGACATTTTTTCTGAATATTTTTTTTATTTTTCAACACGCCCTTGTAACTTTACACACTTTTCCCAGCGATGCTCCTATTGCTGGGAACCCGTCCAAATAGTACTCGGCTTTTTTCTCTGCAAAATAGTGGTTCACAAAGGCGATTGCCTCTTCATTTGACGAAAATCTCTGTCCTCCGAGCGCAATTTTTAAATGAGGGAACAAAATGAACTCGCTAGGGGCTACATCTGGTGAGTAAAGCGGTTAGTCAAACAGTTCAAACCGTAATTCGTGGATTTTCGCCATGCCAACCGCTGAGGTTTGAGACGGTGCGTTATCTTGGTGAACAGGATTTTCTTTTTCTGTAAATGTCGCAGTTTTTCTGCAAGTTCTGCTTTTAGCTTGTCAAGTAATGTCTCCTCTAATGGTTTTTCCTTTTTGAAGATAATTAAAATAACTCCATGACTATCCCAAAGAACAGTCGCCATCACTTTCCCAGCCGAAATAATAGTTTTTGCTTTTTGGAGCCGGTTCTTCCTTTGCCGTCTACTGTTTTTTGTTTCTGGTGTATCAAAGTTTCATCTACAGTAATTAATCGAGGCCAAAACTTGGATTTATTGCGCCTAAACTGCGCCTACATAGCGTTGGAAATGTTCATTCGAACACGCTTTTGGTCTAACGTGAGCAAACGCGGGACCCAACGCGCGGACAGCTCTCACATGCCTAAATCTTGATTTAATATGTGATCTCTCTCACTTTAATTCGGCAGTCGTCTAGCACCATTTGGGGAACTTTAGCGATGTTATCGTCGTTAGTTGCATGTTTTGGACGTCCCGAACATTCATCGTCTCCCAAGGTCTAGCGGCCACGTTTAAATTAGACGCCCAAAATTTTATTGTGGTAAATGACGGTGCAGACTCCCCATATACAGAATCCAACTCATGTTTAATTTTTGTAGGCGTATTGCCTGTCAATACTAGATATTTAATGACAGCTCGATACTCGATGTTGTCCATTTTCACAAAAACACTCACATCAACTCAATCAAACGACTGTTACACAACAACTGCGCATTCAAAATGGCTGAAACTTTGGTGAATAACTGTCAACAGATGAACAATGAAAATTCATTAGCTTTTATCTACGAGTGCTGTCATCTTCACGTTTAGGTCGAAAACTTTTCAGACCATCCTTGTAGAAAGACCTTTATTAGAAAGTTATTAGAAATAATTGCGATTAGGTATATTAATTAGTTGAAAAAATTATTTGGTTAGATATCAATATAAAAATAAATTTCATTATACAAAAAAACTAAATATATTTTATAGGGCACATCAAATAAGAATTGAAAATGTGATAATTATTAATCTAATTAATACAGGGTGAGTCTTAAATAAGTACTAATATTTTTAGGGCTGGTAGATCTCAAAAGTTAGTTTCAAAATTAAAAAAAAATGCTTTTTTTGGAAAAAAATTTGAGAGCCACCGGATTTTTTTTTCTGTAATTTTTCCCTCTAATTTTAATCTACTACCGATGTTGTCACGTTTTTAAGATATTATATTTTTTAACTGAAAATTTCACCCAAAAGGTATTTATTACACGCCACCCAAAGAGTATTGCAAAGGCGCGTTTCTTGTTTAATGGTGTTCGCCAGTAGCACTGTTATCCCACACAATAAATAGAAAAGGCTTACCTCTGTGATTTAAATAGAATATTATGCTATTAAGTTATTAATTATTATATTCTTAACGTGCATGTCCTGCCTTATCTGTATATAACACAGAACATAGAAAACCAAAATCCTCCCATTTCCTTAAGCACTCACGAAATGTACGCATTTACTAATAAAATCTATCTTTGTAAAATCGCCTTTTTCAAGATTATTGTACCTTTTTTATGCCGGTATATGGGGTAAAAATTTGCTTTTGTTGGCTTATTGTTTTAAAGACTTGACTCTTGACTGATATATATCTACTTAGGAAAGCAATCTTCCTTAAAGCTATTTTTTTCTGTAAACTACAAATAAAAATGAATTGTATCAACTTAAAAACACTTTGAAACTAGTAAACACATTCACTATTTCAAAACATTCTGTGGTTTCTGCTGTTTTACGGGTTTTATTTGCTCTACGATAGGGGCACTGTAGGCGGTAGGGCCGGGCCAAATTTATTAAATTAAAAAATTCCTGTCGATAACCCTCTATGGTTTGAAAACGTGTAAATGAAATAACGTGACTTGATATAGTTTGTTTATACTTATATTTTTATATTGTTTCGTGTTGTTTAAATGTAGTTTTTATATTAGTGTAAGCAGTAATCATAACATCATAACTATCGATCTCTAATAAGAATGTCCTTCTCTAATAAAATATTACATATTATGTCAAAACTGACAATCACTTCATCTTCACCAAGGATACTATAATACTATAGAGATAAGGATAGTTCGATTCCTATCTTCCTGTACTGTCAGTTTTTTGACGTTATCTAGGGACCGAGTTGAAGTTCGCGTTAAAGATTTTAGACAGTGACAGTTATTTTTGCGTTTGACGGACGAGCGCACAGTGCGGCGGAAGATAAATCTAGCGGGGCAAAACCGTTTGGTTAGGAATAAAAGCCAAAAATGTGTACTGATAAGAATAAATAGTAGACATTCCAATTGATATAAAAATGCATGAATTATTTATTGGTCGTATATATTCTTTGTATTTCGATACATTTTTATCAACCAAATTTGATCGTTTTCTGCTCAGCAAGGCAGAAATCATACGAAAACAAAATATTTAAAAGTGCTTATACATTTTATTCCAAAGCCAAATTATGTTGAAGATTGCCAAAGGTATGTACTTTTCTACTGTAGGTATATTATTTATTAAAATCCTTCGTCCCTTTGTTCTGCAGATATGAAACTTTCACTTTTTCAAATATTGATATATTGAATGATGTAGATCTTTTGAGTTACCAATAGTTCCCAACACAGTTAGTCACACTCACAAGGAGTTCAAGCTTAACAGGTGAATGCACAAAAGTTTCATTTCAACCGGATAGTATAAAAACGAAACAAAAACTCGTTAAAGGGTTAATTGAAGAGCATTCAAAAGAAGAATTGGGTTTTGCAAGTACTATGAGCTTTAGGGCTAGTGGGAGTAAGGATGCTGCTGTAATTGTTGAAACCTTAACTCCATCGAAAGGCACAGAGTTTAAAAAATTAATAGCTGCCCATACACGGAAAGGCCCGGCCTTCGGACTTGGCCTTGAGGTCGGGGCTTTCACCCAAATTACCATAGCGGAAATATATCCGTAGACTTTGCCTTTCACGCAAGCCTATGGTATTTTGGGTTAAAGGCCCGCACCCAAGGCCAAGTCCGAAGGCCGGGCCTTTCCGTGTATGGGCAGCTAATAATGACACCAATAGTCAGTTCGGCAATTTTCCTCAAAAATTGTCTTAGATACTTACTATACAACTACCGAGTGTTATATGAAAATTAAAATATCTATCTTATTTGTTATTTTCAAAATAAAATAGTATTTTTTAAAATAAAATATACAGGGTGTCACAAGATTAGAAAGTAATTAAAAAATAACTGCTAAAGAGTTTTTTGTAAGTATTTCACGTGATATCATAATTTTATGTATTTGGCAATAGTTTACAGTACGGTTTTTGTGTGTCATGTACGAATAATATCATAGTTTTATTATCATGTATTTATTTATTTATTAATAAATTAAGTTGTTAATAAATTTAACCATATGGTTGCCATATATTAGACCATTTACGCTACGTTCTTAGATTTTAAGTCCCAAACATCGCTCCTGAGATTTTGTCCCGCTACAATAACCATCCGCCGCACTGTGGAGCGCTGGTCCCTGCGTGACGTCAGCATCCACGGCGACTACGACGGCGGCGGGGCGTTTTGACGCGAACGAACAGTCCTTTAGAATATATACATATCCTTGCATCTTCACATCATACACAATCACAACAGACAGAATAACAAAACAATGTCAAATCTATTTTAATTTTAAAATAATGTAAAAATCGTTTTTAATTTTGTTAAGCTAATTATTTTCTTATTTGAAAAATTACAATACAATTGCGTGTGAAGTACACACACACAATACTACAAGATGTATATGTATAAGTAGGAGAAATATAGGTCATTTAGAAAGTGGCAATGTTTCATCTTTTCATAGCATCTCTTTTAGTGCCGTAACCATGGTAATATCAGAGCTTATAAGAAACTATACCGTCGGAAAATTTACGGTAAACAGGCAGTTCTAAAAGGTTTTAGAAAAATATACAGGGAAATTTGAAAATGAATGATTTTCAACATTTTTTTGCGAAAAAACATCAAAGGCGTGTTCCTGGGGTCGAAGTATACCACCTCTGAAATTATTTGCACTTAATTAAGACTCACCCTGTATATGATGATAAAAAAATAATCCATTGTAAATTAATATGTATTGTAATATTATCCTGAGAACTAAACGTTATCTTATTTACTTAGTATACTCGTATTACACCAAAAAATACATATGAAACAAATATATCGTTTTACGTCATAGCGAATCCCAAATAAACGCAACAGCTGATTATACATTACTTAACAAAAAATATAACAAGGATTTGTACTCACTATTTTCCATTAATTCTTCATGCCTTAATGGTTTTGAAAGCGATTTCCTCTTGGACGGCGAATGTTTAAGAGCTGAAACAACACCTAAATAGTGAGAAATATATCAAGACAAGCTACAAAATCTCATAAATGGAGAAATTATAAACTTGAAGCAAACCAACTTTTAAAATTCCAAAAATATAAAACAGGCCAATAGAAAAATGTAATTTTATGTTTAAATAAATTTGGAGTAATATACTGATGTGTCAAAATAATGTAAAAGTGTATACAGAAAATGAAGAGTTTAACGTGTCTTGAAATGTCTTGAAAATGAACAGTTCAATTCGTCAACAAAAATTATAAAAAACACAAACATTTTAAAGTATATCTTTTAAGTACTAGCTATAAATTAAAAGGAATTATTATATCACAATCCACTCTGAACAAACTCTTTTAAAACTTTATTATAAGATACTAAGATATAAAATAGTTGTCAATATCTTATTACAAATTGTATAAGTCTAAAATTGAAGACATTAATAAATATTTATTTTGCGATTCTTCGGATATTTTACTCAAATGCAATAAAAATAAAAACACTAAATCACCACAATACACCAAAACACTTTTACTTTTACACTGGACGCGCGTTTCGCTAACCATGTTAGCATCATCAGCAGATGATTATAAACTAAAGTACAATCTACAAGGTGAGCGTTTATATACTCGCTCAGTGGGCCCCGAGTGGGCGTGGCAAAATCTAGCCAACCGAGTCAGAGCCAACTGAGCGTAACAGTTGATTTGTCATACCGTTATCTAGTAGAACGCAAGAACATGATGCTTGGACCGTTGACTCTGTTCATTTCTTTACATTTATAAATTAAGATGCTTATCATAATTATAATTGTAATTTGAGACTTGTTTAATTAATTTTGAATTATTAAGATCTATACAATGTTCATTATCAACAATTATAGTTCGGCATAACGATTTATCCGGTCTACCATATCTTTTATCTGAAAGCAATGTTCTTTAAAATCTAGTTAATTCTTCTAGTTTGCCCAACATATTTCTGATTACAATCTTTACAAGAAATTTCATAAATACCCGACCTTTCCAGTGGAGGTGTTTTATCTTTTGGATTACCTAATAATTGTTGTAATTTATTATTAGCACTATACACAAGTTTATAATTGACATTCTTAAAAATTCCTTTTAGACCACGGATAACTCTCTATCAAACGGTATCGAAAATATTTAGACGTATCTTTCTCCACTTGAAAAGTCGAATTTTCAGAAATCATTAACCTATACCTACGTTTTCTAATTAATTTATCAACTAGTGAAGGAGAATATCCATTACACTCAGCTACATTCCTAATGTAATCTCTTTCTATTTCATATCTTTCGTTGGAAAGTGGGAAACTAAGTAATCTAAGAACTAAGAAATTTAAACTAGCAAATTTCTTAAATAATAAATTACAACAATTATTAGGTAATCCAAAAGATAAAACACCTCCACTGGAAAGGTCGGGTATTTATGAAATTTCTTGTAAAGATTGTAATCAGAAATATGTTGGGCAAACTAGAAGATCAATATTAACTAGATTTAAAGAACATTTAGCTCAGATAAGATATGGTAGACCGGATAAATCTTGCGTTGCCGAACATATTGTTGATAATGAACATTGTATAGATCTTAATAATTTAAAATTAATTAAACAAGTCTCAAATTACAGGCAATTAGATGCATATGAAAGCATCGGAATTAATAAATGTAAAGATAGTATGAACAGAGTCAACGGTCCAATTCCTTCAAGTTCTTTGTTCCTACTACTCTAGTGGCGGAAATCTAACTGTTACGCTCAGTTGGCTCTGACTCGGTTGGCTAGATTTTGCCACGCCCACTGGGGCCCACTGAGCGAGTATATAAACGCTCACCTTGTAGATTGTACTTTAGTTTATAATCATCTGCTGATGATGCTAACATGGTTAGCGAAACGCGCGTCCAGTGTAAAAGTAAAAGTGTTTTGGTGTATTGTGGTGATTTAGTGTTTTTATTTTGCTGTGTAACACCAAAGGTTCCAACCCTCAACTGTAATCAAATGCAATAATAAAACCCTGCAAAATATTTTAAAAATAGAAACTTGCGGAATACTTAACAAATTGAACTGTTGATAACATGTGTCGTGTTACATAGTGATAAAATACATAGACTATTGATTAAGCAACACAAATAACAAAGAGAACAAACAATACAAATACAATCATTACCTTGGTTAATGATGGCAATAACAATTTTATAAGTATATAGATATACAGCATAAACAAAACTTAAATTAAATCAAACTCAAAATAAATTAAAAACATTCCTCATATAATTAAAATTATACAAAATCTCCTGTCTAATATTTTCTTTATGCTATATAATATACTAATGATATGATATGTCCCTGTAGTAAAAAAAGATGAGAAATATATTGCAAAATGTTTTGATTTAAAGTCTTAATACAAATAAAACCCAGTAGTTTATCAAATTGTTGTCATAAACAATGCATTTTGATACTGAATTAATACACTAAATTAATATAGCCTGTCCAACAAAAGGATATTTGACAGTGACAGTTGTTAGCTGTCATTTTAATTACCAGGTAAAGTGTAATTTCTGCCAATTTTTGGAAGTTATTTGTCGAAAAATTCCCTGCTTCGTTGGGCAGACTTACTAAAAATAACTTATTTTTTCTATCCTTTGAATTTTTAGTTTGTTTTATTTAAGTTTTTGAATACATTTCAATAAAATTCGTTGATGACGTCATTACTTACCTGTACTTAAAACAAGAAATACTTTACCGCCTAACTAGAAAACTGGTTAAAAATAATGTAAAAAACTATGCATATAATACTACTATACATTACTTTAGCGATTAATTTTTTTAGCTTAACAACTTATATGACTTGAACAAAGCTTAAAATGATAATAAAAATACACTACTGGGTGTTATTTATATTCGAACCATAAAAATAAAAAGGCAAATTTGAACTTGTGTGTCGACATGAAGCAAAATTTTTGTTGATCTGTGTGAAGAAATACTTGCGAAAAAATAAAAATATAAAAACAGAACAAAATTAACAATGTGTCAATAACTTTACCTATGTAGCTTGTTACCAGGGTGCGGAATTTACGATGGTTGCCCTTAATTTCGGGCATGTCCACTACAACGAAGCATTGAAAACACACACAAATATCAGAAAAACTACCCAATACAACAATTACTAATCACATTTACTTTAGGGCAATACCGTTTTACCGGGGTGCCGACTGCACAAAAAATTGCAGAAAATAATTATCTCTAGGTCGAAAGCATATTAAACAAATTAAATGTATTAAAATACCTTTCACGTATATTTAAACTAATAGCTATCTCCGTAAGGATTGGTTTAAAAAAAATGTTTAATCGAAATTTTTTTGGAGTAAAACTTCTTTAGGCGCGCTGGAAGTAAAAACTCAAGGCCGTGACACACGAGCTAGGGTCACGACACGCGTCACAAAAAGTGGTGACGAATCGAAAAAGTGGTAAGCCAATGAGGAAGTTGAAATGGGTCTTTGAAGCGTCGTAACTTGAGCCCTATGTGAGCTGAAACTCGGAATGCCATTTTCATGATATTTTGGCGACGTTTTGTGCACTATGAAACCCCATCGTCAATGGCGAAAAAACCGTCCGATTTAAATGAAATTTGGTATGTCGACAGATTGGACCAAGGCCAACTTGACCGTGTCACTGCGACATTTAGTTTTAACGTTAGAAATGTTAAAAGTTAATAATGTCCGATCGCGACCAAATTTGGTGGGTAAGCTATTTGAGCGACGGTGCTCACGGTGCCACCCTGCGAAGTTGCATACGACGTTTCGTTTACATCTTCATCAGAGTGCGACTAAGGATTTGATTTTGAAAAAAAATCTGGGTCGATTTAGGCATAATTGGGGACGGGCTACAGGATGACGCCCTCGACGTTTCAAACCAATGCCTCTAAATGGACGAAATAACCAGGATTTTTCTTAATTATGGGTCGTTTGGGACCAAATAGGCACATGGATAGAGGTAACCGAATGGAGTCCTCAGAAGGACAGATGGACAGACGGTTATTTTAATACAAATTTTGTGAAAGTGAATCAAATTATTTATTAATTTTTTACTTTTTTAACATTTCAAACTACACTTTTTCAAACATGTCCTTCAAATACTTCGATTTAATAAATTTTAGTAAGAAGTTTCACTTCAAATATGTGCACATAGTGCACACACATTTTTTTTATATAAACGATTTTTAATAGCAATTCTCAGACAAAACCCTAAAATTTTCATAATTTAAACTTTTTTCTCAATAAAGCAATATTTATGGAGATAAAAAGTAATATTTACGGAGATAGTGATTCACTAAAATATACGTAAACACTCTCTACTTTTGAATTTTACTAGACCATAAATTTTATTACATACTTGGCTATAATATAAATAATATTACACCGTATGATTTACAATAAAACCAAACAATTATCTTGGTATTTAATCTCTACTTCCTAAAAATTCTATGAGTAAAATATATTATTTTGAAAAGTGAAACAATAGTGAATCAATAAGTCAATTCTTAGAACCAAAAAATGACGTAAATATTTACACGTAACACGTTTTTAAAAATATTTATAATTATTTATTATTTATCAACATTGATTGATAATTATAAGATTTTATTCGAATATAAATAAATTAGAACTTTGTTGAATATATTACAGGTCGAAATTATGATCTATAATATAATTTACGTATATATTTCTCAGATAGATTAGTTTTTTATTAATCCTTCTCTAACTTCAGTTACTCCACTACTTTTTAGTTAATACTAAATTTTAGCAGCATTTAAAAGTATATATTTGTAATATAAATTGTTAAACAATAAAAAATAGTTTTTCTTTTAATAAATTTGGTTCAACGGAATTAAAGCTAAGATAAAATATTTATTTGAGAACAACTAGTACTTTGTCAGATTGATAATATAAAACCGTAGAGAAAAAAATAAATAGAAAACCATATTTAGACAATGTGAACAAATCAATCGACCAAGAGATATTTCTAATTAGTATTTGTGATTACCTACGATTAAACTTATTTTTTTCAACTAAATAAATTTACAAATAGAATTTGTGAATGTTTTTATTACAAGAATCCTAAGAATGTTATGGCTGAAATCTAGAAAGTTAAATGTGTTATGGCTATATACATAGAATTATATAGCTTCCAGAATGAAGATTGGTATCTTGCTAAAATGATATTAAAATAAAATAGCTTATTGATAAAATTTTACTCAAAATACTGGGAATACTGAGTCAAATAGTCTACTTCACCTAATTATTTGAAATATTTTCAAACAATATCAATATTGACATAAAAAATAGGTTATTGCAATACCATTGTGATGACAAATACATTGTATGTTATGTTAGTAGTAGTATTTATAGAATAAATATTTATTAAAAGCGATTATTTATTTAAATTTACTATTCAAGAAGAATTTATTTTATTTTAATTGAAAGAAAGGTACAATTGGAGGGAGCAATAATATAATGTTGGTAATACAGGTAAATACTCTACTGATTAAACATATATGGGTGGCATTTAGGAAACATGACAGAATATTGACCCAACATAGAAATTGTAACTTTAATGATAACAAATTTATTCCATCAAGTTTTCTATCAAACACTGACAGAATCATTACAGCAACACCCATAACACGAATTAATATAAAATATATACAAGAAAACACAAAATAAATACTTACGAGACGGGATTTTCTTGAAAACTTTTTCTGCCATGAACTTCTGAAAACGCTGAGCATAGAAACTTGGCCTGTGAACTGAAACAGTATCCTGGAAAATAAAAACTTTGATAAGAAAACTAGTCTAGTATTCAGATTTCGACAATATTTTCAATAAAAAGTAGATGACAGATATAATAAGAATAGCGACAGATTCCCATCATTTTTTAATGTCGTCTGTCGAAATCATGGACAGACTATGAACCTTGTGTTACGGAATTACCTACTCATACAGAAGCGACACAAGGGCGTTTCTTCGTGGATCAGATTCTGCTTATGAATATGATTTATGTGTGTGCGTCTCAAAAGTGGCTCACCCCCTATTAATTTTTTATTTTTTCAGATAAAAACATGAGATGTTTGTATATGACATAAATTAGGATTGATTGACGTATTCAATTGTTTCACTTTCTGTTTCACTGGAAATGACTACAACTTTTGATTTTTAAATGGCACCCTCAAGATTTTTTTTACTTTATTTGATAGAAAATGACACTCTGAATAGAATGACATATCATATGTCAACTTTTGACATTCTCGCTTAAAAAATCGTATTTTAAATTTCAATCTAGAGTGCCATGTTAAAAACACCAATTTTTAATCAAGGATCCTTGGAAAAATAGATTTGATTGTCTAATGTTTTACGTGCCTTGTCCAGCCTGATTAAAAGATGCCCAAATCATATTTTTAATCATATCTCATTTTTTTTCAAATGAAACAAGGGTGGCTCATTTAGTTCAGTCATTGGGGATTTTGCTTGGAAAAAAGTCCGGAAGTTTTGCAACTTTGCAGGTTTATAGGTTTTGGGGTCCTTAACTAAAATCCATAAAATGCACATTTCCAGACTTGCCGCCGGCGCCGCCATCTTGCCAAGATGGCGCCCAAAATCGGTATTTTGTGAATATCTCGAAAATTTGAGGAGAGCAAAATTAAAGAGAATAAAATGTACTATAAAAAAGTTTTTATGAGAATTTTCGCTAGAGTCAACCGTTTAAGCACAAAATCCCTGGAAATTTCACAATTTTGCGTAGAATATGATATATTATGTATAGTCGATTTTCCGAAATCAAATGTCGATTAGGGTTCACTAAAACTAGTTAGTTTAGTTTCTTCAATTTTGTCATAAAACAGTGGCGTATCATTAATTCGCTCATTAATTTATGAATAATTAATTTTAATTATTGAAAATGTGTACTTGTTTCCACCACCCAAGAGGTAAAGTACATGGCGCGTTTATTATAACATGGTCTATAACATGGCCTCCCTGGAGGCCTACCCCAGTAGATAAATTAAAAACTTATATGCACAAGCCCGACGGATCTGGCTCATTGATGTCAAAGTCGATCGTGTCTGCTATGCTGGACTCATCAGGGTGGTCTCTCAATACATCCAACTCTTCATCTTCAGCTGCCAGAGGGATATCTAAAGGCAAGTCCAACTCCTCTTCATCGGATTCGTCGAGTGACACTTCAGTGACGTTGTCACAGGATTTCCCATTGCGGTATGCACAAATCATTGAACATTTTAATCCTGCTTAGTTGTTGGTTTTGCATTTACAGGATAAAAATGCCAATAGGGATTTTGGGGTCGGATCTTTCAACGTTGTGACTGGAGTAATGCCTGTTTTTGTTTTCTTCCAACCCCATTCTTCGGCATCTTTGGTACAACCAGACCAATGCTGAACTTGGTGGTAAGTTCGCAATGAATGCTGTCCAGCACGAAAATTAATTATTCATAAATTAATGAGCGAATTAATGATACGCCACTGTTTCATGACAAAATTGAAGAAACTAAACTAAAACTAGTTTTAGTAAACACTAATCGACATTTGGTTTCGGAAAATCGACTATATGTATTTCATACTTTAAGCAAAATTGTAAAATTTCCAGGGATTTTGTGCCTAAACGGTTGACTTTAGCGAAAATTTTCATATAACCAAATAGGAAATTATATTCTCTTTAATTTTGCTCTCTTCAAATTTTTACGAAAAACGCATAGTCTTTGAGATATTTGCAAAATGCCGATTTTGGGCGCCATTTTGGCAAGATGGCGGCGCCGGCGGCAAGTCTGGGAATGTGCATTTTATGGATTTTAGTTAGGGACCCCAAGTTTCAAAACTTCCAGACTTTTTTCCAAGCAGGCCCCTTTTTTGATCCCCAATGACTGAACTAATTAGCATATTTTGAAAAAAGCAGTTTTTACGAATAATTTAGAACCACACACTTGGTATTTCGAGTGAATTTGTCGTTAAATTTATGGCCATGGCACTCTTAAATTAAAATTTAAAAATCAAAAGTTGTAGTCATTTCCGGTGAAACAGGAAGCGACCGAAAAGAATTGAATACGTCAATCAATCCTAATTTATGTCATATACTAACATACCAAATATCGTTTTTTTTATCTGAAAAAATAAAAATGTTATAGGGGTGAGCCACTTTTGAGATGCACCCGGTATGTTTTTAGGCTATAATTTTAATAATGCCAGTTGTCAAATTTCGATTAATTGATCGTTAATATCAGATAAACATGTAAAATGTAAAAATAAGTTTTCACCTAAAATATAATATGTAAATAATGCAATCAAAACTTAAAAAAGTAAAAACAAGACAGACGCTGAATTATTTTCAATCCCTGGTTAATATATCCCCTTTTATTTATTGTTAAAAATTTTTTTAAATCTATACTTAAAAATTGCATTTTTGTCAGTGTATTTAGAACATATTTCTTTCAATAAAATTCTAGAATTTTTTTTCAGTGTACCAAGTGAGTTTAATCGTCAAAATAATATGTCACTTGAATATCGAAAAATCTGATGTACGACATTCTTTAAAGGAGACGGTTTCTGCCGCTTCTATACAGCTAACGTCACTGGACACACAACACAAAAGCAGAAAAAGTAGTAGTGTATTTTACATTTTAATGAATCTTACCCCGTCATGTATCATAGATTTCCAAGTATGCTCCAACTTTTTCTTCAGTCTGTAGCTTTGCAAAATATCTATTATACCTATAAAAAGCAAAAGTCGTTCACCTTTGGTGTTTCTAGCAGGTATGCCCCCAGGCCTGAAAAAAATCAACAAAAATTCATCTATTGGAATAAAAAAAAAAGAAACAGTTTATTTACTAATCTAATATTTTCTTCTAATAATAAACTAACAAATCGTTAAAAAATTATGGTTGGGTTTGGTGGTTAATATAATTGGGGACTTAATATATTTTAAAACATTGTTTATATGCTTTGCACAATCATTGAATCAGTTATTCCTTCTTTATGTTTTTATACCAAAATACATTCATAAATTTTAGGAGGTTTGTTTATACACGCGCTAAATTCCCGTTCAATAACAAACCTTGAGATTTGTAGAATTTTTGATAGATAAAAACTATTAACACGTCTATGGATATTCTAATGTAGACGATGCAGTTAGGTAACAAAAGAAATAATCGTAGTCATTGTGATATAAACGTGCATTCTAATGCAGCAAAAATGTTTAACCATTAGCTAATTTATTTGTCAAGTCTAGAATTAATTTATAAATAAAACAATGTGAGTCGAATTGCTTTAAAATAAAATGAGTATCCTACTTAGAACTTTTAAAATTAGTAAAATATAGTTCAATATAGGAAAATTGTAAGTGTGTACTATGTAGTTAAATATTTTTTTTAAATTGTAATATATTTTTTGCAATGGATTAATAACTATAATTTATTGTGTTTATGAGTATTACTGCTCAATAAATGTCGTTTTTGGTTATATATTTATAGAAACTTCTAGCTTCTAGTCACAGTATATTTTAAAAAGAGGTAGAAAAAATACTCAAAGTTTTTTACATACAATATGTAAAATGTGGACGTGTGACTGATGATGTTCGTATGAGCGAAACACGGGTCACTGTTTAACTTCATATAAACGTTGAGACCGAGACTTTGAGTCTATTTTCTAAAATTCTATGAGTCAGGTTTTCTTTTAATTTAAACCAGCTCTTTGAGAAGAATGAACACCTTCTTTTTAAGTTACTTATCAGATTTGAGGAGGAGACTATCATAAAGTGGTTTCAGTAATTGAATATTGCTCTTAAAATGAAGAATGTTTTTTAATGACCCACTTGAATAAAAAAAATACTTTTATATCACCCTGCATATGAAAAAATGATGTGAGAATTTAAAATTTACGCTGGCGAAAGACGCACCTAAAGGATCCACCGCATCATTATTGAAACGATTGCATTGCAACCGCCGTACTTGCGATTGGACAATATTATTATAACGAGATAGAATATTGTGAAATTGTTTGGCACTGTCTAACGCCGAGGAAGCGTTAATCTGCATATTTATGATTGACGAAGACCTGGTTTTTACCATATATGAAGCTATTTGAGATAGTGACATCACACTTCGTCCTATTAAATTTGAAATTCCCCATAACCAATACAGAAATAAAATAACATACGGCGTATCATCGTCCTCGTCTATAGGTTCGGATTCGGCCTGTATACTCTCCATGGCGGTAGAGTGCGCCACCAGCCGTTGTCTATTGATCGATCGGCTCCTGTTCAAAGCGGCTGCGCCAATGCGGTCCTCCTTCTCTCTTTCCCTCTCTTCCTGTAGGAAGGTGGCGCTGGGTCCGCCCGCGTCTCCATCTTGCGGAATGTACTCTAAGTTGGTTTGAGATTTCTTTTCCTAAAGAGAAATTATAATACAATATATGTAACTATAACTAGCTAATTATTATATCTATGTCAATCATAACTTTTGACACTAAAACATAATAGTATATTACATAACGAGTATAATACTAAATCTCCAGACAGTAATGAAATTGTTACACAGACTTGTAAAATATTTTATTTACAACCACACCATTAATTAAAAAGTGGGTACTATTATTGATAAAGTAAAATGTAGTAAAAATTCCGCAATTGATGCCCTCTGACGGGCAAGCGAAGCACTTTTGTATAAAGGTAAATTATGTGCAATTAATTTATTTTGATCCAAAAAATATGTAGTTGTTCTATGTCAACGGAATATTGGACCTGCCTGTATATATTGTAGGTCTACTTTGGAAAAACAAATTCTCCAAAAATTTTTTTCACAACTATGCGATGTAGCGTTTTTTACAAAAGACAAACAATGCAGTAAATACTATAGGGGCCGATTTTTTTTTTCTATTTTACGAAAAGAAAATCTATCGTGGGTGGAGTTGGAAAATATTTATACTAAAATTTATGTAAAGGTGGGGGTAGGTTTCACCCTTCCTGTACTTTTTCTTGATTTTTGTGAAAGCCAAATGTTAAAGCATTTAGCAAACATAGAAAACCAAAATCTCATTCAAATCGGAATAACGGTTCTTAAAATATCTGAATAAATGTGTTTATTTTTTAAAGTTTGATGCCCTCTGGCCGACAAACGAAGCACTTTTGTATACAGGTAAATTGTGTCCAACGAACTTATTTTGATTTCAAAAATAAGTAGTAGTCCACGGAATATTGGGGCACCCTTGATAAACATATTATACAAATATTTTAACATTGGTACCACACCAGAACTTAAAGAAGTATAAAAAGTACAACCAAAAGAAATAAGATAAGACGAATGAGAAATGGAAGACAAAGTAAAGGTAGATAATGTGACAAATTCAAAATGTTATAGTCAGTAATATTATAAAAAAAAACTTACCAATTTTTCTCTTTGAGCTTGATCCAAATTGTGAATGGCCAACAGTAAGCTGTAGTCCATAATTTTAAAACTTTCTAAAACTCTGCAATCTCGTTGTATCGTTTTAACTAAGGCATTGTACGTATCCGACTCCATTAGAATGCCTTCTGGATGGTGTTCCATGAAGTCCAGGTCTTTATAAGTCGGCGATCTTTTTTGTCTTTCTGCTTTTGAAGCCTAAAAATATATAAACCACAACTTAAATATTGTTAAATTTAACTAAAATTTACGAATTACCTTTCTTTTGTATGTACTTCCTTTAAGATCATACTTCTGGTGCATTTGTACGTTACTTGGTAACAAATTGTTCATTATTACTAATCTCACATTTTTACTATTACACTGATAACAATAAAGTCCAAAAAATTTGGGTAATAACGTTCGGGGGTTCTGGTTAAGGTTCATATAATAACCTAAAAATATTTCAAATGTTTTCATTCAATATAAATAAAACACTGGATAGTCTTAAAACTACAGTACGTCTGTCCGTTCTGTGGCTACGGGGTATCCGTGAGAGGGGAAACGATATCCTCTCGATATTTTTCGTAAAAAAATAGACAACGCGTTCCATCAATAAAAATTCTACAATTTTGCAAGTAGCCAATAAAATGAGTGGGCGGAGCGATTTGCGGTGACGTCTCGTCAAGTCGACGTATAAAATATATTGATGTTTATTTAAATGTTTTTTGTCCGCATTCCTTTCATAGACACAGATCCAGCAGATGTACTGTATGTGTTTCAAAATTTACCAGTACATACTTAATATACTTTCATATTTTTAGAGTCACAGAACATGCTGTTAAAATTTGGCCCACGTAATAGAGATACCCCGTATACCGGTGCGTCTCAAAAGTATCGCCCCCTATAACTTTTTTATTTTTTCAAATAAAAAATCGAGATTTGGTATATATGACATAAATGAGGATTGATTGACGTATTCAATTGTTTTCTGTCACTTTCTGTTTTACCGGAAATGACTACAACTTTTTATTTTTAAATGGTATCCTCGTTGTTTTGTTGCTTTATTCGATAGAAAATGACACTCTGAATAGAATGACATATCATATGTCAACTTTTGACATTTTCGAATATGATCTATTTGAAACTGCAACATGCGATTCATAACGACAATTTGACTCGAAATACCAAGTGTGTGGTACCAAATTATTAAAAAAAATGCTTTTTCCAAATATGCTAATGAGACACCCTCGTTCCATTTGAAAAAATTGAGATATGATTAAAAATACGATTTGGGCATCTTTTAACCGACCAGGACAAGACACGAATAGCATCAGACGATAAAATCTATTTTTCCAAGGCTTCTTGATTACAAATTAGTATTTTAACTCAGTCATGGCACTCTAGATTGAAATTTAAAATTCAAATGTTTTAAGCAAAAATGTCAAAAGTTGAACCTATATGTCATTCTATTCAGAATGTCATTTTCTATCAAATAAAGTAAAAAAATACCGAGGGTGCCATTTAAGAATCAAAAGTTGTAGTCATTTCCGATGAAACAGGAAGTGACAGAAAAAAATTGAATACATCAATCAATCCTAATTTATGTCATATACTAACCTACCAAATCTCGTTTTTTTTATCTGATAAAATAAAAAAGTTATAGGGGTGAGCTAGATACTTTTGAGACGCACCCGGTATACAGGAAATAATAATTTAAAAATGTTATTTGTTACACACCTGGAAGTAGTTTTTGCAAAAATTCTCCTTCTTTGTGTTGCACGGTTTTTATAATGAACTCATCATCACTAGTTAAATAAAATATAGAACCACTAGCACCAGGATTAGAAAGTTCTCTTAAAGGAGAATCACACATTGACATCTAAAAATAGTAAAAAAATTGTGCTTACCCGTAAAACGACGAAATTTAGAGTATTTAGGATTATAATTATATCGGGTGGTGCAAATCGTTGTTGGAAACGTAGGAAATCGCATGCAAATTTTGAACTGTCCAGATATTGGCTCCCCTGTTAGTTTTACAGCGAAGTTATAAATTGTTGTTTTTAAAAGGTCTGAATTTGTAATAAAAGGTCTGTTTTTGGCTGAATACACATACCAAATTTGAATAATTTTGAACATGCCGATTTTAAGTACGAGTAGTTTAAGAAAAATTGCATCTATTTTTAAATTAAAACTGGACAGGTAACAATGCAAAACTAGGCAAATGCCAACGTACCTTAAGTTGTCATCCTATAATTTTGTCAATGTCAAAATTGTATTGAATTCTCATTCAAACCAGTTTTAAATTACAGACATTCATTTTGGGGACACTAAGCGTAAGTACTATTATAGAATGTAGTAGTGTAGACGGCACTACAAATTACATTTCACAATGACAATATCATAGGTTAACAACTTAAAGTATGTTGACATTTGATTGGTTTTGCATTGCTACCTGTTCAGTTTTAATTTAAAAATAGATTCAATTTTTCTTAAATTACTTAAAATCGGCTTCTTCAAAATTGTTCAAATTTGGCATGTGTATTCAGCATAAGCAGAGCAATAAAAATTCTATTTACGAATTAGCTATAAAATTAATAGGGGAGCCAATATTTGGACAGTTCAAAATTTGCATGAGATTTCCTGGTTCCAGCAACGATGTGATTGTGATGATAAAAATTTAGCTTAAACCGCCTTGTATGAACTACGTTAAAAAACATAAAAATGGAATTGTTTTAATATATCCGACAGTTTAAAATATTACTTAAATGCAGATTATATAAATACGTAATTATACAAATTTAAACAATAAAATTTCATACCTCAGCTACTAAAATAAATATAAAAATAAACAATATGGGTTGTATTAAATGTGCTGATTTTATCTAAAAAACATGTGCCTATTTAATTTTTGACATATTCTTGCCATTCGGTATACAATTCTGAGGCGTTTTGAATAAAAATATTAAAAAATACTTTTCTTTAAATAAGATTAAAATATAAAACGCAATTTTTAATATAGGCTTTAAAAAGAAAAATATGTTCATAGATTTGAAGGTCGTAATTACCACTATTATGTTACATCAATTCTCATGCAGAATACAAAACTTCTTCAAAATGAAGCACAAGTCGTATTACTACAATAGATACGGTTTCAAAACTGACATATTATTTTCGATTTAGGTATTAAGCCTCTATAACTATAAATAGAATATGTCCTATTTCTATAATATTGCAAAACTGAATGCTTTTAATATTTTAAACCCTTGTTATGTATTTAATAAAGAATCCTATGAAATATAAAAATAAAGAAAAACCTATATTAATATTCCGTGTACTTACCAAAAAATCGTCAGGTTGTATACCAAACAAATCTCTAAAATATCTAAAAGCTATGGGAGCGTAGTTTTTATACTTGAAGTCCGAGTAATGATGAGCAGGTGTGTGATTGGAGCCCTCGGAAGGAAAGTTAGTTGTCTCTACAGTCATGAAATCCTGCATAAGAAGATCCCTTTCTGGCTTTGAAGCCAGACCGCCCACTGCATGTTGGATTCCTGTAGTAATAGTTAGACTTAATTAGTTTTGTCCAATTTCTTACTGGCTAGAACTATTTTAATGTTTGAAGATAATTCATTTATGAAAAAAATAAATATGTATTATGTATGGTCAAGTTTTATCATGTTTTACACAAATATCATTCACTGTCAAATGTCAGATACTGGTATACAAAATTTTTTAAATTGGATACCCTGTATATGACAGTGTATTAGATTTAATAAAATTTATTAAAAAGGTGTAAACCGGGTGCGTCTCAAAAGTGGCTCACCCCCTATAACTTTTTTATTTTTTCAGATAAAACAACGAGATTCGGTATGTTAGTACATGACATAAATTAGGATTGATTGACATATTTAATTGTTTTCGGTCACTTCCGGTCTCACCGGAAATAACTACAACTTTTGATTTTTAAATTGCACCTTCGGTATTTTTTTACTTTATTCGATAGAAAATGACACTCTAAATAGAATGACATATCATATGTCAACTTTCGATATTTTCGCATATGGTTTATTTGAAATTATAATATGCGGTTCATAACGATAATTTGACTCGAAATACCAAGTGTGTGGTATCAAATTATTCGTAAAAAAATGCTTTTTCCAAATATGCTAATGAGCCACCCTCGTTCCATTTGAAAAAATTGAGATATGATTAAAAATACGAATTGGGCATCTTTTAACCGGCCAGGACAAGATATTCAAAACATTAAACGATCAAATCTATTTTTCCAAGAGTCCTTGATTAAAAATTAGTGTTTTTAACATAGCCATGGCACTCTAGATTGAAATTTAAAGTACAATTTGTTTTTAAGCGAATATGTCAAAAGTTTACATATGATATGTCATTCGATTCAGAGTGATATTTTCTATCGAATAAAGTAAAAAAAATATCGAGGGTTCCATTTAAAAATCAAAAGTTGTAGTCATTTCCGGTGAAACAGGAAGTGACCGAAAACAATTGTATATGTCAATCAATCCTAATTTATGTCATATACTAACATACCAAATCTCCGTTTTTTAAACACCCGGTATATTAAGGTTTTTGTTATTAAAATTTTACGAGTAATGTGAAAAACATTCTCTTTAGAAAACATATTTTGCCGTGAATGAAACTAATTTTATCAACAAAAATATGTTTTTGGTATTATAACTTATAAATTCCAATGTAGGAATTCAAATAGAATAAAAATATTGATTGGCGGTATTTAGAAAATAGTATATTGTTTTATTAGGAGTAAAAATGATACTTTTTGTAGTGAGGCTGTATGTTTGACATTACAGGCCAGGCATAAAAAGTCATTTTTACCCCGAACAGAACATGCTATTTTTTTAAACGTCGCAAATAATTTTTAAACAATTTTAAACGTTCCAAATAATATAAAAATATTTAAAAATAGTACCTTGTAAGTAATTATATATCGAGAAAGTATGGTTACATTCGTTGAATTTAACACTTTATGTTAGTTTAATAATATATTTTCTTACTATTGCATGTGCTTATGCGTAAAAGTGCTTTACTTTTATGTCTAGGCGTTAAAATTATTTATTATATTGTCAATCACGTCGGAAAAATGAATACTTCGGGACGTCTGAAAAAAATTGCAAATGTTCGGTTGCCCCTATAACTTAATTTAATAATTAAACTTCATTGTTCTGTTATTAAGAAATGTATTAATTTTAAATCGATAATTAAAAAAACTACAGAAGTACAGGGTGGTTAATACAAAATTCAATCATATATATTAAATCCCAAAAAATAATTCACAAATAATTTCAACTATTTAAAAAAATCTATAAAATAAACCCGGTATTTTTAAAACAGGACACTAAATGACAAATAATGATCAAACACTTTTTTTCAAAATCACCAGAAAAATTGCCCAAGAAATTTTCGTAGCTAGTAATATCTATTAAAAATAATTTTAAATTGGTCAAATAAGATGAAAACAGAAAAAGGCTATTATTTAAATATAACATTATATTTATATCTTTGATTTATATATATAATAGACGGAGAGCTGGCTACATAAAAAACCTTATCATCCGTTACATGGCTAATTTTTCTTGTGGAGTATCCTTTTGTGTAGCCATTGTGAAATAGTCATGTCTGCCAGCGCGATCCCGAGGCTTAAAGCGGGGGCAGCTAATCTAAAGGGTGAAATTTTGACACTAAAAATATTATAAGCTACACAATATAGTTAGAGTTAATAAATATAGAGTTATAATTGCCAAATAGCTTTTATTTATTATTAAGAAACGTGTAAAATTGTTGACAGAATGACAAAATTTTTGTAGACTTAAGCTTGATTTTCATGAAATGAAAAACAAAAAACCCGGCGACGACAGTTTTTCGAAGAGCCAATTAGCTATCTTTTAGTAAAAAAAGCAACTTTCTAGAGCAAATCGTTACTTCAGTAGAGAAGACACAGATAAACATTAGCATTTTATATAAATATGTAGATTATATATATTTTTTATAATTAAATACAATTCTAATTTAAGTACTTTTATATAAAGCATAGAAAATACTAGCGACCTATTTTGGCGACCGATTATCATATATTAACCGATATACATATGTCTATTTACTAAAGTAATTGATATAAGTGATTATCATTCTCCCAACAATTAGGCCTCTATTTGTTTAAAGAATCGTCGAGAATACAGACAATTTTTCGTGCATTATCTATGATAAGGCTTAACCTTTCTTAACCAATCAAGTCTTAAAGCAGGTACCTACATGTAAGATAGGAAAAAAACTAGCATTTAATCAGACCAGAACATAAAATATTTGTAACATGTGCTTGAGTATATAAATTTCATGGAATACCTTTAAATTTTTTGAGTACATACACAAACAACGATCAAAAATATATTTACTTTAAACGGTAGTTACATAGTGTGACATCGCCCTGACGCAAAAACTAGATAATTACAAAATTACACAAGAAAAAATCTTTGTAAGAAAGTAACAAGTATTGTTTCCTAAATTATTCATAGCACTGACTCAATAACATAACAATATTCAATAACATACCTGACTGCAATTTCTTGCTCAAATGAGATTGTTCTTTAACAAAATTTAAACAAGTGATGCTACCAGAGACATGCATTATACCTTCCTATCATTTGAATATATAAAGTAAATAATTCAATGTACACAGCACTAAAGTCACACAACCAGATTACTAAATACTTGAATGAGCTAAATGTAAAAAAAGTAAGTAACGGCTTTATCATGAACAATATCTCGAGTAATTAAATGATAAGGAAATTAAATCAGGTACCTATGTCTGATAACATATCTTACATAAACAAAGTATATACCGAGTGCTCTAAATCATAAAAGTGAGAATTAACAACATGTAATAAAAAAAATGTTTATGTGTATATAGTGTCACACATAAAGTTCATATCATTTGCGATATCAATCGATTTGTGTTAAAGAATAAAATTGTATAGTATTAGCCCGGGAAGCAGCGGCTTTTTTTCAAGGAATTTCATTGCGTTCATCTCATCCTAGTTGAGTTTAATACTGTACGCTGTACTCACATTCCAAATAATGAAACCTATGGATGAAACCGATCATCGTCAGATTTTTTTTATAAAACTGGCATATTTAGAAATTTAGAATGAGGCCAGATTGGTGTGAGCAATATTACAAATTAATATTTATAGATTAAAATTGGTCAAGTGCGAGTCGGATTCGCGCACGAAGGGTTCCGTACCATTCATTATGTATATGTTACGGTTAAAGTCCGATGTCCGGTTAATGTCGACATTAACATGTTAATGTTTGGGTTAGGTTAGGTTTTTGGTTGTTTTGTTGTGTGTTATTCTCGAGATTAACCGAGGGTAATGTCGACATTAACCGGACATCGGATCTTAACCGTAACATATACAACATTAGACACTATATTATTAAATTTTTTTTTCCGATTTAGCTGAAATTTTGAATGCGCGTATAAGTAATTAAAAAAAATGAAGATACACATTACTAAAAATTGTATTAATAATTACAAATAAAAATAAATATGTAAAAATATGTAAAGATTAAAAAAAACGATTAAAAAAAAGTCGTCTTGATTAGGATTCGAATCTGGCTTACTACGGCTCCAACGTCATAGCAGTCCTAACGCCTTAACCACGCGGCCACCGAGGACTTGAAAGATTCTATATAAAATTCTTACTTAAAAGATAATGTTTAGTGATAGTACTTTTTTATTTATAAACATTTATTTAATTCTGTTTTTAGTATTTGTTCTTATAGCGGCAACATAGATACATTATCTGTAAAAATTTCAACTGTCTAGCTACCGTATGATCGAAAAAAAAACGGCGTCCAGTTGGCTGGGAAATGACAATCAATGAAATTTCCCATATAAATTTACATATAAAATGACAGCGATCTTCATTTCATAGCCATCTCTGACGCCGTTTTTATTCGATCATACGGTATAACGGTTCATAAGATAGACCTTTGTGACAGACGGACGGACGGACGGACAGCGAAGTCTTAGTAATAGGGTTCCCGTTTTTACCCTGCGGGTACGGAATCCTAAAAAGGGCACAATTATACAAATAATAATTATCTATACAGCGTGTTTCAAAAAAACGTGTGCCATGGGGAGATTCCTCACGTAAAAATAAGATTTATTTTTCATATCATCATAGGTCCGATTTTCCTTTGTTTTATAGCTACAGGGCGTTAAAGTCTTAATAATTTTACGATTTATTATAATTTTCTTCCAAGCACTTTTAGTGATTCGAGTGAAATTTTGAGGGTAAAAGTGAGGTGGCTTTATCCTGACGAAAGTTCAAACTGTCGAAACATAGATTTAGGAAGAACAGATATCACATTATGCATTTTAACCCGATCAAACATTCGGAGGTTGACTACGTACTGTAAAAACCAACTGAAATAGAGAAGGCGACATTGCCACATATCAAATTTGCGCCTATCTACTTAGTTTGATTTACAGAAGAGGTGACTT